TGTATATTATGTACAGTGACGGGCCATACGTCTTTCATACCCTTTTTTATTATTATCTAACTATATCTTTTTGTATTTATAACATTTTTTAAATATTGTTTTCTGATATTTTAGATATCATTTCTTAATATAAACATCTTTTAAAGAAATTATTACGTGTTGCTTGGTAAAATTAGGCGCCCCACTGTATAAAATGAATAGGATTTTGATACAGACACAATAGCGGACATTCTACTCTTTCAAAACGATTTTTCAAAAGGGGGCATGCAAAATATTTCTTATATACAATGAATAAAGTTCTGTATCGCTCACAAACACAAAATAAAGTAGCAATCATTTTTGCCGAAACTATTCCGATGACGAATGTTTATTAAAAGAATTCCAGCATTTTTTTAATTCGTGTTTTATTGAGTATAACCTTCAGTGTAAAGACATTATTTTAACGTTGGGGTTTAAGTCATTTTTATTACAACACAGTTGTGTTTTTTTCCGTCTGTTATTGGTAAAAAGTCATTGTCCATTATAGGTTTACCAATGACAAACCAACACGTATGTATAATTATAAATTCTATTGTATTCAAACTTAATTTAAGCAATAAAAAATGAATTCATTACGGAAATATCGTTCGGGGCCAAAACTTTAAAAGGCAACAAAGGCTACGGGCAGACGATGTTTGAGATTAAAGACTGTTTATAGTAAAAATAATTTGACGGAGCATGGTAGATACTGTGACTACACCCCGAGATATTATTAACAAAATACTCCCTCCGGATACTGTTTATCAACTTTATGTTAATGTTACCGTGGTAAGCACAATGCTGACTCAGTGTCAATATGCTTGCTTTGTTGTTGTTGTTTATGTTGTTGTTGTTTATTTTGTTGTTGTTGTTGTTGTTGTTGTTGTTGTTGTTGTTGTTGTTGTTGTTGTTGTTGTTGTTGTTGTTGTTGTTGTTTAATTATTTTTTCTGTGGCAAAACTATTGAATTAAAAGAACTACTTACACTGAATGTCGGAGTTTTAATATTAGAGGCTGGATGAACCCTTTAAAAAGTCCCACTAGACATCATTCATAATCTGTGTTAAAATAGTCACAACAGACCTTAAGTAAAGCAAACAAGTACACCACCATTTAAAATATATTTCCTACAAAGACATTTCCTTTGGTTCCATGGTATTCCTTTTTGTTGATTGTAAAATGTATGGCGGTCATCGATATATACCGCCCAATAATCAATTTACTTGTTGTTGATAAAGGGACGACTCTGTTCCTGATTTAGCAACTTCCCGGTCCAGTATTTCCATGATTACATGTTAGTTATCTTTTCTTCGGGTTAGAAATTTAAATAGAATGGGAGTTCTTACAACACAACCGGTAGAAGATTAGGGTGTGATGTTTCGATCACCTTCAACAGACAAATGACCATTGTGGAGCGTACTAGCACTGGTGTATGTAGTGAATGAGATGGTAAGGAATCCAGCAACTTTTCAGAACCTACATTTCTCCTATCGGGTCCGACATCTTTGATGTCATACTACGCTTCAGGCCAAATCAGGACAGAATCAAGGCATCCCCACAAAAGAAGGATTGTAGAGAATTTTCTCTAAATCCACGAGTCGACCCCACCCCTCCCGCCAAAGACCACCGAGACCCAGCATTTACACAAAATTGACTCTCCTTCATCCATGTTTGCTTCAGATCAAATTGGGAAAGAATCCTGACATTTCTGCAGAAGAAGAAGGGTTTTAAAGAATGTGCTCCATTTGCACTATTCGACCCCGCCCCAGGGGGCTGAGACCAACATTTTCCACAAAATTGATCACTCCTCATCCAGGGATGCTTCAGAACAAATTTAGTCAAGATCCTATCATTCCTACAGGAGGGGAAGGATTTAAAAGAAATTGCTCTATTTCCCCTGTTACACTGTAAGCCCTCCTCCTTCCACCCCAGCGTTATTCAAAATTGATTCCCCTTAATCCGATCGCAAGAATGTTTGAGATAGTAACATTTGGATACAATTTAATCATTTCTACAGAACTAGAAGGAATATAAAGAACATGTTAAATTTCCCCTTTTCGAGCCAATATGGAAAATCAGTGTGACCATTTTAGTAAATAAATTAATAGATAAAAAAAAAAAGATTGACGGACGACATGAACGAATACAGCAGGCATGGAGATTTAACAGTATCTAGGACCATACATTTGGCGTCCACAACTAGTTCGTAAATAAAGAGATCTGAAAAAGTCTTAAAATTTTCGTTCCGGGGTAGAAACTATTAGACTCGGAAAGCCCTGTCTATACATCTGGAGCGATAGCAAGATTTTCAAGATGGTGGTTATGGCGGCCATCTTGGAAGTGACACAGACCTAAGTTTAGTTTGGCACCATAAGCGGACCTTACAAATGCAACAGTATCAAACAGCTGAGGTGGCGCTAACCAGGACCGGCGCTGATTGGGGCCGTCGAGTGTTATATCGTTGGGTGTGTGTGTGTCAAATTCTATCAACAAATGTAGGACAAGGGTCGCCTCCCTTCAATCGTCTTCTTTAGAGAGAATGTTAATACTTGTTCTTTTTTTAGCAATTTTAATCTTTGATAGTAAAAAGGTACGATGAACGCAAACCCCCAAGAAATAAAAAAAAAAGGCAAATCCACAACGGCGAAAGAATCAATATATCTTCAAAATTGCACAACCAACTGCGTATATGCTGAATGGTTGATGCTACGTTTAAAAACAAGAGTTCTTCGGAACTGTATGTGTCGCCTGCATAAAGTGTGACTGTCACCCAGAAATCGAACCGGATGTCAAAACTAATCTGTACCCTTCCAACAAGAAGCCATATCATAAATTTCATTTTGATAACTCAAAGCATAAGCGGAAAAAGTCCGGAAACCCTTTGTACGGACGCCGCCGCAGACGCGTTACGACGGACAAAGTGATCCCTAAGTGTCCGCCAGCTCTGCAGGCGACACAATAAATGAAATTCGTCCACTGAAAGGCCGAAAGGCCGTAAAAGTAGACAAAAAATCAGTTAAAAATTAAATGAAAATTAACGAATGCTTTATGATTATAATACGATATACACAATATAGTATAAGCTGGCGTAATGTGACTTATTATTAAAAATAAAAGAACTCAAAAGCTCGCATATTTTTTCTATAAATTTTCTCTGTTATAAACATATTTTAATGGCATATAAAGTGTCAAAGGAATTAGATAAGTTTTCCAACTTATAAGTGATGCAGATGTACAATTATATTTACCAATTGTATTTGCTAAAAGTAATTTTGAAATAGTATCCTAATGTATGTACGTTTTATTGAGACGGTTCCTATCAGGGCCAGCCTTGTTCAGGAAATCTAATTGTGTCTAAAGAATTTCGATTATGTACTACTTTTTGACGGCCCGTAAATCGGCTAATTTAGCGTCAACCATTTAAGATACTTCTCTTGAGTGTAACCTTGTAACCCTTGGGGATATCTCAACTAAATTTTGCATGTTTTAATTACCACGAATCATCGATTTCAAATTTGTGCATTCCGAATTGGAAGACCACTTTCACGGATTATTAGGATCCGACAACAGATATTTCAGCTCATTACTTCATCTTCAAAAGATTGGCTATTTAGGTGAAAACTGCAAAAATTATAGCATGGAGAAACCCCTCTGTTTTAATCATGAAAAATTATCCTCGAAAATGTCCTAAAAATGGCCCTTGTCAAGTAAAATCAATTTAACATAACAAGTAACGTAGATTTTTATGATTTTTCTTCGTGACAAAATTCAGAAACAAATATATTTCGACTCTGACAAATTTCAGTTAATTTTGAAATAGACATTATGTGATTCAGTTTGGTTACATATCCTAAAACACGCCGTTGACTTTGACCCCTGACAGATTTACAATGTGCAGTTCAATGTTTATGGTTTTTATTCGTGAGCAATTCATAGGAGGATTAGAGATGAACTTAAACGTCAAGGTGACCTTGAACAATATAAAAAAAAAAAAAACCAGCATAATCAGGTTACATATATAATCTGCAGAACAATACATGTATCTGACTTTTACAAAATTTAGTCCAAACTAATTTAACCCAGGGCCGTCAGAGAGTTGTGATTTTTGCGAACCACCTTCCTACTCGTTGAGACCTATCTACCTAGGAATTTTTATGTTAATACCTCTTATAGTTTGAGTGTAATGCTCCTAACAAAATTTAATTTTGAAAAATAACAAAGGGCAATAACAATGCTCTCCCTTAAGGAGTGAGGGGGAGAGGTATTAGGATATACGACAAAGGAAAGCACTCCATTTCTATCTCATAATTACATTTAGCCAAAGAAATAGTGCACTTTTTTCTCTTTAGATACGATGAAATTACCGGAAAATATAAGACGTTAGATTTATTTATCTTCCTGTGCTTATTAGAATATACGACAATAATTCCAGATCGTGAAAAAGTAAAGCGCTACTCTTTATATCGTTAAAATGCCATACAATTGAAGTTGCCTTTATACGTGTTTATACCATCTACACACGTGTGTGATCAGTAGCATTGTGCATGTAACCCTGCTTACATTTTCTGTAAGTCCGCACGAGTTATCTATCGTTAAGGTTCCCGGTTAGTGCCGGTTCCAGTCAGCAACGTTCCAAGTCAGGGGCAGTGCAGCTGCCTGATGCCACTCTACAACTGTCAAGTCTCATCATATACTGCAACATCACACGTAATACATAGACCTGTATCTAACGTTACCCAAAAATTTAACATATATGTATGACGTTCTCGTTTTGGTTCAGGAATTGAAATGAACTGGTCCCCTCGCGATAACATTTTCCAGAGGTTTTTACTTTTTATTCTAAAACAATGTTGCGAAAATGATGATACTTCTTATGTCATGTAAACAAGCAAATTGAAACTGGTGGCGCCAACCTCGACCCGCGCAGTTTATCCGCAATTTTTATCCGAATGGCACACAAGAAGCTTCACTTCCGGGTTGTTCGAATAGGGTAAACTCAAGCATCACAAACTGCACTGACCATGACCACGAGGGAAGCTGTAACGCTACAAATTGGACACTACAGTAATTTTGTTGGGGCCCATTGGTGGAATATACAGGTGACTGATAACTCTTCAAAGAAAATTTCTGATAGAATCAACTTTATTCGACGAAACTGTGAAATATGATGGTGATAGTATTGATTGTTGTACAAATGTATATGATATATTCCTGCGTCTATCACAAATGCATGTCTCAATGTTTCTAGGGGAAGAAGGTTTGTTTAATGTACATTATCTAGCTCCCCTTAAAACATCATTAAATGCCCCTGTAGCATCTGTTTCATACAAAAAGACGACAGTTGCAAATATGCAATCCAATACAGAATAGAGCCGAATGCCGTCCGACGGGTTATGACAATCTGTCTACGATTCATATTAATTTCACAATTGTGCAATTTATTTCTCCAGTGTTATTTTTGTACAAGTAAATTGTGTCCCCCTGTGTGAAGTGTAGGTACATTGCACGAGGAAGGTTAGCCAATGCTTAATTCATGAACTTATACGGTTGCAGACATTATACGTCTGGTGTAGGAATGAAGGAAAACTTTGGTCAGAGAAAAGTAATACTTCCTTTCTGATCGCGGAGATTAGGGCGAAACTCAAGTGCATAGGAATTACTGTTGTTCATGTTGCTGGATTTGTTGCCACGTCAACAGCCAGGGTATTTTTTAGACAAGGTTTCCTTGTTGTAGCTGGTAACTCCTTACTGAACAGCATGTAGGAGGCTTGTCGCATGACATCAAGAACAATTGGGTAAAGAACATTAAATGTATTTTGCCCACAGACACAAACACAACAACACACAACAGTCTATTTCTCAGCTTCCTGAGGAATACAGACTTCTATGGGTAAGGAGCATCCAAGCACACAGCTTGGATCTTCTCTTGAAGTTATATAGATCAATGCTCTGCTGTGTGAGCTAACAAGGACACTTTTTTTTGTAATTTGTTGGTACAATTAGTGGGTCCTATTGTTCTACAACTGATCAGGTTCTAGTTCAAGGAGAATCTGGGCCATTCAAAGGTATGTCTTGCTGACATTTTCTAGCTTTCTGTTTCACTTCAAATATGAAAAGAAGAATAATCCTTGTCAAAAGTAAGCCTGGAAAGGAATTTTCCCTAATTACTCCTCAAAAGATAGTTGATTTTGTACCAAGAGAGCAGTCATAAAAAACTGACAAATGGTTTAAGTACCAGGTAATACAACTTGAATTAATTTGTATATGTTACAGGAGTCAACTTTCATCTATGACCCGAAACTGGCACCAGCGCAGAAAGATATAGACCATGATGTGCTGTTTAGAGAAGGGAAGAATCTAAGGGTAAATTCTAGAAATGCAAAATGGAAATTTGTCCCTGAATGTTAATTAAGACCATTAAAAATTGTTTCTTTAGTATATATAAGATGTCATTTCAATACATTCTTTTCAGGGAGAAGTTACCTACACGCCAAGACTTGTCGCCCTTGACCTGAAGGGAAGTCTAAATACCCTCAAACAGGAGGGCAATTTGTACGACCACAGACACCAGGAGGAAATTCAATGGTAATAACATGTTTTACTTTGAATTCCGTCAGTTTCAAGAGATTTGTATTCATTTTATTACAGAAAGATTTTAATTTATTTCTAGTTTTTAGTATTAACATGTAGCAAAAATTGTATGTTTATAGTAAAGTAAATCCTGACTATGATCCGCTTTTTTTCTTTCTTTTTTTTTTTTTTTTTTTCATTCTGTTTAAAATTTTTACATCTTATGTAAATGTGTTGTCTGGATGGGATTATTAACTGTTCAGAGTTAACTTAAGATATCATGGGAAGATTGATTTCCTGATAAATTTGAATGTTTATTAAAAAATACCAAGCCACTGACATTTAAAATTGCTGAAATTTGCAATTTTGAATTAATTAGAACTGTGTTTTGATCCATTTAAGTTTCATTTTTAGCACTTTTTACAGTGAGACTTTCCCTTGTAAATGATTTTATAAATAATTTATAGATAAATTTATGTTCCCTTAATTGTTCATTGAGCTTATATTTGGTTGAATATAGTGCATGTGTTCACATAAAGAGATTTACAAGACTATAGAAGATAAGAAAACTAACTATTGAAGAGACCTGGACATTATTAACAATATCAATCTTGGCTGCTGAGATTTGACATGGCCCCATGGCATCGTTTATACCAGATATTATGTTACAGGACAGGAGATGTCACACTACATCAGGAAGACAACATAGAGAAAAATCCTTACCTGGTAGACTTGGAGAAGGAGGTCAGTGACAGTCCAAATATATACAGTTACCCTCGTTATCTTGAAATCAAATATGTATTTCATCAGTCCCGACCTGATTTCACACTAAATATTCAAACTCATATAAATTTAATATTCTGATAAATCAGACATTTCCACGGCTTTGTGATAATGAGGTTTGAATGTACACAAATGTATATATATACAGTGTATACATATTGGTCATATAAAGATGTTTTTACATCATCAATACAAAAACTAATGCAATTTGTAGAGTAACATGTTCTTTGGGCATTATTGGCCACACAAGTTCATGAGTAATTATATGTGTCAACATTTCATAGGATTTGCTTCTGTTTGTGTAACAGGAACAGGTTTATATGAAAGGCACTGCAGGCAGCAACAACAGTCAGGAATCTATTGAGGATGTTGAAGTCAAAGACACAGGAAGTGAGGACAGAGGTAAGACAGTCAGGTTGAACACAGAATGAGGTCAAAGTTTAGAGGGTCAATATGAATATAAGTAATTGATCTGAAAGATGAGAGGGTCAAATTGAACACAGATAGTTAGGTCAAAGGTGAGGAGGTCTAGTTGAACGCAAGTAGTAAGGTCAAAGGTGAGGTCAAGTTAAACAATAGTAGTTGACTTTCAAAGGTGAATAAGTCAGCTTGAACCTTCACATAATTTTAACACAGATGTTCAAATTTCATGACACTGTAAAAAAGGTCAAATGTAATATCTCAGAACCTTTGATAGCTGACATAAAGTATGATATTTCAGATATGCTTGTAATACCTCTTTTTCATTATTACCCTTCAGAAAAGAAACAAAAACCAAGTGATGCTGGATGTGGTAATCAATTCTACAAACTTGACGAGTCTGTGAATGTGTGGTCAGACTACCTGCGAACATTTCTCCATCCCAAGTCCATACACATCGTAGAGCAGTACAGACACAAAAAGCAAGTCACCCTTTATATTAGTAAACTGTCAGGTTAATTTTGGTAGTAAGGATTCAGTGGAAAATTCTATATATAGATTCTCATATTGTATTATTTACTGTTAAATGATTTTTGTTTAGGGTCTAAAATGTAATACATTGAATTTTTGCTAATTTGTTGGAAAAGATAAGGTTAGGTCAGTAGAGAAATACTGTACTCATTGTTTACAAAGTATATATAGAAAACAATTCTTGGCTTTGAATTTTTGAAGGCCTTTCTTGAAAATTCTTTCAAAAATTCAGGTAGATTTAGAAAATACAGTGTTGCTTAAATTAGCAAAATTATAGGACTTTTTCAGACCAAGTACATATCCTATGGGTTTGGTCAGATTTTCATATTAATAATAGATAATCAAAGAGTATTTTATTTAAAGCAAATTTGTTTAAACATCGTCATTTTCACATTAGTACCCATGTGTCCTGCTCACATCCTTTTATTCTAAAAAGTAAATTTTCTGCTCAATTTTCAGCGACCTGCAGCCGTTCGATATTTATGGATGTGGACAGGAAGTGATGTCAGACTATGAGACCAGAGTTGATATTGAAGACAGACTACACTTTTTTATAGAGGAGTGTGACCATTTACAGGTGTGTGTTTAGATACAAAGTATATCCTACATGATATGTAGTGATTGGTTGGTTGGTTGTCTGCTTTTCGTCTCCGTGGATTTTCCTACCACTAATCTCAACATCAAGCTTAAGCATTCTGGCAATATGTAGTAACTTACGTTAAGCTTCAAGTGTTTAGCATATCATTTCCAATTAGATAATCTGTGCAAGGGGGAAAAGATATGTAACTATGAAACTGCTGAGTTTAAATTCTCAAAACAATGATCTCTTGAGGCAATATAATGTTAACATTCTTAAGAATTTAGCACAATCAAATTTTAGTGCATAACTGCTTTCTTGCAAATGCCTGCCTCATTTATATACTTTAATAATCAATAATGATATACCGTCAGATTTTAGTGCAATATTTTCAAGGCAAAAATCGTTAAAAGAAGTTTCCACTAAAATATGTATATTTACAGTAAGCCTTCGGTAACAAGATTTCAGTTGTGTGTAGTCACATGGAACAAATATATCAATATTATCCATTGATTTGTTGAATGACATATGCTATATTATAGTTTTTCGATTTCATGGAAGAATATATTTAGTGGTTGTTCTGGTTGGGGCCAGTTACGGGGGTTAATTTTTAGCAGTATACAGTTTTTGAACAACTTGTCGATACATTACATAATTTATATAAAGAAGCATATACCGGTACTCTTCTTGATACTCTCATTGACTGTCAAATATTTACGAGGAATTTCATGTTTTTTTAATAACTGCAAATATCAAAATATCTAGATTAAAACCCCTGCCAATATAACCAGCTAAAAAGTACATGTCTTTTTATGCTAACTGGAATTTTTTTTGCAAACTTCTCACCTGATTTCAAAATGTTATCCAAGTACTCAATCGTTTTTAGAAACAAAAAAATTATTTCTATCCTGAACAGCTTTGAAAAAACCATCTGTACTTTGCCATTACTTAACACCATCTCTAACATACCTCATTTTTACTAGAGGTGACCACCAATTATATTTAATACTAGATATGTGAGGGACTGTCTCTTCTCCCAACAATGCACCTGCCGCCTGCCTTTCCGTGACCTTTTAGAATTGTTCACAGTATTACATTAGTATTTTGTTTGGTTGATTTCAGGGCTTCCAGGTTTTATTAGACACATTTGACGGATTTGGTGGTTTGGGATCCCATGTATTGCAACACCTGGAAGACGAGTATTCTTCCAAAGGAATTTTCACTTTTGCTGTAACACCCAACAATCTCCCTGATAATGTAAGTAGGTCCTCTTTGAAGATCACATTAACCCTTCACAATTGTTCCATTGGTAATAAAAGGCTTTGTAGGAGGGCAACAAACAGACTGTCAGTTTTGAAGAATTTCAGGCAAATATTCATCAAAGTATAACAGATGATAAACTCTGAAAGTTTACATTTGCACTTTGATAGCTTGATAGTGTTTTTTATGATCTGCTATGTAGATTTTAATGTCACTACATTCTTCTGTTAAAATGTTCTCCCTATGTTTACACTGTTATCTCTATTAAAGGCTGTCAACCGATTCCTATATTCTTACATTTCTTACATCAAAAACCTATATTTTGAAAGACCTCCAATATTTCCTATATTTTCCTATTTTTTGAAAAATATCTTTTTTCACGAAATTTGTCGCTGATAAATGTAGAGATTGTAAATATTTCTTTGATACTGCTTTTGTCTTCTTTATTTTACAAGTTAGAGAATTATTAAGTCATTAACAGCATCACCAGCCACCAGATAATGATTCAGTTCATCTCTTTATCACCTGTGTGGGCACCTTGCAAGGCAGTACATCAGGATATTGGCCTTTAAGGTGTCCATGGAGATGATGATGAGCTATGCAACAGCTTTCTGCCTGGATTGTGATGCTGTTGAAGTGAATGGTTACTTTAAGGTAGTTTTTAATCATTAATTAATATAGAAACAGTTAGTGAAGGTAAGAATTTTTAGTATAAATGCCTTTGAATGAAAAAATTTTTGTTTGGAAAACTCTTACATTTTGCCTCAAAACTAGCAAAAAACTCCAATGTGTGTTGAAAAAATATTCCTATATTCCTCCTATATTTTGAAGAAGACTTGGTTGACAGCCTGCTATTAAAACCTGTTCTATCTTTTTAGACATCTGTTATATGAAAATATATTTAAAAATTCTATTCACTGTATTAATCTAGTAATTTGATCCCCAAGCCCAGTGACATTCATTGCTTTTCAGTAGATGTGTGAGTACCTGAAATTTCATTTACTTGTAATAACCCAACCTTTTGACTTTCACTCAAAAAGAAATGCTGCAAAAAGCAGTCATTCTTAACATCAAAAATCAAAACCTTCCTAAGCATGATAGATTGACTCATAAATCACATCATGGACAAGATCTATTGTAAAAAGTGTTGGACGACTTTCATAGCAGGAGCCTGTCATTTAGTTTAATTAGTTATTACATAACCACTTTTGTTAATAAGTTTGACCTATTTGACCAGGTTTGTTCATTAATAAAATAAATATGAACCTACTTATTTTATTTGAATTTCAATTTTTGGTGAGACTTGACAAAATTTATTACAAATCTTTGTATCGGCACATCCATGCCCATTGGTACTGTTGAAATATTGACTAACCAGTGAATTTGCATGCATAAACAAAAGTAGTCTGTGTATTCATTGAAAATTCTAAAAAGAATTAATCTTATCATGCATTTGATTTTTTTTTCAGACACCACAAAATCGTGCTAATAGAATTCTGAACTCTGCCATTAGTTTTAGTAAATGTTGGAGCAACAGTTCTCTGTTTGTACCGATGTGTCTAGCTAATAGTCTGTGGAAAACTGTTGGTCCTCCAGTACAGTTACCACATCTACAATACAAGGTAGGTAACTCTCACCAGTAACAGGAAAAGAGGTAAAAATGTGACAACTTTGTCAGTGTGTGTGTTGGTGTCAGCATCCACGACCTGATGATTGGAGAGTAGCTTTAAGATCAGTTTTGCAAAGTGTATGTAGGTACTGACCATAGGGTTAACAGAATTCAGGTGAATTGGGTAAATTCAATATTTATCAAATTTCTGAAATGTTTCAAACATTCTTACACTAGTTTTTTCCAAAATAAGACCACTTAGGCATGTCTATTTCTACCAAAAGATTAATTGATATAAATTAATTGCTTCACAGTAGTCGTAAGATATAAAGTTAAATCAGTTTTAAGTCAAAGATTCATGGTGACATGTCGTCATTGTTTTTTGTCTGTTGTCCATCTTCCATTAACTTTTAAACATTTCACATTTTCCACCAAGTTGTGGTCACAAGCATCAATACCTGATGGAGCAAATTTGCAGAATCCATAATGTACCATTTAGTCTCCAGGGTTAGAGCAAGTTGTGGGTGGACCCAAACTGCTGAAAGCACAATAAAATGCCAATGTAAGAACTTTTTTAAAAAAATGCATACATTCTGTTTGCCAGTGTTTAAGTGCACTGGGCCACGAGGCATTAACAATTGGAAGTAGCGAAATTTACAAATAGTAAAACTTTCAAAATCATAACTTTTTAGGTCATCCGACCGAAGGGTCCAATGACCTATTGCGACCGCCTTTTGTCCGGCATCATCTGTCGTCCGACTTTTTCAACTTCTTCTCAAGTTCTACATGTCTCATTGAGCTGAAACTTACCAGAAATGATTGTGACATGATCCTGACCAAAGTTCGTTAATTTCTGGTTGGTCCGCAATCCAACATGGCCGCCATCTTGAAAACACATTTTCGACTTCTTCTCAAGTTCAAAATTTGAAATCTTGTATGTTATGTCAGATGACCGTTAAGGACCATGGGCCTCTTGTTAGTATAGACATATACATCAGAAACATTTTTTTTAATGTCGCAACAACTAACACTTAGTGCCACATGCAGGTTATATTTTTGCGGAAATTTTACTACCTGTAAACTGTAGGATTTCTTCCTTGAACTCAGTTGACCATCAAGACTTAATGGGCCTCTTGTTCTTTCAATTGTAGAATTGTCTTTATAAACCTTAATATTTATTTCAGTCAATAAACTACCACACCAGTGCCATCCTGGCTGCCACTTTGAACTCGCTTACCTCCCCTTACCGCCAGCCTACTGTACTACATATGCGAGACCTAACAGACACTTTTCACTCACTGGGCAGAAAGGTAATACATCATCAGTAGTACATCAATACTTTTGTAGTCTCCTTACATATCTGTCCTTCTAATTCAGGACCCAGTAGAGTCTCTAAACACCTCAATCCACCCACCTCTGGACCCTGTAGTAACAGCAGTCCTCCCACCTCTGGACCCTGTAGTAACAGCAGTCCTCCCACCCCTGGACCCTGTAGTAACAGCAGTCCTCCCACCTCTGGACCCTGTAGTAACAGCAGTCCTCCCACCTCTGAACCCTGTAGTAACAGCAGTCCTCCCACCTCTGGACCCTGTAGTAACAGCAGTCCTCCCATCTCTGGACCCTGTAGTAACAGCAGTCCTCCCATCTCTGGACCCTTTTGTAACAGCAGTCCTCCAACCTCTGGACCCTGTAGTAACAGCAGTCCTGCAACCTTTGAACCCTGTGTAACATCAGTCCTCCCACCTCAGGACCCTATAGTAACAGCAGTCCTCCCACCTCTGGACCCTGTAGTAACAGCAGTCCTCCCACTCAGGACTCTGTAGTAACGGCAGTCCCCCCACCTCTGGACCCTGTAGTAAAGGCAGTCCATCCAGCTGATGACTCTGTGGTGTCCCAACACCTGATTTCTCCTCTCTCAAGGCCAAATCAACATATTCACAGCTGTTTTCAAATTTATTACCACCAATACTAAATCTCTGTCGTTTATCTTTTTTAAAGATGTATTCCATGTGGATGTACTATGTAAATTGAAATATGGTCATTTTTAATTGAGCTTGTTTTGAAGGTTACCCAAATTATTAGCTACTTGCCTACATCATGCTCAAATTATTTTATTGTGAATAGATAGCATCTGTGAGCTCCAGTTTTCCCTACCCAATTAATGAAGACCAATTCTTGGTGGACTCCTTGTTGTCACTTGGAGACGACCTTCCCTGGGTCTCCCTGACCCCTCATGTGAAGAACAATGCCAATCCGATCATGCAGTCGACTGTGATACAAGGAATCTCCAATAACATCGCCAAAAGGTTTGATTCCTCATACTTGTATATAGATAGATGGACCTAGGTGTTCTCAGTGTTTGTCTTCACTGTTCTGGTGCCTCATGATAGTAAACTTAAATGTTCACTAGTTCTGCAGCACAAAGTCCTCCATTTATCACAATAGATTTTAGGTCACCTGAGACAAAGTCTGATGGTGAACTATTGTGATTTCCATTTGTCTGGCGTCATGCTTGGGTAAACTATTTGAAATATTTTCATCTGACAGACAATTTAAAGTGTGTTTGGGTCTTCCTTCTCAATAACAGCTAAGCAAGAGAGGGAGTCCCTCAAGGAGGAATTATTTCAGTAACACTTTTCGGTCTCAAAATTAATAGTATGGTTAATTGCCATGGCTCTTCATCAATGGAGGGACCCCTGTTTGTGGATGATTTATTGATATTTTACAGATCCAAAAACATATGTTCTCCCGATTGGTGAACATCGGAGGCAAACTGAATGTGTTTATAATTATGGACTAGGCAATAACACACTGATCCATATTCGGGATACTAATTCTTTTAAACTCTGATCTGGATATATAGGCTTAATAAGCCTGCATCCAGTATATTATTATTATTATTAATATTATTATCATTATTGAGCAATAGCTATAACAGTGTTTAAAATTCAAATCTGGGCAGATGACATTCATTTTTGTTTTTCATTTCATAAGATACCAGAAATGAAATTGATAATAATTATGTAAACATTTAAATCAATTTTGAGGTACATGCTGTGAAAATGAAAATTCAGAGAAAAAATGTTTGAACATCAATAACTGAAATACCTTCACACACAGTGCAATTTGACATTGTTTTCTGTTCTACTTAAAAACTTTGAACGTATAGATGCAATCTTTTTAAAAAAATTTTCATGAAGTTGTGAAAAAGACAACTAATGTGATTTGATTATTTGGTTTGAATCACAGGCAAAATTGTTTGTCAATTGATTATTGCTGTAGAAATCTGTTCGTTTTAAATAGAACTAAGTTGACTTACAGATCAGTGCAGGATGAGAGATCACCAAGTCAGTACAGCACCTGTCAGAATGTGCAAGACATCATACAAGTTTACCTTCGAGAAAGATTCCGTACCACACACAGGTGTGTATAGAGCTATCCCACACAGGTGTGTGTATAGCGACACCTAGCATAGGTGTGTTTATACTGACACCACACACTGGTGAACTTAGTGATACCTCACACTGTTAAGCATATGTATATGTATAGAATGACAGCTTACACAGGCGTTTATGGTGACTCCTCACACTTGTGTGTATGTAAAAAACACCTCACACTAGTTTGTATATAAAGACACTTCACACTAGTATGTATAAAAAGACACATCACACAAGTATGTATATACAGACACCTCACAAGTATGTATAAAAAGACACATCACACTAGTATGTATATACAGACACCTCACAAGTATGTATAAAAAGACACATCACACAAGTATGTATATACAGACACCTCAAAATTATGTATAAAAAGACACATCACACGAGTATGTATATAAAACATCTCTCACTACTATGTATATACAGACACCTGACAAGTATGTATAAAAAGACACATCACACTACAATGAATAGACAGACACCTGACAAGTATGTATAAAAAGACATATCACACTACTATGCATATACAGACACATCATAAGTATGTATAAAAAAACACATCACACTACTATGTATATACAGACACCTCACAAGTATGTATAAAAAGACACATCACACAAGTATATATAAAAAGATGTGTTACACAAGTGTGTATATTAAGGCACCTCACAAGTATGTATAAAAAGACACATCACACAAGTATTTATATCAAGACACCTATCACATGTATATATATAAAGACACCACACACAAGTATACATGTACCTTTGTAATAAATTTTCAAAATACTTTTGATGAATAATAGAAAGATTAAAGACAGATTGAAACATTATTTTTAACCATAAGCTCAGTAAACTCAATAATTTGATTGATTTTTCTGATCCAGCAGGAAACATGTTTAATATCTAAAGTATATCATAATTTTTCATAAACTTTGCTTTGTTGATTAAGTTTTTGGTCCCTGAGAATAGATTTGTTAGATATTCCTGGTAAAGCCATCAACAAGTTATTGTAATTATTATTAAGTTTTCTCAGAATGTCACAAGGTACATAAAGACTGTTGAACATGTCAGCTTAGTCATGTATGTATGATGTGTTATGTTTCAGTGCTGCTACAGTTTTACAGGATCCTTGTAAGGTTGTCTCCCCTTGTCCTCACATTTTCAAACCAAGTGTCGCAAAGAATGGATTTCTGTCCTCAACTAAGCGACCAGATTTACAAGGTAATCCCTTCAGTAATTCCAACTGTTTTTGCATTATTTAACATTAATGTTGTAAATAAACATTATATTCTACATTAAAGATTCTTGAATTGTTTTCCTTGATGCTTTTGTAGTATAAAACAACAATTCATTTATTTTCTATATAAACTATAAATTTGTAGTATATCAGTAAGTACACTTATAATCTTTACATAGATTTATTATGATGAGATATAGACAAGAAATAATTTAAGATATATTATAGGTGATTAGATAGACTTGGTTTCACCTTTCAAGATGTATTGTGCTAGGGAGAATCTGACATTCTTTTCAATTAACACAAATTCATATAAAGAATTTGCCATTGTAAATAAAATTTGCAGAATATGGTCATTAACGTTTGCTGTTTTCCGAACCTGTGACCATATTCACAAGTTCAATGTTTTGATGGAGGAAAAATTTAATATAAAAGACTTGATTTTAATATTGTTAACATATTTGCTGTTTCTGTCTGTAGGAGTTGAGAGTGTACCTATGATGTCAAGCCTTCAGATATCTCCAGACATTGCAGAGCTGCTCAGTACACTTCACACTGAGGCTTCCAAACTAAACATACGTAAACACCATCGGTACCTAGCTGCTGGCATGGAGGAGGACGACTACATGGAGATTCTGGGAGACATTGAGAATCTACGTCGCTGCTATGAAGAACCAGGGGACATGGGTTGAGGGAGTCACTTCTGAGATAATTAACAAGCTGCCTACTGGCATTAAGTCTGGAAAGAACTATGATTGTCAGCACTTTCTTCTCCGTATTATCAGAGAACAAAAAAGAGGGTACTGCAATATGTGCTGGCCATTCTTAAAGCAACAGGATACATAACTCTTGCATGGTGTGTGACCTGTTAACACTGTACAGATTTCACAAGTTCAGGTTCAGAACAGAGAAATCTTCAATTCAATGGAATACTGTGATATTACTGTACTGTAATAAAGTCCTTTTAAACTATAGACTTCGTCTTTATTTGATACTATGAAAAAAGGACAATTTAGTCAAATATGGGTAAACGAATTTGAAATATCAGCCAGAGTCTGCAAAATTTAACTTCCAACGAAAATTTCCATAATTGTAAATAATAGGACTATTCTATTCTGAATCTGTTCTTCAATGTAGTAATTTCATTTCTGGGAAAGTTCTAGTTTAGTTCAACATCCAGGTCTATCATGGTGACAGAATATGCAGTACATCTAAGTGATATAATGACCCGAGAATAAGCTAAGCTGCTTTAACTTAACTCGGTCGAAATGTTTCATGTAGTCTTGAATTATTCTACTATACACAAACACATGTACCAGATGCTTGAACTCCTATGTTAAGCTGTCGAGCATAAAACAGTTCACTAAGATACAATCCATTTCACTTAATATCAAAATGCGTCCAGAAATATGTGTGCACCTTCCCCGATTTATGCTGAAATTCAGCATAAAATAAAATAGATATGCAGTTAGTTATTTTCAGGTAAGTACAATTGGACCTCTCAATCTGCAGACACTTTGCAATCCAGTCTCTGTCCTGATCTTTACCCGGCATTTTTTCACGGGTTTAATCGGTCCAACCATTTCAAATGCTTACGCTGAAGCAATCCTGTCCTTTGAGAACATCCCAATTTTTCAAGACTCTGCAAGGAGTTAAGTAATAGTTAAAGACCCCTCTGTATTAGGTCATTGCAGTCCCTGTTTATACAAATTGTTCCGTCAAGATTTCATGTCCCTCATTACATTTAGATACAGAAGAAAGCAGGAAGTTCTGTCAATATGCTGACATGCTTTGTTCACAAGGAGAAATTTTGGATTTTATGGAGAAAAACAACTCAAATTGTCCATTTATTTCCGATACCTTAGATATTTGATGTGATGCGATTGAAGTTCATGATGAAGTCACTGTAAATTTTTCAGTATGAAATGCAATTTTACACACCTTATGCAAATATGAAGACCTTTCCAAACCAAGTTGCCTTCTCTCTTGAAGAAATATTACTGTATCATGTATTCAGACCATCGGTCTTTTTGAATGGCCAAGTTGCTAGTTTTATCATTAGATGGACCTTAAAGTTTGCCTTGAGGTAGTTTCTTTTTTTAACTAGTAAGAAAGTAACCAACTGATCTTTGTTGATGGCTTTATACGCCTAGTTGTACATTGTATGATCTTTCCCATTTTTTCTCTTCCCCTTTAATTTGCCCATTAATTTCATGCAATTTGAAAATTCAGCCAAAAAATTGCAATAATCTTTTACTGAACCATCCAAGGTGGTTAACCGTCTGCAACCTTTGTTCCTTTTTTGATTAATATACCTATATAACAATTTACGAAATTCACCACAGGATTCCACATCAAAGCCACATATTTGTGAAGAAATTAATTTTGGCATAACTAATTCAACAAATAAGACCCTGAAAGCTGTCAAATACATGTATTTATAACCTTTCAAAATTTTCTAAGCCACAACTTAAAATAACAAACCCTTTAAATTCATTTCATTGCATTTAATAAGACAACATATAACATTTTAAACGTAGAAAGACGATGGTTCAAAGACCAGTATCACAGCATAAAAATCATTTGTTCTGATTAACATTATCAATAGCTATGTCAAGTGACAGGATTAATTTAAGCATAGTATGTGAACACAATTGACTACATGGTTTGGCAAAACTAGCTGGAAATGATTCACAGAAATGTTCCAACAATCCATGTATTGTTTAACATTTTATACTGCGATCGAAGTTAAAATTGTCAAATTAAAATTGAACTCCTTCTTTGTCCTGGATTTTAGCCTTCACATTCTGAATAATGCAGTCTGGCAAAAACTAGCTGGATATGTCCAAAAATGATTCACAGAAATTTCAAACATAACTTATTATTGCCATCGATATATAGCTAAACACTTTATACTGCGATTAAAGTTAAAATTGTCAAATTAAAATCTAATACAATTTAGATTTACTGTCCTCCCCTCAGTCGGAGTACAAGATGGAGTGTGGACTCCTTCTGGATGTTGTAATCGGAAAGTGTGCGGCCATCTTCCAGTTGTTTACCAGCAAAGATGAGACGTTGCTGGTCTGGGGGAATTCCCTCTTTGTCCTGGATTTTAGCCTTCACATTCTCAATAGAGTCTGATGGCTCAACCTCAAGAGTAATGGTTTTTCCTGTGAGGGTTTTCACAAAGATCTGCATACCTCCCCTCAATCGGAGTACAAGATGGAGTGTGGACTCCTTCTGGATGTTGTAATCGGAAAGTGTACGGCCATCTTCCAGCTGTTTACCAGCAAAGATGAGACGTTGCTGGTCTGGGGGAATTCCTTCTTTGTCCTGGATTTTAGCCTTCACATTCTCAATAGAGTCTGATGGCTCGACCTCAAGGGTAATGGTTTTTCCTGTGAGGGTTTTCACAAAGATCTGCATACCTCCCCTCAGTCGGAGTACAAGATGGAGTGTGGACTCCTTCTGGATGTTGTAATCGGAAAGTGTACGGCCATCTTCCAGCTGTTTACCAGCAAAGATGAGACGTTGCTGGTCTGGGGGAATTCCTTCTTTGTCCTGGATTTTAGCCTTCACATTCTCAATGGAGTCTGATGGCTCGACCTCAAGGGTAATGGTTTTTCCTGTGAGGGTTTTCACAAAGATCTGCATACCTCCCCTCAGTCGGAGTACAAGATGGAGTGTGGACTCCTTCTGGATGTTGTAATCGGAAAGTGTACGGCCATCTTCCAGCTGTTTACCAGCAAAGATGAGACGTTGCTGGTCTGGGGGAATTCCTTCTTTGTCCTGGATTTTAGCCTTCACATTCTCAATAGAGTCTGATGGCTCAACCTCAAGGGTAATGGTTTTTCCTGTGAGGGTTTTCACAAAGATCTGCATACCTCCCCTCAGTCGGAGTACAAGATGGAGTGTGGACTCCTTCTGGATGTTGTAATCGGAAAGTGTACGGCCATCTTCCAGCTGTTTACCAGCAAAGATGAGACGTTGCTGGTCTGGGGGAATTCCTTCTTTGTCCTGGATTTTAGCCTTCACATTTTCAATAGAGTCTGATGGCTCAACCTCAAGGGTAATGGTTTTTCCTGTGAGGGTTTTCACAAAGATCTGCATACCTCCCCTCAGTCGGAGTACAAGATGGAGTGTGGACTCCTTCTGGATGTTGTAATCGGAAAGTGTACGGCCATCTTCCAGCTGTTTACCAGCAAAGATGAGACGTTGCTGGTCTGGGGGAATTCCTTCTTTGTCCTGGATTTTAGCCTTCACATTTTCAATAGAGTCTGATGGCTCAACCTCAAGGGTAATGGTTTTTCCTGTGAGGGTTTTCACAAAGATCTGCATACCTCCCCTCAGTCGGAGTACAAGATGGAGTGTGGACTCCTTCTGGATGTTGTAATCGGAAAGTGTGCGGCCATCTTCCAGTTGTTTACCAGCAAAGATGAGACGTTGCTGGTCTGGGGGAATTCCTTCTTTGTCCTGGATTTTAGCTTTCACATTCTCAATAGAGTCTGATGGCTCAACCTCAAGGGTAATGGTTTTTCCTGTGAGGGTTTTCACAAAGATCTGCATACCTCCCCTCAGTCGGAGTACAAGATGGAGTGTGGACTCCTTCTGGATGTTGTAATCGGAAAGTGTACGGCCATCTTCCAGTTGTTTACCAGCAAAGATGAGACGTTGCTGGTCTGGGGGAATTCCCTCTTTGTCCTGGATTTTAGCCTTCACATTCTCAATGGAGTCTGATGGCTCAACCTCAAGGGTAATGGTTTTTCCTGTGAGGGTTTTCACAAAGATCTGCATACCTCCCCTCAGTCGGAGTACAAGATGGAGTGTGGACTCCTTCTGGATGTTGTAATCGGAAAGTGTGCGGCCATCTTCCAGTTGTTTACCAGCAAAGATGAGACGTTGCTGGTCTGGGGGAATTCCTTCTTTGTCCTGGATTTTAGCCTTCACATTCTCAATAGAGTCTGATGGCTCAACCTCAAGGGTAATGGTTTTTCCTGTGAGGGTTTTCACAAAGATCTGCATGGCTCTGAAAATAAAAAAAAAAATTAGTTATTAGATCAAGGATAGTCAAACTATTTGCTAAAACAAATAAAACTGAAGGACAGTATATAATACTCATCACTATATTTAAAATTGAACAACGCAGAATAAAAAATGTTATAACGGTATCCGTTGCAGAATAGTTATAGATAATATCGACAAAGGACAGAATATATACCGAACAACCCTTTGTGACCTCGCCTATCACCTGATTCGAGCATCCGGTTATGACGTCACAATACATAATTATATACAGATGAAATAACATTCCGCCATCTTGAAATAATGGAAAAAGCATTTATTTCTACGAGTACAACACCTAAATTGAACGAAATAACTGTCTTGAGAATCACATTTCACTTGCTGTCACGTAGGCCTAATGTTGATATACCAAACAAATCTATTCTAGAAACGTCTTTGTTTTCCTGGCGGCGGGAATCGCAACAAAACATTTGGCTTACCGCAAAATACTGAATAAATAAACTATTCATATTTACAAAAATCGTACATTTTCCAAGAGAACGAATCAATTTTCTTTGTTTTTCAACATAACAAAGATTAAATGGAGTCTAGACATTGATGTCAACGTCCGGGTCTGGATAATTTAAAGGATGAACCGACTCACAACAGTACATAACAGTAGGCACTAGCCTACCTTATATCCATTAGAAAGTTTACATGAACTAACAGATTGACTGAAAATATAATAGATATGTCTAATAACTATTCAAAATTTTAAATCTTACCTTTGTTCTGTGTTTAGATTTACTGATATTTCTTCTCTGGTCTCTATCGCTGTTGTTCACGGACTTACTACTGCGACGTTTGCTCCCTGGCAATATATACCCTATACATGTCATGTGACTATATCCAACGAATCACGGGACCGTTCGAGAAAAATCATCATTGTGCAAGAACAAACCTGACGGCTGATATCTAAAAATAGGTGTCACGTGTTACTTAATATAGGTATGATATCACATGATTTCGATAACAGTCCCCGTGCCGACGTAGCTGTTTACATAATATCCTAAAATCTATTTTTTAAATACGCCATGTCGCTATTTCAAACCGCTGACATGACACTTTTCTTATTAATGACATAGACCTAACTTGCATAATGCAGAGAATTTTATTTTCGATCGGTGTCGGTGTGATCAGATCTATGCTTCCAAAATAAATCTAGTTCTGGCACAGATTAAAGGATTACAGAAAGGAAACACTAAGCATAACAGGGTAAAATTATCGGTAAGATATCACACGCTCACACAAGACAACTAAATAGTTACGAATTTGGAATCCGTCGTAACTAGCCTAGCTATTTCTTGTTTATTTCGATTATTTTAAAATTTGCTACATAAATTTTCTTTCCGTGACATATTTCACGGATAGGATTGGGGAAAAAATAGTAATTAAGTCACAAAATGTACGACTGCCCTAGATCTAGGTCTGTGCTCATTATAATTGAACCATACTGATCTCCCCCGTGTGATTCTGTATCATGTGGCTTCCAATTTCGCCATACAAAACACGGGTCTTATCCTTGTGAATGTACAAACCGACTTTTGTGCACTCACTATTTATTGAATTGGCACCTCTCTATAGCTAATATCTCTTTGAGGAAATTGATCAGGGAATTAATATCGACCGTTTCTGTTGGCATTTGGCCATAGTCGCATTTTAAAACGTTTGACGCTGTATACAAAAACGATACATAAACTAAATTGAGGTTTTGCTTGTTTACTGTGTATATCAGCCCTGGAGCAATTAGGATCATTTTGAGGCGCAGTCCTTGTACCAACCAGCTGGTGGGGACCTCACTGAACAACATACGAGAGGCGTCAAACCACTGACCCCCTGAGACATGTCGAGGACAATCAAACTTGTTTGCCCACCCCCCCCCCCCCCCCCCCCAAACATCTTTTCAGTTTCAAAGTGTTTACTTGCTATGACATTGTACGTCTAGAATAGAGGAACAAATACGAAACATCGAGCTCATTATAACTTTATTTTTTCCATATTATATAATTTGAAATGGTTGTTATATGAGCATAATCGTATATTACGTTACATAAAATTATGATTAGGATTATATTTATAATGTTTTGTTACGATGCTATATAATGGAATGACGTCATGACACTTGGAGTGATAAGGAAGATTTACAATACAACTCATTCGTTCTTTCACTTTCGCTTCCCTGAGGGAGGTTGGGGTTGCGAACGTAAAATATTCAATATCGTGGTAACTACATCGTCAATAAAATATAGAAAAGTGGCTATGGTTAAGAAATACGATCTGTAGATATTTCCTGTTTTAAGGAAGAGGAAGAATTTATATGAAACTACATATTTTTTTTCTATTTGACAGACATGAAACATGATATTATGAATTCTATCTTACATTCAACGACTTAGAATAAGTCCGTGTTACAACTAAAAATATAACTCCTTGCACGATAGAATTTCATCAATTATTCACTTTTTTGTTGAAGAATATTATGTCACACTTCCACATATGATATAAATACAAACGTATACCACGCTCAGGTTTCAATGTATGTCTAAACATTCCATCCATATCTAATCCTGTAACAACGAGCAGAGCTACGTGCACGTGACGTGATAGCAGAGTCATATTCTAATGTGAAGGTCAATGAACATTTGCATGTTAACCCGTTGGGGAGTAACATCATTTCATCATGTAGTGTGTAGCAGCCAGAGACTGGTCGGCAAGATTGCACCACACCACACTGAAACGTAGGCAGGAGATTCCTTATTTCACAAGGGAGATTCCTAACATTATTGCCTTTCACTAGTAGGTTTGCAATGTCAATTTTCTTTTCGGAGATAATATTTGACAAGTATTTATTTGTCCACTCATTCATTAATTGTGTTTGTATTCTGTCAATCTTATTCAAGAGGGTTTGACCACTAACATTAGTCATTTGACCACTGACCAGTCCTCTCTGATATTTAAGTAGTGGTGTTACCACTATTTTTGGAATGAATATCTGCCATACTTTGTCTGGAAATAGACCATCATTGTCCGCTGGGGTCGTTACTGAAGAGAACCCTTCAAACAAAAGTACACCTTTAGGCACAATCAATACATCGTCTACAATATCATCATATGTCTCGTCTGACCGAGGTATCGTAGGAGGAATACCGAAATTGTCCACTCGTCTGTAATTATCTGGTGGAATCGGTGACCAGTACTGACCAATATCGGAAACTGTCGATTCCAGTGCACTGTTTAGTCTGTACAATTTCACAACATCGTCGATAGGTGTCGTAACAACGTAGAATTTCCCTCGAAACCGGTCAACCTGACGCCTGTCCACAATGTCAAGCAATCCTTGACCACAGTCGTGGTCACTCGCTGTGAAGTGAAGTCTTGATTCTGTCAAGCCATGAGTTGGTTTCCTGAAACTATTTTCCATACTGGCCTCGCACGCCGTAGTTTTAATACGCCTACCTAAGGACTCATATGTACGTACACAATACGTACGTAAGGGAATTCCCCCGTGTAGGCGATAATAGTACTGCATATGAGCAACAAGTCTAGGCTTGTGAACAGGAATTAGATTATACCTATCTTGTGTGTTGTAGCTAAAGACCCAGTAATTGTGTCATACCAAGCTTGGGAAGCGCAGTCAAAGGAAGCAAATTCAAAGTTCAAAATATTTTTTATTTAAATGTCAAGCACAAAATACACATTTTTTGCATTATTCCTTAAACGCAATACATCATAAAATGTGCCCAGTCAAAAATTTTAGCTTACTAGACACTTAACTACATATTGAAATATGACATAAACATTATAGCTACTGACACTTCCAGTAAGTACTTGCTTCATGAAAACCTTATAATAGTTTAAATAACTCGATGCCGAACTATATACAATGTAATGCAATATGGAAAATATGTTTTCTCTTCCTCCACATAAGACAAAGTTGGGTTGACAAAATTTTCTGAAGATTTGGCTCCAGAATCATATATCTGAATTGTTTAAACTTGTTAATAAATATCATTAAAATATTCACACAAATTAATTGCTTTATATGAAGTAATAGATCGAAGATCTTCATAATGTACATAATCCATTAAAAAAGAACATTATCCTCATTTTCTACATCAGAATTACATAATTTACATAATATATTGTAAAGAGAAATCACTGGTCGGGCGTGACTACACTTTTCCATAACAAGAGGCAAAGAACCACATCTGAAATTGAGTAAAGGTTTTAATTAACATTTAACATGAACACATTTAACATAATCATTGACGACTGGTTCAAACTTAAAAGTTCGGTATGTACATAGTTTGTGACAATTAAATTCATTGCAATCATCACACAGAGATATTTCCGGTGCCACCTTTTATTTTCTTCCTTAATTTAAGTTTTGTGCATTGATAGCCGGTGTGATACATTTGCATTTACGACATCGATTAAACTGTATCTGAGACTAGACCAAACACTAGAGTCTCAGGACTCTCTAATGTTACAGGACCACCAGTGAAGTAACTGCAATACCCTTGAATTATCACAGTTCCTAATACGTAGAAAGAATATTTAAAAATTCCTCTGTCAGTTGACTTACTTCACACGAGTTAAACCCATGTCGCCCCAAGAGCAGTATTGATTGCATTTCTAGCAGCTTCCAGGAAATATCTACAGGTCTTATGTTTTAGCCATAGTCATTTTTCTATATTTCAAATGCGACAGCTATGTAGTTTTTTTAGCGTGTATCTTGTTACAGTTATTAATTTCCTAATCAACTGGAGTAGGTCTAGAACAGAACAGAAAAATAATATGGGAGTACGGAGTTCACTTATGTACGGCAATGGGTGATCAGACTTATTGTGATGAATGGCAATTTAACTTACATTTGTTTTCGAGATGAAATTTTAAGACCAGTAAGTGGTGGTATGTCCATACATGGCGTTGACGCTATTTTCTCAGCAGAACTTTCCTATATCACATTAACGTGTTTGAAACGTTTTCAGGTAACACATGAGAAAACGTCAAAATCAACAGTCAAACGTGCAGGAGCCTTGAACGTTAAATGACGCATATGTAATAAATGGGCGGATAATTAGAGATGAGACGGTCAACACTACAAATCTGTTTAGCTCGCAAAAGATGGCCATATATAGCCGTCACTATGATGGGGTTAGATTTAAAACTGACCCCAGCGTCCTTTTACGAATAAAAATGAAACTAAATTTAAATTATGGCAACATTTTTATCCATGGCGACACCGGAGAATCATGTATGTTGGTGCAAACCATATACCATCAGAATTATGGACTTCAAAATTACCCGAACACAAACCGAATCTAGGTAGGCCTCAAACTCTTCGTTTCGGTTTCTGAAACCTCTTGAGTTAGGATAAAGCATTATCATTTTCTCTCAGTTTCCTCCAAGTAAACTGAAGTTTATTCACAGACAGAAGGACGGACGGAAGAAAGGCGGTTGCAAAATCTATAATTCTATACTGAAATACAAAGTTTGTTTGATCCCGTTTGTGAAGTCGTTTAGAAATACACAAAATAAGAATAAAAAACGATAAAATATATTTTACAAAGATGATATTTATTGAATAAGTATATCTTACATTCAAATACAAATAAACATGTAAGTAAATATTCTCAGTCCATTTTAACCGAATACCACTGACATTGTTCCGGGCTCTGGCTCGTCTCCTTAAATGAAAGGCAACCAACTTATTTCACATAGGATGCTCGCTCTAGAAAAATTCCTCTATCTCGTCTTTGGCAGTTAACCATTTGTAGCTTACAAAGTGTCGGTCCATGAAAGTATTGTTTTAAATTATTCTAGGTGTTTTCGTCATTTTGTTCAGCAAATATTTCCATGTTAGACAGTGAGAGATAGATAGAGAGCTTGAGCTTCAAGGCAGATATTGTACAAGTAGATGAGACGAAAGTCCAGGGCGGAGTATGCGGTCGTTTAGTTTGAAGAAGAATCGGCTTCAGCAGGTAACGGAGAAGGTGGCTGCTCAGGGTCGGCTATAACCGGAATAGGACTTGGAGGTGGTGGTGGTGGACATGGGTAGATTGGGTCATTGTCCTTGATCCAGCAAGTGCCTCTTACGTCTCTAGTGCAAATGGGGAAGGTGAATAAGATCTTCAGTCCACGTGGAGGTGGAGCAAGTCTCAGTCGATAGTACTTCTTACCACAAGGTACTTGAAGTGGTATACCTTCCATTTCTTCTTCGGTCATGTAAGGATGGATTTTTTGGTTTCCTACGACGTTTCAGACATTCCAGGAAAGCAAAACAGCCCATTATTGAAGTCTTTGAGAAATCGTGCGAATGTTTGTTGATATTCAGGATGTAAATTATGACGTCATACGTAGATACATAATATATTGTGACGTCACAAGCTATATTTTGATCTCGTTATGACATGATTTGATCTTTTGACGAAATGAAAAACAACGCTTTTCGAAGTCTTAAAGTTGTGAGGCTATAATATACTGTAACACGTCTTTAATAGACAAGCCGTCCATAGAACGACGGTATATATTGTCTAAACCCGAAGAATCACCTTTTTCTTTGTCTGTTGGGTTTTACTTTATTAAATATCTAACTACAGATATTGTTAGCCAACCTTTCGAGTATTTTCGTTTAGTGAAAAATCCGATTGGAATATATATATATAGCAGCTGTAATTACCAGATGGCACATTTAAGACATATTCAGAGTGTCCAATAGACATATAAATAGAAAATTGTTGAATAACTAGGCCTAGTGCATTGCTTTCCGGAACTTTATACACGTCATACTATTCTACTTCTACCTATCATTTCAACGTTTCCGATTATAATGTTGTTAAAGTGTAAATTTTCAAAATGAAAAAGGCTCTGGATTACAGACGTCGATCGACAAAATAAAGTCTTTTATTTAATCAGGGGTTGAAGTTTGTTGTTAAATAAAAAAAAAAACCTGTCTCAGAAAACGTTTCAAAACATCTTTGTAATCATGAAATTCATTTTCCGTCGGAGCGCTTCACCACCCTGATCTCTCCTAGGCTGCCCCAGACCCCCCGCCTGGACTTACATATTTCTGCTGGGCTAGCTACGCCCTTGATTATTAAGCTCTGGAACCGTCTACCAAAACTAGAATAATGAAGCGATCACCGCTACAGACGGTTCCATCACACTGAGAGGGGTGCAGGTCGCTCCCTCACGTCGCTAGAACACCGATATACGTCGGTGAGATGATACCCGGACACGGGAGGAGTCACAAAGACGGAAATCTTGTTAACCTATCAACCAAACTCATCTGTGATATCTCTCAAATTACAGCACATGTCCTTTACAATAACATGACATTAGTTCACAACACTCATTCGGAAGTTCGTATCAATACGCAGGAATCGAAGATGCAAGCTGTAGTTTATTGATATATATTTTTTTTTGATGGGGGGTGGGGGGGGGACATTTTTTTTTATCAAATACCTACTGTCGCCGCCAAAGGAAGGGAATTAACCCCAGTACATGTAACGTAAAAGTGCACAAAATGAATAGCTTATTGACCAACAAAGTATAAAATGTACTAATTTGGATAGTCTTAGTATTATAGTGTGACGACCGTTTCAAATATATATCTATTTATATAAATATAAATACATTTATATACATTTATGTAAGCACGCGTATACGTATGTCGTTGGTGAAAAAAGATATCCATGAAAAACAGCATATAACTGTATACTCGTAAGTATACGCGCAGACTTATAGAAATAACTTTAGGACTGTTTAGCAGCTGTACTACATTTACTTTATTACGGAACTATCTGTCGGACGCCCGAAAATTCCCTGGTATGCGTTACAATCATATTGTGTGTGGTACGAAAAATCCCGTTATTCCCAAATAGTATACACGTATATACGTATGGTATGATGTCAGTAATGGAATTTAAATTTCTATTTTCAGTTTCTGATAAATACCCTGTTCAGTGATGATACCTTATATATCCCCATCTTCGGTGATACTATAAACAGTATGATGCTTTTAATGTCTATACTTTGGTTATTGAACTTCTGGTCATAAGGAAAGATAGATCAGTCAAGGTTTCAGGTTTTAGCTTCATCACCGAATCACTTTTTGGGAGTTACTCCGTCACCTTTTGCTAACAATGGTGTTTACTTAATTACATACTTAATTATCATCCTCGATACTTCATGGGACAGTGAAGCCATGAAGTATTGAGGATTATTTTTATATATAACTCAATAGAAATTTACACTTCATGTAAAATATTCTTCTAAATATTCATTATGTTGAAAATGTTTAATACGAAACCGTGCTTAGTCGGTGTATACGGGGAAAATCCCATTTGAGTCTCCGCAATTTGATCAGTGCATTCTCGGCAGACCCCATCGACAAGGCCCTCATCGAACGGACCTTAAGACAAGGGAGATAATAAGGTATCATAATTCTATTTCCTGTAAACATCAAGGTGCTTTTGGTGATGGTTAAGTCAGCTGTACTATTTCAGACGGTATTTAAATCAGAATAACCCAGGTAAGCAATTTAGGTATGTTTAAGAATTGATTTTTATAATAAATATCTTTCAGTGGATTTAGCTAGACAATTGGCGTAGCTATTCATTACAATCTAATATATCAACATTGTATACATGTGCGTGTATCTGTCGCCGCGACATCAGTTCCGGAGCGTTATGAATTTCGGACCGGCCAAAGCTATATCACGAAGATTATTGACCTGCGTGACCTCAAAACCGGAAGATTTTAGTTGCTGTAACATATCCTGATGATCCAAAAATACAAAAAAGGAGAATAATGTGTTTAAGTCCATGCACCTTAAAATAGTATGCGTATATATTTCATTGGCAAATTTGTTTACTTGTTCATAATACACATTTTTACATGTCATTGATGTAATAAACCACCAATCAATCTTTGGAGTTTTATTGTCTGTGAAGTGAAAAGATCATAAACAATATGACACATCTCCTTGCATTTTTTTGGCCTCAGAAGTCCAAATATGCACATCTCATATTAATCCTTTTTGGGGTTCCTCCTTGGGACTGATTTATATCAGATGTTTAACGATGTCCCGGGTCTGACATTGGACATTGTCAAACATCTGATGTAAATCGGTCCTAAGGAAGAATCCCAGAAGGGATTAATCTTATTTTGGAAGAGTGATGATTTTTTAATTATCACTTTTTAAGACTCATTTCTAATTTGAAATAATATTATAGACCGACAGATGAAAATAAAACTTTATTTAAATAGTTTGTTATACAGAAAGGAAGTTTTTCAAGAAGTATGGCTCATTTGAGAAAAAAAAGACCAAACAGTAAAAACTTGAATCTAGCCCTTTAGCATGGATACACACAAAAAACAGATATGCATTGTCACACCATTTAGTGATGTCATCAGAAACAGATATGCAGTCATTTAAGGAGAGTGAATTTGAGGTTGTATTTGTGGAGATCTCTTAAGAAAAATACTGGCATTTCGTTGGATTTTAAAAAAAAATATTACAGTATGAGCAAATTGAGCAGTTGATATACATATCTATGATAATATATGTATATTGCAGTATGGCACAAGGTACTAGCTGAAATAAATGCTACCACACTGCCGTTTTAAATGGTAATCTATGGTGTAACAGGCACATTGCTGAATGCCACTTTGGAGTCATCAAGTCATGTTGAAATGATTATAACTACAGCACTAAAATAGAAAATATAATCATGCTAAAATATTAGCCACAATATACTATTTTGGCTTCAGAGATCTTCTATTTACCTCAAACTGTCATGGTTGAGCATCAGACTGGTAAGTCATAGGTCCCAGGTTCAAATCCTAGCAGAGGCATTAAAATAAATATCAATATATATATGTATTGGTGCCCATGTACTTTCACAATTAAGCATCACTTTTACCCCAAGAAACTCACTAGCTAGTGATTTCCTACAGGAAGATTATATAACCCTAGTAACTATGTATACCAATGTAACAGAGGTCATTATTTATTTTAATGCCCCCGCTAGGAATCGAACCTGGGACCCCTGGTGTACTAGTCTGACGCTCAACCAATCAAGCTAAAGAGAAGTTCTCTCTAGCCAAGTGGTATATTGCGGCTAGTATTTTACCAGGGTTACATACTCCCCCTCCAGGAAATAACTCTTCCTCGAGTTTCCAGGGGTTACAGCGATGCTGGTGGGGCATGGCTAAGTACTATTCCCGGGTCCCTACATGGGCGCCAATGTAACAGAGGTCATTTTTTATTTCAATACCTCCGCTAGGAATCGAACCCGGGACCCCTGGCGTACTAGTCTGACGCTCAACCAATCGAGCTAAAGAGAAGTTCTCTCTAGCCGAGTGGTATATTGCGGCTAGTATTTTACCAGGGTTACATACTCCCCCTCCAGGAAATAACTTGTCCTCGAGTTTCCAGGGGTTACAGCGATGGTTGTTGTTGGGCATGGCTAAGTACTATTCCCGGGTCCCTACATGGGCGCCAATGTAACAGAGGTCATTATTTATTTTAATGCCTCCGCTAGGAATCGAACCCGTGACCCCTGGTGTACTAGTCTGACGCTCAACCAATCGAGCTAAAGAGAAGTTCTCTCTAGCCAAGTGGTATATTGCGGCTAGTATTTTACCAGGGTTACACCAATCTTAGCTTTGGTTCAATCAAATGAGTCTAAGATTAGTAATAAGCCAGAGGTACCAGGTTTGAATCCTAGAATCTCCTCTATCCGTGTAACAATCAGATTAAAACTATGTAATGAAATGAAACTTTCCTTAAACAAATTATTGTATATATTTTAACTTGGTATAAAACTGATGGCAGATGGTACATAATCATGGACATTGTACATGTACACATGTATGACTAGGCAAGTTTGCTGGACTTTAGTCTCTTGATCATGACTTTACCAAAGAGAAGGAATTGGATTCATTACATTTGAATAGGTCGAGGGAAAATGAGGACAATTATAAACTCTTTTGAGTTTTTCTTTAATTTTCTGTGATCTGCTCTTTATAATTATATTCCCTCTGTGATAGGTATAAAACAAGGGTATTGCTGATTACGCAAATGAAAAACCAGTTTTTTTATTAATGCACAAGTACATCTGTATCCATGTCAATGATGTTCCTTTTTTTTTATTCGTGTATCAGTCCATCAGCTTTGAATTAAATTATCAAATTCTTTGTTGACATGTGGTAGTAACATTAAAAGAGGGTGAATTTATGTAGGAATGATTTTGCTTACTTTATCAACAGGAAAATCTTTGTCATTATTCCATTTCCATCATTGTTTCAGAATGAGACTTACAGTCGTTCTGCTAAAGGATAGCAGTAAGTATGTGAAGCGTTATTTAGGGAGAATAATGCAAGATTCCCTAAGCAACAAAACATGGAAGCCACATACTGGATGGGTTAATGTTCCTAAAGAAGTAAAAAGTTCGAAATGGTATTATTCTGAGTTTCCTGTATGGACTGAACAAGCAAGAATGGTATACCAGCGAAAGACGAGGACACCCCCAATTCAACCCATTAAACAGTGGAATATATTTATGGATGATTTGGTGAGTTAAAGTCCCAAAAATATACATATGCACCTATGATGTTGTCAAATCTGTTGTTATACTGAACAAAATAAGTTAAGGATCATAAACTTGAAACAGTGCAGTTTTACATACAAATAATAATATGATTATATTTTAAATTTTAATGACAGACATTCATTTTAGTCTTTAATTACACAAAACAAATTCATTTGTGGTAATTGCTACCAAGAGCAGATAACCCTGAAACAGCACCCTTGAAATCAAAGTTAAAGGAAGTATTAATCATGTACATTGTGGATGTCTTCAAACTGCAATTGGCAGTTTACTGTCCGTTGACATCAATAACTGCCCTGCAACGTCTGCACATGCTCCTTTTCCTCGTCGGTGGCTGAAATTTCCTCTTGCAGAGCAATCACATTTGGCGGTTCTGTGGCGGATTAGGTCGAGCTGAAACCCGGCGTTGCAAGGTGTCCCAAGCATGCTCGATGGGTTCAGATCCGACTTGGCCAGTCCATGCGAACGATTGCTTCACGTTGAAGATAGTCGTTGACCACACGAGCACGGTGAGGACGAGCATTATCATCCATCAGAATAAAATCATGGCCAACAACTCCTGCAATGGGCCTTACTATAGGGTGTAAATAGAATGTTAAAGATCCATTGTCTATGATGTAGAGGTCTGTATGGAAGTCAACACTGTCCCTGCAAACCATCACTGACCCACCACCAAAGCGATCATGCTGGACAACACAGCAGTCTGCATAGTGCTCTCCTTGGGTTCTCCATACCCTCCTCCTACCGTCATGGAAGTCAACACAAAACCTAGACTCATCTGTGAACATAACATTTCTCCAATGACGTAATTGCCAATTCAAATGATGAGTGGCCCATTGATGTCTGGATTGTCGATGACCTCTGGATAAAATTCAATTTTTTGGATATAATTGTCTGGGATGAAATCCTTAGATTTGTAGCAAAACTAATTCAAGACAGGAGCACTTAACTCGTGCCGTGATGCAAATATTACAGCGTTGATTAATATATATAGCTTTCACGCTTGAGAAACATGAAGCTGTGCCGCTACATTTCGTTGAGTTTGACCAGCTTGAAGGAGCCCTATAGCTCGCGCGGCTTCCATATCATTTAAATGTCTTCGCATGATTAGTTTTTCAAGTTTTCGTTACAAATTGATTAAATGTTTCCAAATTCAACTTTTTTTAGCTTAGAAGTAACAGAATCAAAACCTGCAAGATTCCTCTGTAGTAATAGACCAGTCAGTTTACACCACCATAGTTAACTAGAGCGGAACGGCAAGACCTTCAGATGCACGTGCTTTCACCTTTGACATGACTTTAGGTACATATGGGAGAAACTACGAGTGCAATTACCGGCAATACATGATTTGAATTTTTGAAGATATTATGGTCACAATTTATGATCCTTAACTTATTTTGTCCAGTATATTTGAAGCATTGACTTAAAATATGATGTACATTGTGGATGTCTTCCTGGTTTCACTGTTGACTAAAACTGCTGTTTGCTAATTAAGAACTTTTGAAATTCTGACATCACATTTCTGATAATAGAAAAGAAATCGTGTTTCCTGCAGAGCATTCATCTTGGTCTATAAAATGAAGAGAAATAGAATGGAGTTTTTCATTCATGTTGCAAAGTGTCACCAACTCACTGATTTTGTCAGATCAAACATGGTCATATCATGATTTGCTTAAATCCAGAAAAATAATTCAATATTTTGGATATAACAAAGTTGAAATAATGTTAACTTTATGATATTATTAATAATTAACCTTTTTTGGGTCTTTCTACATTGATGGCCATTTAAAACACCCATTATCCATCATAGATTTTGAAGATATTAACCTTAAATATTATTTTACAAAAGGTCAGCACACTAATATATTTGAGCTGTATTGGAAAAAAATGTGAGTTTAATATTAGAAATAAGACATCTAAGATCTCTTGCTCTGTGGTAAGTTTAACCATCCATTTGACAAAGAGGTGTGATATTTGGCAAATGCCTTTATGAATATTCACAAGACTCTTGTTGGTCTTTGTATCTCAGATCTATATCTTATGTCTAATTGTTGGTATCAGCTTATATCAATATTTATATATGAATGTTATAATTCACAGGTGGAAGTTCTGGTGGGTAAGGACAAAGGGAAACAAGGACATGTGATAAAAATTATTAAGGAAAGGAACTGGTGTTTTGTACGAGGCTTACATGTGGTAACTATGCATTCCTTGTTGCTACTATTTGATATGTATGTTAAATACCCTATGATGTTGCTGTTGTCTTCTTTGCAGTATGTCCCTGCAGTATGTTGAAGTTGTATTTAGGGTTGTCTTGCAAGTAACAAGATTCCTTAGAGAATGTTGACCACCTACAGCTTATCATGTATCTGTCAACACATAGGATTTTAGCTCACCTTATCCTAAGGACAGATGAGCTTATGCCATCTGTTGTCCATCTGTCTATTTTTAGAATGTCCTTATTTTGCCAGAATTCTTGTGGCTTCAATACTTAAATGGTTGGGATTAAAGTTTATGCAGTTGAGCATTTTTTACTGCTCATCAGTCAAGGTTGACCCACATATTATATAGCTAAGATCACTTCTAGACCATTCCTTTATCCATCATGAGGCCTTCTTCTCAAATAAGATTTATACATTTAGATTTTATTTTTTTATTTTCCAGGAGCACAAATATGAACCAGGCGATTCAACAACTCACCCCGGGACATGTGAATGTAAAGAGAAACCCCTCCTGGTGACCACAGAAGTGGCTTTAGTTGACCCCTCCGATAGGTGAGACATTACACCACCAATAACTTACAGAATTAATTAAGACCCATTTGAAATAAAAGTATCCGCTATATTTCAAAGCTATATGGATCAAAAAGTTATTATTAATGACTTTTAATATTTACTGTTTCTTAATCATGATATTGACGGACAGATCCAGATTGCAAAAAGTAGAAATCTGTCTGTTTAATCAAAAGATCAATATGATGACATCTATAGAAATGAACCATGATTCAATGAAAAATAAGCATAGGTCTAAATCATTATACCAGTATCTTTTATCAGGAAGGTGTTTTTAGTCATTGTTAATTCACAGTGTTATCCCAGGCGGAAAAAGGGGAAATTTGATAGTTCTTTGAAATGCTTTCTCCTGAGGAAATGATCGATTTTGCTCGAATTTGGTCTAAATCTTCCCTGGGTGAAGGGAAATCAATTTCATATAACGATGGGTCTAGGCTCATTGGGCCCAATATGGGAAAAAGAGCAAATCCTACTTCTCCTGTAGGAATGCATGAATTTGGGTCTAAAATATTCATTGTTGAAGGGGAAACAGTATTGTATAACAGTGGATCTCTGCCCCCTTGAGAGTGAAGGAGAGGCCCGTTGGGGAAATAGAATAAATTCATTAAAATCTGTCTTCTGTAGGAATAGGAGGATTCTATTTCAATTTGTACAATTTATTTTTGCCGACCCCCAATGGCAGAGGGCTGATACCAAATAGGGAAATAGATATACATTTATAGGATTTCTTTTCCTTTAGTTTAGGTGAAGAAATTTCAACCAAACAAAGCCTGATGTATGACACAGGCTCCATCATATTTTTGTTATCAGAGTTTAAGCCATAATATTGTATCTTTTGTCCATAAACTTTGTTTTCTATAAAGTGGTACTACTGGTAGTTTTTAATGTGGATTTTGATAAAATTTGGTCAGAGCATCATTGGATGAATGGGAATCAATTGTGTATAGGGAGGTATGGGGTTCAATAGGGGAAATAGAGCAAACACTTTAAAATCTTACTCTTCTTGTAGGAATAATTGATTTTGCCCAAACGAGGTGGGAGGGGCGGTGCCCAAGAGGGGAAAAGGTTTAAATCATTTAGGTAAGATAAAGGAATTTCAACTAAACCAAGAGAGTATTACAAGCCATAATGGTCTCTTTTTTCCATTTCAATTTTCAGAAAACCAACAGAATTTGAATGGCGGTTCACAGAGGAAGGAGAAAAGGTGCGAGTATCGAAAAGAACGGGTAGAATCATTCCCATTCCCCTGGATGAACAAGATATTCTTGTACTTGAAAGAGGTGCTCGGAAAAGCAACTATAAAAGTAAGTAAACTTATGGGACAAGAATTTGTCTGTCAGTCATCTTATTGTGAAACGAGTTTTGACGTATACTTGGACAAGTGTTCTGGGCTACCTCGAGCAGTACCTAGTGTCATACTAGGGACACCCAATAACAAGAGATTTACCAGAGATTTTGACTTATAAAATTTGGATCTTGGCCAAAAGAATACCATAATAACCATTATCTCATGTGGGATTATATCATGATAAAGTGTTTTCATTACTTAATATTTATAGTGAAAATTTGGTACATGAAATTTTTTTTTGATTAGCGGGATAAAATAAAATCTGATATTATAAAAAGTCAGCTCTTCTGTAGAAAGAAAGTGAAGAAATTAATAAGGGTACATAATTATCTACATGAGACAAGTATTTGCATGCCAGTCATATTTTTGTTGATCTTTTTCAGAGGGTAATAGAGATACAGCTGAATCAGATGTTGTTGAGATAACATTTGAACCAAAACTGGTCTCATTTGAACAAGACATTATGGAATCTATGGGTATCAAGGACGAACAGAATCCAAATGAACCACAGACTTATTGGTATTAGAAAATCCTCTGTTAAATGAATACCCAGGAAAGATGCCATCAGACTTATTGGTATTAGAAAATCTTCTATTAAATGAATACCCAGGAAAGATGCCATCAGACTTATCGGTATTAGAAAATCCTCTGTTAAATGAATACCCAGGAAAGATGCCATCAGACTTTTCAGTATTAGAAAATCTTCTATTAAATGAATACCCAGGAAAGATGCCATCAGACTTATCGGTATTAGAAAATCCTCTGTTAAATGAATACCCAGGAAAGATGCCATCAGACTTTTCAGTATTAGAAAATCTTCTATTAAATGAATACCCAGGAAAGATGCCATCAGACTTATCGGTATTAGAAAATCCTCTGTTAAATGAATACCCAGGAAAGATGCCATCAGACTTTTCAGTATTAGAAAATCCTGTTGAATGAATACCTGGGAAAAGTGCCCTCAGACTTAGTCAGTCTGACACTAGATATCTGTTCAGCAGAGTAATTTACTAAGGTGTGTATAACATGTTCAGTGCTGGAAGATACACTACTAGCTAACTCAATCTCTTTCAGATTTTGAAGGATTGTACTTCTTTTAGAGTCATGAAAGGCTGAGGAGATATGTCTGTTTAAGTCATGAACATTAAATGGACTTCACTTATGTGTGAGAGTGCTAATTTGTGATATGTAAATGATGTATGAGAATATTTGTAAAGAAGAAAATAAAAAATTCATCAAGTATTGAAATGTGTCGCTTTTGTGATCTTTATGCAAGGTAACATTAGTTGAATTGTTAACTATATTTTCAAACTGTTAAAAACTTTTGGTGTTTTGAGCAGTGAAGAAATTCAAAATCATCATTTTGAATTTTTTTTTTTCTTATGAACTTTTTATTTTGAATATCAGGTAATGTTTATTTCTGGCCAAATCACTCCATGATGAATAGCCAGGGTGATTTATTTATTGTTTCTGAAACTGAACTGGAGGTCTGAAATCTATACATCAAGCAGTGGCTGAGATATGCTCCAGGCCTGAAATCTATACATCAAACAGTGGCCGAGATATGCTTCAGGTCTGAAATCTATACATCAAACAGTGGCCGAGATATGCTTCAGGTCTGAAATCTATACATCAAGCAGTGGCCGAGATATGCTTCAGGTCTGAAATCTATACATCAAGCAGTGGCTGAGATATGCTTAAGGTCTGAAATCTATACATCAAGCAGTGGCCGAGATATGCTTCAGGTCTGAAATCTATACATCAAGCAGTGGCTGAGATATGCTCCAGGTCTGAAATCTATACATCAAGCAGTGGCCGAGATATGCTCCAGGTCTGAAATCTATACATCAAGCATTGGCCGAGATATGCTCCAGGTCTCAAATCTATACATCAAGCAGTGGCCGAGATATGCTTCAGGTCTGAAATCTATACATCAAGCAGTGGCTGAGATATGCTTAAGGTCTGAAATCTATACATCAAGCAGTGGCCGAGATATGCTCCAGGTCTGAAATCTATACATCAAGCATTGGCCGAGATATGCTCCAGGTCTCAAATCTATACATCAAGCAGTGGCCGAGATGTGCTCCAGGTCTCAAATCTATACATCAAGCAGTGGCTGAGATATGCTCCAGGTCTGAAATCTATACATCAAGCAGTGGCTGAGATGTGTTTCAGGTCTGAAATCTATACATCAAGCAGTGGCTGAGATATGCTCCAGAAATATTGTGTGGCAGACGGATCACCATTTACTCCAAACATACTCACAGAAGCAGATTGAAAAGAAAAAAATTGACCTTTATCCACTTTAAGAAAGACAAGAGATTTGAAAGTTGATTCTCATGAATGCACTAGTGAGTGATGCAGGCGCCAAGATTTTAATTGACAACATCAGCTTTATAAAGTTTTTCAAAGTTTTTTTAATGCATTAAGTAATGAGAACAATTGTTTAAACTCACAAAAATATTATCTCTTTCAATCACATCAACCAGTCACTCTCCTTACATAGTACTGAAAAAGCCACAACAAGACATCGAGGAAATTAAAAAAAAAATCTTTATAAAATGCTTCTTGCTGATTTTTTTTTGTGACCTATGTCCTCTGTAATCTACATTGCATAAACTTACAGAAATGACCCTTGTGATCACAAAGCTCTGTCATCTGGACTGGTTATCTAAATAGACATGACTGCAGGTAAAACTGAAATTTGTAACCCACCTACTGGTTAACTTTGACATTAGTGCAATTTCAATTTTACAATGAATGATCCAGTATGACGGACATTAATGCTTAAATCAACACATGACTAGAGTCTGTATAATATATACATTTGTCATAATGTATCCATATTTAATAAGCACTGAATAATATTAAAGGCAAGATTTTCAAAGCAACTGAAGGTTTCATTTTTCTTTTCTTGAGAAATGAAGAAATGAAATGTGAAAAAACAATAATTGTGATAAAATATCAAATCCTGATGCATTACTTGAATATTTTATGTTCAAAGTGCTTTCATTTTGCATAAATCAACACTACACCCAACATAAATCGTATAGTATACCAATATGAAAAGCAAAAATGCAAGAAAGATCTTGTGACATAGCTTGTCAGGTTAACATAAAACAAGATGAATAATTACTTTAACAAGAAAATTTCTTTCAACATGTAAGATACCCTGTATCTGAATGAGAAGAAGTTCCACTTAACCTCAGCTCATTTGTTTACATTGTTTTATTGTTTTCTTCATGTTATCGAAAAAAAACCACTTCTATCAACAAAAATTGTTTTTTTTTGTTTCTGATAGGACAGAAGAAGAAAATAGGAATATTCCAAACTCTGGCCGTGTAGACACCCTCTTACACTGGCAAACCCATTCAACTCATTACAATCACTATCATCAGTGAAGCACAACATCCATTTTATATATTTGATCAAATCTTTCACTGAACACTATCTGGTGCCCAATTCTGGAACTTGAAAAATCCTAAACTTTTCCATAGGGAAATATTACAGAGAAGAAATGTTTAAGGTAAACGTTTATAACAAATGTTCCCTCAACTCCAATATGCTTCCCTATAAACGCAGCTTACAGGCGAGAAACTTCCTTAAGTCAAGGAATAATTGAGTAACTTTTTGTGGAAAATAAACGATGGAAGTAATCTGAACTTCTCACATTTGTATGAGATAATCAACAACGCCATCTGGTACACAATAAAACTTCACACAACTGTACATATTAAATATCTAACGGATGTAAATGTTTTGAAATAGCACCTTATGACTAGTTGTAAACTCAATTTAGGCTTCATTGTGTAAAATTTGCGGTGACCGTTAAATCTATTATGAAATGAAAACTAAAGCCCGCAAATAGGACTAAATGATGCATCTGTCATCTATGACATCGGCTTAAGGAAATATGAATTTCACAAAACTGCAGAAAACAAATTTAATGTCTTTTTTAATCACTTTCATTAGCTGTACCTTCATGCTGAATATTTCTAAACATGAATAAGATACCAGGTATTTGGTAAGATTTCTTCTGTACACAACTACAAATTTCCTGAAATTGAATTTAAAGGAGTAACCTCTAGCATGGCTCAAATATTCAGCACCAGTTTAAAACCACAAGAACAATGTTAAATCTGTCTCATTTTTTGGTTGACTGCACCTCTCACTCACAAATGCACATACACCATTAAAAGAGCTTTTCTATTCTTTGAATATCTTGTGTGTTTGTTTATAGGAATCCATGGCACTAAGTTTGAGCAGGCCTCCTCTTCCCTTTGGCAGTCTTGCCTTCCTGTGTTCCTCATAGCCCCAGGCACCCTGGACCCCTAATGCAGGCAGATTGCTATTGAAGCCATAGTTCTGACAATTCCAGTTCTGGTATCTGCTATAGCTTTGATCATTGTAACACTGGCCTCCATACCACTGATTATAATATCCCTCGTAATAGTTCCCTTGATTGTAATAATTCCCGCCAAAGAATTGTCTCGGATCCCCAAGAAGCCCATCACCTTGCCTCCTGCCTGAATGCTCAGGTTTCCACACACTCGTCTGTGCACGATCACGGATATGAACTGGCCCAATGGTGTCTGCCTCCAGTTGTCTCTTACTGATGTACAGATCTCCAATGTCTGAAATAATCTTATCAATATCAATACATGGTTTGGCTTTGTGTTGTCCACTTGTTCTTTCTGGTTTCTTGTCTCCTTGCTCCTCCAACACGGCTGCCACGTGATCAGCAAATGTTGTATAATTCTTTGGTGCTTGCTCCATATGTGGTGGGACCTCCACCCCCAAGGCCTCCATCATCATGTACGGCTTCAACCAGAGAATCTGAGAGGACACCCCAGGCCTGTATGGAAGACTCTTATGATAGAAGAGGACACCGTCCACCTGAAACAACACAAGCATGACTCGTGTTTCAAAGATTTCTCCTGACTTTTCATAACAACAAATGCCAGGGAGAGTCCATGTAGTTTTCTCATCACATGTTTACATACTGGCAATATGCTCCAAAATCAACAAAGACAACTTTTGGGATTAGGTGATAATGTAATCACTTAGATTTTGTGAATGCTTTATTTCGCACAATTACCTGTTCAGACATAATTGTGAATATATGATTTCGCTAACCTGATCTAGAAATGACTTTAACTTTTAGAGACCAGGACTTTTTTAAGACTCCAATATCGCGAACTAAATCTAGTGTTATTTTCGTAAAAATGATTGTGAAGGATTTAAATTTGCACTTGATTTTCCTCGTGTATAAGCACAAAAAAGAAAAATTTGCTCTTTGATTTTGCAGTGGATTAGTTGTCTATACTGGGGCTAAAACTGTTAAACGTTATTTATAGAAATCACACACCTGAAGGGCTGAAGAGCTCATGGCCTCGTCCATATTTTCCTTTGTACAGGCAATGGACTTCAGTGGAATAAACTTGTGCTGCAAGTGAAAAACATCAATTATTTAATAAATATTCACCGTGATACATAAGTATTATGTATGTAAGAAAAGGTAGGTACTCTAGGTGATAGATACAGCCGGCTATGTTACAATAGTAAAAATGAAATTATTATAAGCAATGACTGACCAAAAACACTAAATATGAAGAGAGTAATAATCACAAATAAAGATGTATTTGTATGGTTATAACAAATAAATAAATAAATACAAGTATATTTGTATTGTTATAATAAATTAACATTTTTTTATATGATAATAAATGATTATATCTATGTAAAGATATATCTATATGATAATAAACAAAGATATATATCTATATAATTAATGAAGGTTTATTTATAGTATTTCAACTTGTGTTGTATCGCTCTGCTCTGCTGTGCCTTTTTTTTCAGGCTGAATAGTTTATATACTTACAGGGTTGATCTTAGTACGTCGTCCTATGCTCTTCTGCTCCCCTAAACGCTCATTCATCCAGAAAATACGAAACTCACTCTGGGCAAAGAGACAATGACTTTCAATCAATGCATTCTTTCTTGTGTAAAATGAGACACAGAAATTAAATACTGCCTAAATACCAAGCAATGATTTATATAACTTCAGTGAAAATACATATTAAAGTTTGTGTTTTAACTGCACAAGGGTGACAGAAGTAATCAAATCACATGTTCATATATTCATTATTATAAATATGTATGGTGAACATGAAAACCCTTAATTCATCTGAAATTGAAGGGAAAAACTTATCGTCATGATCCATCTGATATAATAGAAATTTGGTTTATGATTTTACTGAAGAGCAATATGAAATATGAAAGGATTGCTACCAGTCAAGGTATAATTCACTGTAGAATAAATAAGGAGTTAAAACCACGACAATTTTTCCTACACCAAAAAAGTACAAAGCTTCCAATACTGGCAGCCAGGAGTGAACAACTCTGTCAAACGAGGAGTGACTGTCACAAACTGTATAACTCAGTCACAAGAGGAGTGACTCAGTCACAAGAGGAGTGTCTCAGTCAACAATGGAGTGACTCAGTCACAAGAGGAGGAACTCCGTCACAAACTAAGTGACTCAGACACAAGAGGAGTGAATCACAAACTGAGTGACTATGTAAATTGAGGAGTGACTCAGCTTCAAGTGGAGTAACTTGGTCACAACAGAAGAGACTCACTACATATGCTTATCATATCAATATATGCAAACTTACATCACAGTCTGTCATATCCTGATTCTTCCAGTACATCATATCCAACACATAATAAACATCATCCTTCTTGTCATAGATACAGTCGAGCACTGACATTCCTGAAAAAGATCAGGTCAGTCATCACAAGAGCACTATCAAAAACAATTTTAGAACGGATCTATTTATAACATCAATTGTCACATGAGTAAGCTAATTGTCTGCTGACAGGCCAAAAGGCTGTAATTGTGGACAAAAAACCAGTTAGATAAATAAATGAATAAATAAATAACATGAGTAACCCACCTGATAATTCAGAAACTATCAATCTAATTATTAAAGCATTTCCCAACATTCCCAGAACAGACAGGTCTGTTCACAGTTTATCTGTATTCATGTCCGTACTCTTACAAATCCCTTTATTACACTCTTGAGCCTAAATATAGATCTTGTTTAGATGTTTGTGCACACACCTTTCTGGTCTCCAATGTTCCCACCGGGTAAACAAGAAGGGAAATCCTCCAGAAGCAAACCCTGTTTAGACTGTGTAAATGTTCTTCCCTACAACAAATCAAGCTGGGTATTATCAATGTACCGACAGGGATAACAAGGTGTAATTCTATATTGACAGATATAAATGTACCAAATATTATAAACTTATATTAACAACTGCAATTTAAATGATGTCAAAATAGGCAACATGCCCGCTTGCATAGGCTCAAATACAGGTATATGCTCAATTTAACAGACAGCTCACTTTCATGTACATGAACAGATTAACATACAGCTAACATACAGGTATATGTTCACATTATCAGACAGCTTACATACAGGTATATGTTCACATAAACAGACAGCTAACATACAGGTATATGTTCACATAAACAGACAGCTTACATACAGGTATATGTTCACATTATCAGACAGCTTACATACAGGTATATGTTCACATTAACAGACAGCTTATATACAGTTATATGTTCACATAAACAGACAGCATACATACAGGTATATGTTCACATAAACAGACAGCATACATACAGGTATATGTTCACATTAACAGACAGCATACATACAGGTATATGTTCACATAAACAGACAGCATACATACAGGTATATGTTCACATAAACAGACAGCATACATACAGTTATATGTTCACATTAACAGACAGCATACATACAGTTATATGTTCACATTAACAGACAGCATACATACAGTTATATGTTCACATTAACAGACAGCATACATACAGGTATATGTTCACATTAACAGACAGCATACATACAGGTATATGTTCACATAAACAGACAGCATACATACAGGTATATGTTCACATTAACAGACAGCATACATACAGGTATATGTTCACATAAACAGACAGCATACATACAGTTATATGTTCACATAAACAGACAGCATACATACAGGTATATGTTCACATAAACAGACAGCATACATACAGTTATATGTTCACATTAACAGACAGCATACATACAGTTATATGTTCACATTAACAGACAGCATACATACAGTTATATGTTCACATTAACAGACAGCATACATACAGGTATATGTTCACATTAACAGACAGCTTATATACAGTTATATGTTCATATAAACAGACAGCATACATACAGTTATATGTTCACATTAACATACAGCTAACATACAGGTATATGTTCACATTAACAGACAGCTTATATACAGTTATATGTTCACATTAACAGACAGCTAACATACAGGTATATGTTCACATTAACAGACAGCTTATATACAGTTATATGTTCACATTAACAGACAGATTACATACAGGTATATGTTCACATTAACAGACAGCTTATATACAGTTATATGTTCACATTAACAGACAGCATACATACAGGTATATGTTCACATTAACAGACAGCTTATATACAGTTATATGTTCACATTAACAGACAGATTACATACAGGTATATGTTCACATTAACAGACAGCTTATATACAGTTATATGTTCACATTAACAGACAGCTAACATACAGGTATATGTTCACATTAACAGACAGCTTATATACAGTTATATGTTCACATTAACAGACAGCTAACATACAGGTATATGTTCACATTAACAGACAGCTTATATACAGTTATATGTTCACATTAACAGACAGCTTATATACAGGTATATGTTCACATTAACAGACAGCATACATACAGTTATATGTTCACATTAACATACAGCTAACATACAGGTATATGTTCACATTAACAGACAGCTTATATACAGTTATATGTTCACATTAACAGACAGCTAACATACAGGTATATGTTCACATTAACAGACAGCTTATATACAGTTATATGTTCACATTAACAGACAGCTTATATACAGGTATATGTTCACATTAACAGACAGCATACATACAGTTATATGTTCACATTAACAGACAGCATACATACAGGTATATGTTCACATTAACAGACAGATTACATACAGGTATATGTTCACATTAACAGACAGCTTATATACAGTTATATGTTCACATTAACAGACAGCTTATATACAGGTATATGTTCACATTAACAGACAGATTACATACAGGTATATGTTCACATTAACAGACAGCTTATATACAGTTATATGTTCACATTAACAGACAGCTTATATACAGGTATATGTTCACATTAACAGACAGCATACATACAGTTATATGTTCACATAAACAGACAGCATACATACAGTTATATGTTCACATTAACAGACAGCATACATACAGGTATATGTTCATATTAAGAGACAGCATACATACAGGTATATGTTCACATTAACAGACAGCTTATATACAGTTATATGTTCACATTAACAGACAGCATACATACAGTTATATGTTCACATTAACAGACAGCATACATACAGTTATATGTTCACATTAACAGACAGCATACATACAGGTATATGTTCACATTAACAGACAGCATACATACAGTTATATGTTCACATTAACAGACAGCATACATACAGGTATATGTTCACATTAACAGACAGCATACATACAGGTATATGTTCACATTAACAGACAGCATACATACAGTTATATGTTCACATTAACAGACAGCATACATACAGTTATATGTTCACATTAACATACAGCTAACATACAGGTATATGTTCACATTAACAGACAGCATACATACAGTTATATGTTCACATTAACAGACAGCATACATACAGGTATATGTTTACATTAACAGACAGCTAACATACAGGTATATGTTCACATTAACAGACAGCATACATACAGTTATATGTTCACATTAACAGACAGCATACATACAGGTATATGTTCACATTAACAGACAGCATACATACAGTTATATGTTCACATTAACAGACAGCATACATACAGGTATATGTTCACATTAACAGACAGCATACATACAGGTATATGTTCACATTAACAGACAGCTAACATACAGGTATATGTTCACATTAACAGACAGCTTACATTTAGTTATATGTTCATATTAAGAGACAGCTCACATACAGGTATACATACAAATTAACATACAGTATCATACAGGTATACGTTCACATTAACAGACATCTAATATAAAGTTATATGTTCATATTAAGAGACAGCTTACATACAAATTTAGACAGGTAACCAATGTTTTATTACCAGCCTGTTAACTATTACCTACCTGTGCTGATATGACCAGGTTACGTTTTCCTTTTGGACAGACAACCATGAACCAATTTTTTTCTAGATCCTCTGGTACTTCTGTCATCCACTCAGAAAACATCACCTGTCAAAAAGAACTGTAATGTACATCACCACTAATGGAATCCCAGCTGTGAAAAAATTGTGGCAAGTACATGTATATATCTTTCAACAATTTTTATGCTTCATTTACTTATTAAATGACTGCAATTGAGGTCAAATTAACACTGATTTCATAAGTTATATCGGAAAAAAGGGCAGGGTTCACTGAATTGGAATTCAAATGTATAAACTAGGTAAAATAATATCATAAATCAAATGTCATAAATAACAATGAAAAACTCATAGAAATCATTATAAATTGTATAGATCAATTTGTTTTACTGTCTTAAATACATTGACCTATTACCTTTCACCTTCGGAACAATGACCTATTACCTCTGACCTTTAGGATATTGACCTATTACTTTTCACCTTCAGAAAATTTACATATTACATCTGACCTTCAGGTCACTGATCTTATTACCTTTTTTCTTCAGCTTCCACTGACCTCCCTGTTTTATTGAAGTGATTAACAGCGAAAACAACAGTTGATGATGAAAGCTTTTGACAGCTTTGTGGAAACTTTATTTTCATCATTTTAATCTAACTAAACAGTCTTGACAAGTGACCTCAGACTTCAGATATCCTGATACAGATATGTATAACAGTTATCTTTTCATTGTTAATCGGTGAATTGTTTAGCTTTAACATTATTGTTATTATAGTTTTACCTGTCATAAGACTGCTAGGCACCTTTCTGATGAAGTTCACACTATTAACATATTCCTACACATAATAGTATGTTTTCTTTATAACAATATAACAATGTTCCTTGACAAGTTTACAATGTCATACATGTTTTCGGATATCCTGTCTTAAAAATTAACACAGTCATGTTCATATTGCATAGCTTACACAACATGTTCTTATATTGATTTTGTAATACTAGTGGTAAATACTAAGCACAATATATGGATTGGCTAAAGAGATCTTTTATTTATATGAAAAGTATCACTCAGAGGACATTAATTGATTCAATGCCTCCACATGGATTCTAACCGAAGACCTCTGGTTTAATGGTCTGACACTCAACCAATTGAGCTAAAGAGAAGTTCTCCTTGCTGAGTGGTATATTATGGACAATATCTATCAGGGTTACTTATTCCCCCTCCAGTAAATAACTCATCTTTGAGTTTCAAGGGGTTACAGAGATGATTGTGAAAGTAAGTTCAGTTGAGTCTCTACATGGGTGCCAATGTAACAGGTCATTATTTATTTCCATGCCTTGTTCCTATGTTAACTTTACAATATCAGCCTGTTCCTATGTTAACTTTACAATATTAGCCTGTTCCTATGTTAACTTTACAATATCAGCCTGTTCCTATGTTAACTTTACAATATCAGCCTGTTCCTATGTTAACTTTACAATATCAGCCTGTTCCTATGTTAACTTTACAATATTAGCCTGTTCCTATGTTAACTTTACAATATTACCCTGTTCCTATGTTAACTTTACAATATCAGCCTGTTTCTATGTTAACTTTACAATATTACCCTGTTCCTATGTTAACTTTACAATATCAGCCTGTTTCTATGTTAACTTTAAAATATTAGTCTGTTCCTATGTTAACTTTACGATTTTAGTCTGTTCCTATGTTAACTTTACGATATTACCCTGTTCCTATGTTAACTTTACGATTTTAGTCTGTTCCTATGTTAACTTTACAATATTACCCTGTTCCTATGTTAACTTTACAATATCAGCCTGTTTCTATGTTAACTTTAAAATATTAGTCTGTTCCTATGTTAACTTTACGATTTTAGTCTGTTCCTATGTTAACTTTACGATATTACCCTGTTCCTATGTTAACTTTACGATTTTAGTCTGTTCCTATGTTAACTTTACAATATTACCCTGTTCCTATGTTAACTTAACGATATTACCCTGTTCCTATGTTAACTTTACGATTTTAGTCTGTTCCTATTTTAACTTTATGATATTAGTCTGCTCCTATGTTAACTTTACAATATTAGCCTGTTTCTATGTTAATTTTACAATATTACCCTGTTCCTATGTTAACTTTACGATTTTAGTCTGTTCCTATGTTAACTTTACGATATTACCCTGTTCCTATGTTAACTTTATGATTTTAGTCTGTTCCTATGTTAACTTTACGATATTAGTCTGCTCCTATGTTAACTTTACAATATTAGCCTGTTTCTATGTTAATTTTACAATATTACCCTGTTCCTATGTTAACTCTACGATTTTAGTCTGTTCTTATGTTAACTTTACGATATTAGTCTGTTCCTATGTTAACTTTACAATATCAGCCTGTTTCTATGTTAACTTTACAATATAAGCCTGTTCCTATGTTAACTTTACAATATTAGCCTGTTCCTATGTTAACTTTACAATATTAGCCTGTTTCTATGTTAACTTTACAATATTACCCTGTTCCTATGTTAACTTTACGATATTACCCTGTTCCTATGTTAACTTTACGATTTTAGTCTGTTCCTATGTTAACTTTACAATATTACCCTGTTCCTATGTTAACTTTACAATATTACCCTGTTCCTATGTTAACTTTACGATTTTAGTCTGTTCCTATGTTAACTTTACGATATTAGTCTGCTCCTATGTTAACTTTACAATATTAGCCTGTTTCTATGTTAATTTTACAATATTACCCTGTTCCTATGTTAACTTTACGATTTTAGTCTGTTCCTATGTTAACTTTACGATATTACCCTGTTCCTATGTTAACTTTATGATTTTAGTCTGTTCCTATGTTAACTTTACGATATTAGTCTGCTCCTATGTTAACTTTACAATATTAGCCTGTTTCTATGTTAATTTTACAATATTACCCTGTTCCTATGTTAACTCTATGATTTTAGTCTGTTCTTATGTTAACTTTACGATATTAGTCTGTTCCTATGTTAACTTTACAATATCAGCCTGTTTCTATGTTAACTTTACAATATAAGCCTGTTCCTATGTTAACTTTACAATATTAGCCTGTTCCTATGTTAACTTTACAATATTAGCCTCTTTCCATGTTAACTTTACAATATTAGCCTGTTCCTGTGCTAACTTTACAGTTTTAGCCGTTTCCTTTTTAAGTATATTCCAGTAATGGCTATATACTACAAATATTGTTTTCTTTCTGTACATACTACAACATGTGGACTAAATTTACTCTAGTACAAGTAAAAAGTAAGTCCAATAAATGGGTGGGAGGTCAAACGTTCTGGTTGATACCTATAGACATTTACTAGTAAGTATGCTATTGAGATAGTTAAACATAAGTAATATAAGAATGGCAGACAAACATTTTGATTCTGTGGTCTATTAATGATGTTCCATTCTTCCATGTCTTAGTTAAGATTAGATAATTACTATAAAGGATGATTTTTGAATGCTTCAAACTTTCAACAGTTTAACAAATACTTGAAGCAAGACTACTCACAAACCATTACATTTGATTGTATTTAAAATGTTCTTGTGCTTCATTGGTGGCAAAATTGCACAATCACAAAAAATTGTGAGTAAACATTACACTCATAGTATGTCCCTATCTTAAATTTACACCAACAGGTTTCCTGTTTTACTCTATTCACTTTACAATTATAACTAATCATACTGTATTACTGTCACTACAGAAATGCTCCTTTGTTACATTAACATTGTATATAACACTATGTATAATTTTCCTTTATGTATTGGAATGTTTCTGTGTTTTCTGACTATAATCTATATCCTGTCCTGTTAAATAATATCACATTCTGCTTTTTAATATCTATGTTACAATGCACTATTGGTGCCTTTCAATACAACCTTACTTTATAAGCACATTTTTTCCCTATAAGTGAACAAATTTTACATTATATCTTTTTCTAAAAAGTTACACCAAGACTCTAGTGCTGTGTACAATAGACCAAATTTGGGTATTGAAATGACCAGTTGTAATTATCTAATAAGTATATTGTGACTGTGCCATAAAGTGACCACTTCACTTTACAACTGTACTATAGCAAAAACTAAATAAAAAACCAAGTTTGAATATTTTAGAACAAAAACAAAACTTAAAACATAGAAATTTTCAAAAGCTGACCTTTATTGACAAAATTCCCACCACAATATTACAATCGTGTGTAGGATATTTATAACTCACATTTATGATGTAATCATAAACGAAATCATGATTTAAGTAAACCAACAGGCATGGAATCTAGTAAAATAAATCTATGAAAAATCTAATTATTTCAGCCTTATCATAGGCTTTGTTCGATAGCAAAGAAGAAGTTACTGCTGTTTAACTTTTCAAACCGAGAATAATAATGTCTGTTTAAAAAATATTTCCTTAAGATAGAATCTAAAACTGAGCCAGTGATGACTACCTATCTTAATTAAAACATATTCTAATTTATATGTGGTCTGAGAGGAACGTGGAGTTTATCTCCATCAGTAACGACAAAATATACCGGAGAGTTGACAGTTGGATTTCGTACAGAAATGTCTACATCTGGCTGGAAGTCAACGTTGACAACATCCAAAGTATCAAGTATCCACTGCCAATACTCCCTCCAATTCCCTTATGAATTTCTTTTAAAAAAGTTGTTTAAAACTTTTATATAAGAAGCTAACTTTAAGATTTATACAATTACCAAATTAAGGTTATATCTTCCAAGATGATAGTGTAAAAATATTAATATATATTCACAATTTGTCTATGAAATACTTTTGAAATCATTTTGCACATTTTTGTCTTTACAGAAAATGTAGATCACTTCACTACAAAGAATAAAAATGCGGGTTTGGCAGATAGAAAATGAGCGATGCAGGACAAACCTAGCGGCAATTGTTTCAAGGATTTACATTTTGATGATTATGTAATCAAATGAATTTTTACCAACATGCCAAATTCAGGAATCTACAAGGGTAAGACACACTATATCTGATATACTGAATACCAAAAACTCTGAGATCTAACTTTTCTGATAAAACTTGACTAGGTTTATCTAAGGAAATTTGTTTTTTTTTTATTGAGTCACCTAAATGTGTGTCCAAAGGACAAGTGATATGAATACACAGCAGATATATCTGTATTACATATAAAATGTGTTGTCATCCTGCGCAGCATAGAAGTATTGACAACTCATTGCCTGGTGTAAAATGACCAAAGCCAGCGACCTCTTTATAAATCTTCTCACTGACATAATGAGAGTAGATTCTGAAATCCAGCAAAGGCAAGAATATTTTCTATATTATTATCAACACTGAGGTTTAGGTCCCACCAGGGGCCTCTACTGCCTCCATAACACCACTACTTTCCTCCTCCACACTTTCTAATGTATCATCCTGATAACTCACATCCATGTGGGCCTCGGCCCCACCCTTCTTCCTCCTCCCCTTGCCTCGTCTTCCACTACCTCCACCATCACCAGCACCTTGTCTGTCACTTTTAACTTCCTTCCCATCAGCATCTCCTTTACCCTGTTCTCGATGCAGTATTTTCACACCCTGTTGTTTTTCACAGTCTCTCTGTTTTCTCTGCTCCTTCGCCTTCTCCTTCTCTGCTGCCACCACTGACATGTGGGCAGCGTAGTTAGTGTAGGAGTCGGGTCTATTCTCCATGATTTTGTCTATCACTTGAATATTAAGGATCTCTGGTAACATGTAGGGTTTTAACCAGACCACCAAGGGTGTTGATCCAAATGTATAGTGGGTCTTCTTGTGGAAAAACAGGACTCCGTCAATCTATATAACAAAAATATTACATATCTGCCATCTTACCTAGTTTACAGCAACATGAATATATGTCATCTTACCAAGTCTACAGCAACATGAGTTTACGTCATTTTACCTAATCAAAAGCAACACAAGTATATGTCATCTTACTAAGTCTACAGCAACACGAATATATGTCATTTTACCAAGTCTACAGCAACAGGATTATACATCATTTGACCTTATCAAAAGCAACATGAATATATGTCATTTCACGAAACTCTGAAACTGTCTAAAACTATCACCGTCTTCCAATGCCCCTCTGCCTCCAGACAGCCTATTCTTCATTGATATAACGTTCATTTTTGAAAGGAACAGGAGTGTTTACTGCCAATTACTTCACACAGCAATCTGATTCATCTCATTAAATTTAATACTGACTTTTGGTCCCTAGCTTTCTCCTTTGAAGGAGGACCCAATCCTTGATTCAAACCTTGACCTCTAAAGGAGAGATACATGACCAATTTAGTTCTGATATCATCAACCCATTTCAGATTCCGAGTGAACAAAGAACAAGAATTTCAATATCAAATTTTGGTTCATGTTAGGCTAGGGAAAGCTGTTGCAAACTTTCATCAAAATTGCTTCAGAGGTTTTTGAGATTTTTTTTTTAAATATCACAAGTTTACAGATGCACAGCACCAGACAAAGTCAATCACAACAGGTCACCATGAGACTTTGTTCCTTTGGTGACTGAATAAAGATAAGAGTTAGAAACGGTAGAATCATACCTCAAAATTTGCTGTATTTACAGCTTCGCTGATTGACTCCTGGGTACAAGGGAAGTTTGGTAATGCAACAAATTTATACTGAAAATATAAAGGACAAAATTTAATATACATCCTGTACAATAACGGTAAGAGGACCTGATTATCAATAACAATGCATGAACAGGTTTGTGACTACAAAACCAATTCAGATTTATCTAGACAAATTTTACTACCCAAAATGGGTAGTATTCCCCAAATGGTGTATTTTCCTCTCTGACTGTAAACAAATTCCCCATCAAGTATACTAAAACTGAAAAAAATACTGAAAACATGGAAAAATTTCCCCAAAACAGAGAAAGCTCTCCCCAAAACAGAGAAAGCTATCCCCAAAACAGAGAAAGCTATCCCCAAAACAGAGCTAATTAGTGTATTTTTGCTTAACATGTTTTCATTTCATGCCATCATGGAAAACAGATATCAATTTAACTTCAACATTGTCTTATATTATTTACGTAATCTTCAAAATGCATGATATAGTTTTACAATATCCCTCTATTGAATTGTTATCAAAAGGGTCGAAGGAAGTTCTTCCATTCTTCAAAATAACAAAAGAATTCCCCTTCTCCCACAAAGGGTAGTATTCCTAAAATTCTAGATTAATCCATGAAATAAGCCATTTAATTTTCCAATTTATGTCATCAATGATCTTGTCCTAAGGAAACTACAACCTATCCATTCCTGTCTCCAGCTTCATTATAATGCTACATATAAGTTAATTAATACAGCACTAATTAAATGTATAAGAATCAAGTATTTCTGAGAAGTTGATTGACAATTACTGTCCTATATAAAATGGTATACAGGCTTAATTATTCACATTTTCATGGCAAAGCATAAAATATGATGTGCCTGACACAGTAAATATAAATTTATTGCCAGTCATACTAGGTTTTGTATTGCAGTTATTTCAAATGTGTAAAAACTGCTTTAGACAGCAAAATGAATTTGAAATCTAAACTAAACATAGACACTGTACCTGTAATCAAAGTCAATACTGGGATAGACGCTTTTTATATACTTACAGGATTTTCATCAGATTTTATGCAAAGTTGTGCTTCTTCTGAGAACTTACTGTGGAGCCAGTAAAATCGAAACTCTGTCTACAAAAAGGAAATCCAAGTGTTTCTTTCAGTTGCAATAGCCACTAGTTTAAAGATATTACATTGTTCTATATTCTCTATATGTGGTGTGAAATTTTCAGGTTTTACAATGATAAAGTAGAAATTGAAGTCTTTGTGCTAAAAGAATGTGTATCTTTACTGTAAGTTGAAGTTATTTCAATTATAAAATCCCACTTATCATGTTCTGAATGACGGTCATTTTCACAAAAATGCCTCACTTCACATGTGTACACATCTATAAAAATTTTATATTCACTTCACTGTTGGCCACACTGTAATTCCTATCATATGCTACTTACTTCACTATCATGCACAGAGGAATTATATACTCACATCACTATCATACAGAGAGTAATTCTATACTCACATCAATATCATACACAGAGGAATTCTATACTCACATCACTATCAAATTCAGAGTAATTCTGTACTCACCTCACTATCATACACAAAAGTAATTCTATACTAACCTCACTATCATACACAGTAATTCTGTACTCACCTCACTATCATCCACAAAGTAATTCTATACTCACTTCACTATCATACACAGGATGATTTTTCCAGCACATAATATCGAGTACATAGTATGTTCCCTCCGCTTCATTGAAGAGACAATCCAGAATAGCATTGTCTGTTAAGTAAAGAAAAAACACATTTCCATCTTAATCTATAATCCTAATATCAGTGACAAATCCTGGAAGGAGGAAACAGTTCTATATTGAATTTTTAGTTTGAATTGAAAGGTGAATTTTCAATTTTGTCTCCTTTATAAAATTTCTTTGAGATTTCAGGTTGTAGAACTTTAGTTCCGAGGTTTGCCATAGCCTAAAACAACTGAATAGTTGTACTGTTTAGAATACACACAGAATTTTATTTTTTCTTTTTTTTTCAATTCTTCAATACTGAAAATAATAAAATTTACTTAATTTTGAGGTAAATGCACTTCCACTTTTTATTTTTCATATTAATTTTGACCAATTTTCACATAGCACCATTCGCCTATATTGTCTCTAAATATTAAATCTGTATTTTCAGTTGCTTTAGGATAATAACAAGTAGCATCAACTCATAACCACTGATGTTGGCCAAAATAGCTTGAGCATCAGAAATATCAGCTGAAGATTTTGAAAGGCAATTTATGTATTTGATTTTCGCGAAAAGCCAAAATCACAGACTATCCTGTCCTATTGTGGTGGGTTTATTGGACAGGAGAGTCACAAACAGTTTTTATTGAGGTAATCAGCTACTGCAGGAGACACATTGACAAAATTACCATGGTTCTCAACAGGGTAATAAAACCAGCTAAAATACAAACATAGGAGTATACTGATACTCCAATATGGAGGAAAAGTAGCAAATAGAGAGCAAGGTGAAAACTCATCCAGTCAATCCCTTTTAGGTCAGAATGTGAATCAAATCTTAAAGTCCTAACGAAAAGCAAGTGTACCTCTACTCCAAATCTGACCATCCACAAACAGCCAATAAAAAAATTAAATAATTATCTTTTTTTTTTCTTCTTAAATTTTTTTTATTATTTCCCCCCACCCCCCAAAGTTCTGTTTTCAAATTTAATCATCAACTTACTAGCTTTACCATCTTCATTGATCAAGCTGAAAAATGATAACATACAACTGTACCTGTTCAAACCATTCAAGCATGTATTTACACACAATTATGAATTGCCTGTACTGAAATGAGCTTACCTTTAAATCGACCTGGTTGACTTTTGGAGCCCCCTGGTAGATGTGATGAGAAGGTGCTGATTCTGTATCCTCCCCTAGAATAGGCTGTGGTTCTACCCTGTACAACACGAGATCACCATCTTCTTATACCAATGTATGTATCAAGAAATAAGCCTATTTCCTGGTTATAAACTCACCCCAACTTCTTACCAACTAACCAATGTATCAATGTCCGATAATATGTTCATCCTCTAACTCAACGACTTTGAGTCAGAGATAATATGTAGGACCTCTTTTAATTTTTTAAACAGGATATATATGAAGCATAAAATCAAAGAGTGACTGATTGCCAATTAAGTGTACACCATAATCAAAATTGCCTTTTTTTTTGCATTTTCCATCTTTTCTTTTACCTTTTCCTTATTACTGTTCTGTAATTTTTACTTACCCTTGATGCAACAACTAGACATCTCTTTCCCCAAGGGCAAATAACTGTACACCATGATTCTGCGAAATCGTCTGGCACCTCTACTAACCACTCAGACATCATTAACTGAAACGACAATTTAGATTTGTATCTTTCTTCAAAAATACTAATTCCATTCACAGTTAAGTCTTTATCAAAATACAATAAAAATGCAAAATGCTTGAGTTGTTTTGGTAAGATAGGAACTAAACTGTCACATTGACAGAAAAGTACTTCACTTCAACAGAAATGGATGTGTCACTTTTATGATCAGCTGTAGATATACAATGGTCATTTAAAACATATGCAGTTTCCAATAAAGAAATATTCATTGGTGTTTATACTAAAATCTAAATATGGGTAAGAGTCAAACAGGCATATAAGTAATCATTTGATGCAGGAATATTTTATAAAAACTTAATGAAAATCACAGCATCTCCATGTAAGTAATGGAAATGAAATTTCAAGGTATGACAATTTTTAACAAATGATGACCTTGACCTTCTTCACAAGAAAAGCAATTTTCATCAAATTGCACCTAAAAAGTAATCGAATGTAACTTTCAAAGTCATTTGGATCCCAAAATAACACTCATAGTTACAGCATAATTACATTGTACATTCAGAATGATAATATAAAGATGTGTCCACAGATGAATGAGACGGTCACTTACTGACAAATTTTAGGTATCACAAATGACTGACAATGTAGTGATGCAAAACAGCCAGCTCTTTTGGAGTTTAACAACCTTAAATCAAAATTTATGGACTTTGTTCTCATGTTTTTTTCTTTCTTTATTTCACACTATTTTGATTATCCAGATTCAGTTGGGAGATTGCCAAGTTACGCTACCTCAGCAACTAAGAGATAATGTCTATGTAAGAATACCTGATTTTTGTAGTTTCTTCCTGGCTTTCTGAGTTTCACTTCCTGCCCCTCCATTTGTACCTCCATGCTGTCATTAGAGGCTACAGACTCTGCATCAGCCTTATCCCATGTGTCTTCTGACAGGCAGCGGATGTGGCAAAGGAAATCAAACCTTTGTCTAAAATTCAACCATTCATAAACCATTACATTCTAACAGGGAAACCTGAAGTTGATTCAGTTTTGAGAGAGGATGATTTGATGATTTTGCTATAAGTTAAATGAGGAATGACAACTCATAAACCAGATTATCATGCTTTAATTAAAGGAATAATACAGAGAAGTTGTTGTTAACTTAAAAATAAAATTATTCTATTCCAAGTCCTTCTTTAAAACATACCTACAGAATGATATCCCCTTAAAAAATATATGCCAATGTATTGATAAAAGTTACAGATTTCTTGGTATTTGAATCTGATAAATGATGAAATTGTTATTAAATAACTGATTTGACATTTTAGGGTTTTTTTTCCAAACAGTAGTCCTCACTGTGAAAAAATGCTTTTACAGTAAGATTGGTGGTCACACAACTGTAGCTAGCTGTACAGTGTACATCACTGTAAAACCAGTTGTTTAATGAACATGCTCAATAATTGGCACAAACAAGTTAATTACTTAAAATTTAAGCTGACAACACAACAAAATTTTGGCTGTGCCATCGCAATTTCAGACGGGGATTTTAATACTTCTGGCATGTACCTTAAAGTTACCCATAACTTCTCCTTAGAATGAAACTCACCTCAGTCAACATTGGCTACATATTATCATATTTTAGTTACATAAACTTTCAACAGAAGTGGTACATACATATGTAAATTAAATATACTGACCCTGTAAGAGCAGAAAATATGAAAACATATCACAAATTGGACAACCTTATGACAAGCAAATATATAAATTTGTTTGCTGAAAAATTGCAATTGGTGGCAAGGTAGGTAAACTTCCATGTTTTTAAAAGCTCAATAGAAGAAATGCTAACAAACTGTGACAGCGTGACCTTGAAAATTGCAATATAATGTTTAGAGTAGGCACAAAAACTTAAAGTATGTAGAGTAACAAGATACATACAATATTTTCCACTATGCCTGATCACAACCAAGCACTAGAATCTATAGTGAATTTAAACAGAAAACACCTACCTTTTCTGTGCCTTGAGAATTCTTGATCGGCGTGTGTTCTGATCTAGTGCATCCCCGCGGGACTTGTATTGTGAAAATCTGGGATGTTGTGCTGCAGTGCTGTTAGGATCACTGCTTACAGAGAAGTCAGCTGCAAGTTGTGCTGTTAGTGCATCCATGTTTATGTCTGAATCCAAACGTCACAACTATAAAAACCTAAACCCAAAGAAAAAGACCATTTTTCTCATGATTCGATTGCAGATGTATGTTAATTTTGATATTTCAAGGAAGTCAGAAGCCAAGATATTGTTCTACGTCATAATATATTCATTTCCATTTTATGACTCTGTTACATTACTTTTAATTCTTAAATATCCGAAAAAATATAGAACAGAGGTTCCACAATATGTAAATGATGCTTAGCAAATCTGTCAAATGCACCTGTAATGTTAATTCAGGCATGTCATTATTTCCCTACCATTTAAAGATTCAATGGGTTCTCTAACTGAACATTAGAATGGATTATTAAATGGTGGGAATCCAACAAAAAGAAAAACATATGCATGTCTCCTAACTGCAATTATCAATCCAAACAATCACCCAATCTGTCCGATAGAACTGAGATATATTGATCAGTTATAATTGCAGTTACAATGACCTTCAACTCCAGACATAAAAAGCAACAGTTTAATATAAAGTAACAGAAAATATTGTAAACCAAAAACTTACTCTGTATCACAGAACATTGAAACATTTACTGTAAATGTACATATTGTAGCGGTAATCATATTTAAACAGTAAAAATATAACTGCACTAACTGGAGTTTGTACTATAATACATAAATGTAATATTGTGAATGGGCAATTTCATCACTGGGCTAATTTGTTTAAAAGTGATATTGCACTAATATCTATGCAGTTTAATAATGTCAATAGCATCTTTTTTTGTTTATTTTTATTTTGTTTTATTTTTGTTTCAAAGTATCTCACATACTTCACACATGAAAGATAAAATAGCCATTCTTTTGAAGCAAATCAATGTGACAATTTGACATTTACACACTTCAACTTAATACTAGTAATTACTGCATACCTGAGACATGATGCATGAAGAATGACTGCTTGCATTGACATTACTTTCCATAATGGAGACTGTGGTTCATGTTATAGTTAGTGTTCAGTTTGGAGAAAATCACTAACTTGTATATACTGTAATGTACAGCAGTGTTATAATGAGCTGTTACCAATATATATGCTCTCATGGGTTCAATACTCAACATATACAATGTCTGTGTCTTGTAATAGTGTTGACGCCTCAAAATTAGTACACGCAGTGTGCCTAGTGCCCAACAAGTCATTAGGTTTCCAATACTGTATGATCAAATGTAAACTTTATTTATCTTACAGTAAATGCGAAACATGCTATCAGCTTATACTAATCACTATTGTTGTGCTGGATGGAAGTGCTTGCAAGGGTCTCACTGTGCGAGGAAACCAGAGTACACATGAAAATTGACTTGGTTGGGAAGGCGACCCCAATACCTTTCACATCAGTTTTGTGAATTTAACCCCCCGGACGGCTTGGTGAAAGGTGAGTGTGATACCATGGCGTCACCCGACCACCCTCCTTCCCATGTTGGGGGGCACCCTTCAGCATACCAGGCCTGTTTGCTGCCACAAAATGTAACAAGCATTGAGGGTTCAATGAGCTGTCACCTGATCATATTTGTTGTGACTTACGTTGGTACATGGGCAGAGATACTCATCCATGCAGTTACATCAGCTACTGTAGTTAATGGACTGTACAGATAGATTATCTTATGCATTGTCTATTATGTAACAGAATAGTGAAAATACACATTCCAGTTAAGTACCCCTGCCACGAACCAAACTCTGATCTCCGGCATGATAATTGACCAACTCTGCCAATTGAGCCAAAGAAGCATGCTCTGACCAGAGACATATATAACACAATATATATACGTCTCTGCTCTGACCCACTCTTTTTACATTATTTCCCTTTTTTTCTATATTTACTAAATCTCAACCAGAGTCCAAATACTACAACTTGTGGGATTTTATTATATGGCAACATAACAGAACATGGAAAATACATATTCCTGTTGAGTGCCCCTGTCAGAAATTGAACTCAGATCTTTGACATTATAATCAACCAGCTCTGCCAACTGAGCCAAAGAAGCATGCTCTGTCAGTTAAGTGACAAGAGACCATAATTAACACTAAAAAACAAATGAGCCATATTGACCTGCTTCTACCAATCTATGCTAAGTGGTATATCTATGCATATCTGAATTAAAACACATTAAGCAACTTGTTAAGGCAAAAATGTATTTAAGAAAGCTTGTTATTTTACCAGTGTTAGTAAAATTAGATACGAAAGTAGATGCATATCTATTGAAATATTAATAAACACGTATATCTGAAGTGACAATAATTGTCACACTGTGTAAATGTAATATTAATTACAAAAAATGTTAATGTTGCATATTTCACAAAAGAGGGACACTATAAATACTTTTTTGAAGTCCTGTTTGATATAAGTTATATACGAAATAAGTACGTGTGAAATTCGTCAAAACTGGTGACACTCAATTTGTTGCTGTAAAACGAGGACAAATTAGTATTGTGGCTGTAAATCAACCTCTTTTAGAAAAATATGGATATCTCTAGGAAATACAACTCCAGAAAATGCAAGCATTTCAAGATATATGGAATGAATTCTAACCGCGTGACGGCGCACTAAAATCCATAATGTGCACCAAGACCGCCGAACAGGTCCAAATCGTGTTGAAACAGTAAAACTAATGCTCAAATCTTGAACCAAGGCACGGTTTAATAAAAAGAGCACCTGAATACTCTATATGATGCTTGATAGGTATGTTGCAACATATTTTCAAAATATTCAAGTGACGGATATAGTATCCTTACCTAATCTCGCACCTCTTCTTGCAGTTTTTCTTGTCCGGAAATAAATTATAATTGCTAAAATTAGAAACGTTTTCCGGAATTTGCAATTATTTTATCTTTCGATATTCGTTTTAATTATTATGTTGTATATAATGTGGGTTCTATATACATTCAATAGTTCAATATTTCAACAAACATATAATGCTTTTATCAAGGCACATTTTACACATAATCATGATCGGTGCCAACATTTATCTGGAGAGCTCCTTTTTAATTAGGTCACGTGATAACAACAATCCATTGGTAGACACTGGCACTCTTTTCAGGTGGGCTGTCAAACATACGCCTGGCGTAACCATGCCGAGTAAAGGTCAGCAGCAGGACTACTGGATCAAGGAAAGCATAAGAGATAAGAAATTTGAGGACAATTATAAAATCGGGACGGAACTGGGCAGGTAATTTGGCTCGTGGTCAGGTGTCCGTGCTTGCCGTAGTAACGAGGTTATTTACATTGGTTTCACTTCCGATTGTCTATTTTTCATTGCATTATTAGCATCGTCGCTGAAACTGTTTCATGACATTGTGTCATGACATTTCCTTTAGGATTGTTTTGGTGCAAATGTGCATCAGATGACTATAGTGTGTGAATGTAGAATATTTTTTCCCGTGAATAATACTGTTTTGTGTGAATTATCCCCCCTGGTGAGATATTGATCAAGTAAAATTATGGACAAATCGGCATTTTTCTCTGATGTAGCAATGTATCATGCATTTTGTATCTCATAAATGTGTGTGCATGGTTTTAATGGACACTTTCTATAACTGGCACATGTCACTTTAAAATTTCAGTTCGTTTTGCATGTGTTTTTTCATGGCCAAAATATTACGTAAGCAGGGACGTGAAGTAATTCTGGATCATACAGAGATATTACGAAGTAATTATAATAATTTCAATAAAATAAGATAAAGCAAAAAACATAATTCACTTTACGAGTTAGACTGATATCAGTCCCATGGGCTTACGATAAATATTCATCTAGCTTTAATTATTTCCCCTGACAGGTCAATTTGCTCTCAGAATATAATATATGTAATGAGCATGGGTTATTCATTGCACAGAAAACCTAGAATGTTTCAATACCAGTAAATATATACATCAATCAACACACTCACACACACCAACATATATATATATATATATATATATCTAACACCACCATACACAGACAATATTTATAGCTAACACCTCCCCACACAGACAATATTTATAACTGACACCTCCCTACACAAGACAACAAATGAACTAACACCTCCCTACACAGACAATATTTATAACTGACACCTCCCTACACAGATAACAAATATAACTGACACCTCCCTACACAGACAATATTTATAACTGACACCTCCCTACAAAGACAGTATTTATAACTGACACCTCCCTACACAAGACAACAAATGAACTAACCCCTCCCTACACAGACAATATTTATAACTGACACCTCTCTACACAGACAATATTTATAACTGACACCTCCCTACACAAGACAACAAATGAACTAACACCTCCCTACACAGACAAAATTTATAACTAACACCTCCCTACACAGACAATATTTATAACTGACACCTCTCTACACAGATAACAAATATAACTGACATCTCCCCACACAGACAATATCTATAGCTAACACCTCCCCACACAGACAACAAATGTAACTAACACCTCCCTACACAGACAACAGATATGACTGACACCTCCCTACACAGATAACAAATATAACTGACATCTCCCCACACAGACAACAAATATAACTGACACCTCCCCACACCGACAATATTTATAACTGACACTTTCCCACAAAGACCACAATTTTAACTGACACCTCCCTACACAGACAATATTTATAACTGACATCTCCCTACACAGACAATATCTATAACTGACACCTCCCTACACAGACAACAAATATAAGTGACACCTCCCTACACAGACAACAAATATAACTAACACCTCCCTACACAGACAATATCTATAACTGACACCTCCCTACACAGACAACAAATATAAGTGACACCTCCCTACACAGAAAACAAATATAACCAACACCTCCCTACACAGACAATATCTATAACTGACACCTCCCTACACAGACAACAAATATAACCAACACCTCCCAAAACAGACAACAAATATAAGTGACACCTCCCAAAACAGACAACAATTTTAACTGACTTCTCCCTGCACAGACAATATCTATAACTGACACTTCTATACATAGACAATATCTATAGCTAACACCTCCCCACATAGACAACAGATATAACTGACATTTCCCCACACAGACAATATCTATATCTGACACCTCCTTACACAGACAACAATTTTAACTGACACCTCCCTACACAGACAATATCTATATCTGACACTTCCATACATAGACAATATCTATAGCTAACACCTCCCCACATAGACAACAGATATAACTGACATTTCCCCCCACAGACAATATCTATATCTGACACCTCCCCAGGCAGACAACAAATATAAGTGACACCTCCCTACACAGACAATATCTATAGCTAACGCCTCCACACACAGACAACAAATATAACTGACACCTCCTTACACAGACAATATCTATATCTGACACCTCCCTACACAGACAATATCTATATCTGACACTTCCATACATAGACAACCTCCAACATCGTACTTGCTTTTAAATATCATGTCATTACAATTTTGTCATTTTCAGTACATAACAATGATGTTGTCAAGTTTCTAAATCAATACTTTATTTTCATATATAAACTTTATGTATTTTCAACAGTTGTGTAATAGTCTTTAAGCTTATATTAATCACTCTTGCTGACCTGTGTGTGTGAGGAGTCTTCTATTGAAGGAAACCAAAATACCTAAGGAAAACACACGTGGTTGGCAGGTGACCCCATACATTTTCACGTCCGTTCTGAGAATGGAACCCTGGTCACCGAGGTGAAAGGCGAGTGTCTTACCACTTCACCACCTGACCACCCAAATCCCTATTGATTACATGTTATCCTCTCATTTCAAAATTTTCATTTCAATTTTTTTTGTTTTCTTCTCTTTTTTAAGAGGTGCCACGTCTGTGGTATATAAATGTGAACATATTGGGAGCAAAAAGGCCTGGGCTGTGAAGATCATCACCAAACAGGTATTCACTGAGAATTTGTTTACTTTTCACACTTTGCTGAACAGGTATTCAAAAAAACTGATTTATAATTAATTTTGCAGTTTGTTTTATAAGGAAAACAGTTTATAATGCTTCAAACAGGTTATTGCAATCAGCAAAGATCAAAAGGCATGCAATCAATATTTTGATAAGCGCACAGAATTGATATTTGTGTTGCCAAATGTAAGGTTAATTACACTGAAATCTCTTAAATCTATTTTCATCATTCTCACCTTTATCAACCTATAACAAAATTTTGGGAAATAATTTCTTCAACATTTTGCAACACTTTCATAAATCAAACAATACAGAACATAGAAAATGTGACAAAGTCTCGTGGTGACCTACTGCAATCACCTTCATCCAGCGTGAGTCATGTGGTGTGTGTCGTGCATCATTAAACAATTTAATATTTTCGACCTGGGGCCTGAGGTGCTGGGCTAAAAGGTGTCAAATTGACTTCAGTTTCAAAAATCTTCTTCTCAACTCCAAGATATGGTAGAATCAAATGCTCTTCATGGATGGAAGCATCTTATGGTGCTTTCCCACAATTGTGAATTTGATGGTCGCAGGGTCTCACGTTTCTCCTTGGGGAGGGGATAAATTTCACTATAGCTTATATAGGAACACTAGATTTTTGAGCTTAATTTGTTTAGTTTCCATTGGAACTATTTCAAGCTTGGTCAGAATTATGAGTGAAGGATGACAGCTTGATGGCATGCCCATTTTGTACTGACTGACCTCCAGGGGCTGATGAGTGGGGCTGACAGTGGTCAAATTTACTTACGGGTAAATTTAAAAAATCTTCTTCTCACCCAGATATGGTAGAATCAAATACTCTTCATGAAAGGAAGCATCTTAAGGTGCTTTAATTACCAAAATGAGTCTCACATTTCTTCCAGGGGAGGAATATTTTTGTTAGACTGTATTGTAATTTTCATAGAAAATTGCATTTTGGACCATAAGGTTGGTTATTTTCAACTGGAAATAACTCTATAAGAATTATCAGTATAGGATGACAGTTTTGATGCAATGCATGTATTGACACTGTCTATATTCAATGCAACAATTTCTGTCTCATGACACTTGATAACTATCCTTTAACCTTTAAATTCAATATTGCTTATCTCAGGTGACTGTTAAGGCCGCTGTGCCTCTTGTTTATACATACCTGGTATGTGGTTTCTGGGTGTCATTCCAGGAGTCGAAGCAGAAAGATGAGAGGGATGGTGAATAATGAGATGCATATCTTGTATCTTTCTAGAAATCTTTTGTAAATGTATTTCACGATTTTTGACGAATCTTTTACAGGTTGAGAGAAAAGTGATCATCACAGAAGCAGGAATCCTGTTCCGATTGCAACATTCAAATGTGGTGAGTATAAAATAATTCTTTAGGCTGGAGGACCACACATTACTTTTATGATTCATGAGTTGATGAATGTCTAGCTATTACTATACTTGACCGACATATAAGTAAAATGGAGCGTCAACATCAGGGTCCCTTGCTATTATTGAAATTTTACATGTTTTGTTTAGATTAAGGCTAGCTATTATCATAACTAGTCTCACTAGTCAGAACATGTACACCGACAATAAAACCACAGAATCCAGATGTTGATGTACCATCTTCTATATCAATTGTAGTTATCTACCTTGATCAGGCTCTTTTGAACACTGTTCGATATCCATGTTTGATTCCTGCACCACCCGATCTATGACTAAAGACAATCAGGACGTTGGTTCTCTCCTACTAAGTTAGGAGTTTTATTTTTACTATGCTTGGTTACTATACCTTAAACAATAAGTGATGATTGCATAACTCAGCTCTCTTCTTCTCTGCTTTTTAAAGATTGCTTTAAAAGAAATCTATGAGACACCTGAAAAGATTTACCTGGTGCTGGAACTTGTAACTGGGGGTGAACTTTTTGAACGGTAAGTGAACTAGCGAAGTGAGCAACTTTAATTAAATAAATAAAGTTCATTAGCATTAATTAACAGAATCCATTAATATTCATTGATAAAGTTCCTTATCATTAATTTATGAAATTCATTATCATGCATCAAGAAAGCTCATTATCATTAATTCTTAAAGTCAATCATCATTAATTTTTCAATATTTCATGTCAACTCCAAAAAAAAAGAATCTGTACAGAGAGTTATGTACAGTACAAGGAGATTGGCTTCATGGTGTTGGGAAGGATCTATTCATGACTAAGGAAAATTTATTAGCTTATCATTACATTTATATGTAGGGTAAGGCTTTATTTCAATTTAATCATATCAATGTTAAATGTGGTATTTTCTATTGCAAAACATATTGTACTTACATTTAATTGTTGATGAAGTTGAAGAGACACAGTAAATGTATCAGTTGTAGCTATTAAATGTTTATGATCTTGAGAATTGATGGAGATAAGTAATGTATGGTAACACTCAACACTTAAAATTTCTTAATTACTTCAGTACAATCTATAATTTGTACTACTTTTGTTTAATGTCTAAATCCATATTTGGAATTCCTAATCTGAACACTTCCCTTGACAGAATTGTTGCTCGAGGATCTTACTCCGAGAAAGATGCTGCCGAAGCTATGCATGACATCATCAAAGCTTTAAAGGTATAGCTCTAATAGATAGTTCCACTGAGTATTGGCCCTTGGGGGAGGGGGTGGGGAATGGTGGGGGGGGGGGGCAAATAGTGATTTAATTTATCTTCAGTGGCAGTGACATATAAAGCTGTATTTTAGCAGATGCATTTATTTGACAGAATTGATATCTGATTCATTGAAGTGTGAAACTATATATTTCTGTTCTGAGCTTATCATTCTGACATGCATCATCAAGCACAATTCAGCATTACACCAACTTCATTTAAGTAAACAAAGATAAACAAGATCCTAGAGCACTTTTTGATAGACTGAGTTTTCAGGACATGTTGCAGGATAAATAGAATGCATGGTCAGTGTCTCAAAATATATAAGGTGTATTTTGCTGTATTTTGGCTTAGGACAGAAAGCCAAAGGTAGCTTTCCAAAAACTTGTCACATTTGTCTGTCTTCACTCTCACCAAAGGCAGCTATATCTTAAGATGCTTTGCCATATTCTCTATATTTGTGTCCATTTGTCCCATTCAGAATCTATGTAATGTCTGGAGCATCCTTAGGCAGAATTTGTTGGTATTTACCCCGATAGTGTCATATACCAACAGGTTCCTGAAGGTCATATTTGACAACTTCAATCTGCAAACTCATTTAATGATGATTAATTCTAAAGTGAAAGGCAATGATGTAGAATGTAAATACATATAATATATGGGTCCTTTTATAATAATTGATGTTCTATATGAAGCAAACTGCAAGCATGCCATATCCTACTGTTTACAGTATCTGATCAGGACTTCCATTCTAATTATACTTTAATTTGTGGTAAAAACTAAAATATTGCAATACTGAAATTTTACCTAAATTAAGTTTCAGAGGATATGCAAATTAATTGAGAAACTTGTTATCCAATAGTTTCAGTAGTCATGCTTATGGAATTTAATTGTATGTAAATATCCTGTTTTCTAAGTAAAAGACATGTGATATGAAAATGATAAAAAAAATATCCTTTTTTTTTAATTCTTAATACAAAATTTTTTGTTAATTTGAAAAAAAAAAATTAGTATTTTCATGTTTAATTGATATTCATCATTTCTTATTGCTAATAATTGTTTATTTCTTTTTAAAGTACATACATGACAACGGCGTTGTTCACAGGGACATGAAGGTATGCAAACATGTGTTTCAGAAATGTTTCTGATATACAATGTATTGTTCTCTGAAGTACCTTTTTAATTAGTTGAGCTGTTAATTACTAAATATCTTATTTAATACCTGCATGTTCAATGTACACCAATTATCAATTATTAGCACCTTTGTTATACACAAAGTTGTTTTAAAAACATGTCATTTTTACTAAACATCAGCAACAATTTCTGATGATAGTGGATTATCTAAAGTGAAGAATTTATTTACCATGATGTCAAATTGGACTACATTTATGCAAACTATGAAATTTGTACAGTCTGCCAGATAATACAACATGTAATCCCAAAAATGTTTATTACTTTGTTTTCCAGCCAGAAAATTTGCTATATGAGAGCAGCAAAGATGACTCGCCACTTAAAATAGGTATATATCAATCTCTGTTATGTTTACTTACTTTTCATATAGTTTATTGATAAGTATGTACAATGTAGATAATTTCATTCAAAAGATAGCTGGCCCTGACATCACTGTGTCAGTTAAATCACCATAGCTATGCCAGTATATTAACCATACTTCAAATATTCAGATAAAAAAAATGGGGAGGGGGTGGGAGGATGTTGAAATAAAAAGTCAGTTTAAGATAACAAAGTTTAAGATGAAATAAAAATGGATGTAAGTAACCATATTCTTCTATCTGTATCCTTGGTTTATCTGTCTATTTGGTTCATTCATCCATTTTAAACGACTTGTTAGTGTCTGATTACCGAACTGCGAGAACTCTCACTATAATTATAGTTTGATGTTTGTATCGTATATGACAATGTGTTAATTTCCTGTAAGTTTATAAGAAATTAAGATATGCTGGTATTATAAGGATTTGTGAGCTTCAGTTTAAGAAGACAAATCTAATTTTGAATAAATAAAGTACCATTTTTCCCAAATACAGAATAAGTTATGTATTCAGTATACTGTGCCTTGTTTAAACAGCTGACTTTGGACTGTCCAAAATTGTGGACAATGATGTGTTGATGTCTACAGTGTGTGGCACCCCTGGTTATTGTGGTAAGTTAATTCTCATATGCTGATGTAAGCTGTGTATTATCTCTTATGTACGCCTCCCCATACTGATTCCAGACAGGTCAGTTACTAGATGTATGTTGAAAGAGAGCGTAACAGGAGCAGGTCAGTGTGGCGTTATGTACATAATGTTAAATGAAGTCTCTGTCTCTCAGGTGAGAGAGCATCCTTCTTTCAACAGGCTCAGTTACTAGAGCCTTTGATTATCATATTGGAATGTCTGAGACTCTGGTTCAATTCCCAGTGTCAAAGTATTTAGCAGGAATGTTTACTTTCTCCCATTCTTTTAAAAGGAACATCAATTACCTATATATTTATTATATCGAGAAAGAGGTCACCAAACTAATTTTGAGGCGATGTCTGTTGACAAGTCCAGTGTCAATTATCTAAATGATTTCTTCTTTTAAAACTTTTGCTGATATCATTTTTGTAAAGTGAATGGCATTGATCATTTTTTAATTGGGATCTGTATCATTAATGGATATAGTAGTATCTCAAAGCAGATGAATTACCTTGTCTCCCTATTGATAGTCATAGAAGTCAAACACAGTTACACAGTCCTTCCTCTTGTCAGAATAACAAAGAATCCTAGAGATACAATATTTTGTGTTATGTAATCAGAAATGAACTGGTATGAAATCTAGGACAAATGCTTAATAAACAGTTGATGTGCTGCCATGTTTGTTTATGTGAATTCGCTTGCCTTGATAACTTTATCATAATAAAGAGTTAATTATGTAAAAAGTATGTTTAGAAAGTGCTTTGAGTTCCTTATCAAGTGTATTTTGCTCAGTATCACATTTCTCTGGTATTTGGTTTGTTTAAATAATTGACCTTGACCAACTTTGATCATCTTGTGATGAGTATAATATCAAGTTTAAAGGTCATTCCACCCAAAACTCCGTATTTTTGGACATCTCTCGGTATTCAGTTGCTTTACAAATACTTGCATTTGAATTTCTAATCTTGACACAATTTGAATTTATCATTGTACAACATGTGAGCAATACAGGCCTTTACAACCTCTTTTAATCATTATCTCCTGTTTAAACTTACAGCTCCTGAGGTGTTGTTGGGGAAATCATACAATCAGTCAGTGGACATGTGGAGCTGTGGAGTGATCTGTTACATTTTGTAGGTTAAATGATTTTTATCTAACATATTTGGATTTATTGTCTTAAATTAGAAAATTTTAAATACATACACACAGATTGATGACTGTTAACAGTTGTTTCATGGACCCCATCTTTTGCTACTACCCTGAAAGCCATTTGAAATATTGTTAATTGGTAAAATTCATGAAGACTGCTAAAAACTTAAAATATCAAATAGCATGCAGTTTAGTAGTATATACAAGGACTTGACTTTTAATGATGGTTTGTGGAAAAATATATATTACAAATTGTTTATAAAGTTTTCAAGATTAATGAAAAAAATTAGTATTTTGAAAATTCTGTTTTCAAAAGTGTAAAAAGGAGTGAAATTATCATAAACTTGCTTGTTGTCCTCTTCTCCCCATGTAAAGATCAAAATGAAACTGACCTCGCAATTTTGAAAACAAAACTACTAAAAATGATAATAACATTTTGGAGTTTATTTAGAAAAAAGAATGAAAATAGTGTATACAAAACAACAGAAAAAAAATTAAAGTGATTTTCATTATCAAGTACCGTTATTTAAATATTTTTGACAAAGCAGATTTACAGTTTTGGCTCTTTGTGCTTAATATGCACTTATATATTTCAACAGTTTTATACAACAAAATAATGTGCATTTTAAAATAGATAGTATGTAACATTTTGAAATCAATTAGTTAAAACATTATTCAAATATTATATATTACAGTAATAAGCATCTTTTACGTCAGCAGTATACCACTTAATAATGAATCATTTTGGCATGATTTACTCAAAACATGGTAGACAAATCTTTATGATATATTAGTATATAGATTTGGATGCTGTAAACATAATGACGCAATGGAAGTTTTGATTGACAGGCTGTGTGGATATGAACCCTTCTATGACAATAACCAGCAGGAATTCTATAAAAAAATTCTCAAAGCTGACTACCAGTTTGATTCTCCTTGGTGGGATGACATCAGTGAAAATGCAAAGGTAGAACAATTTTAATGCCAGATAATCTTTAGTTTATTGCCTGTAATAGTAAGGGTCCTTCTCCATGACATTGTATTGTACTGTCTGGTTAGAATTATGGAATTACTATACCTAAGCCACTGGCAGAGAAAGCCATCTTTACTAATTAAGTATTAGAATTAGCATTGTAATTAATGATGTAAATAGATATAAGTTAAAAATTAACTTGTATTTTTAATTGGAACATATTTCCACACTATCTTTGGAATTTTCCTGTGCTGATAAATTTACCACAAAAATTCATATAGTCTTTCATAGTAGACTGCGCTTTTCAGGATTGCGTTTTGGATGTCACTTGTATAAGGTCAAAATCAGTTATTATAGCATGATATTTGTTTCTGAATAATATTAATTAGATATCTAAGTTAGGCAAATCAAAACAATGAAAAATTTATAAGTCAATAAGCTTTCTCTCTCGATTTTTTTTCTCCGGAAAACAATATACAGGTCAATTTAGAGATAAAAAAAAATCAAGGTCACTGTTACTATAAATAGAATCTCAGCACAAGAAGATCAGTTCTTCATGGTTGATAATTTAATTTCACACAGTGCTTCAACCAAAAATAGTGTACCTACAAATGATTTCGGGAATGTTTTAAGATCACTTTGCTTCGGTTGTTAGTTTCTTACTCTGAGGAAAGATTTTTGTATAACAAACTTTGACCCATAAATCTCAATCCTCACACTATGTTTTTTACTGAAAATTCTGTATTCTTCATTGACCTAAAGGTATGTTTGCGTAATTTGTGAATGGTTTCCCCGTTATTAGAGAATGGGTACATACTGATCACTAGATTTTTTTGATTTGATAGGATTTCATCAGAAAGATGCTTCAGAAAGACCCCAGGAAAAGGATTACAGAGGACGAGGCTTTGAGGCATCCCTGGACAGAAGGGAAAGCAGCCAAGGGAGAGCACATGCAAGAGGCTCACAAGAAAATCAAAGAATTCAATGCCAAGAGGAGACTTAAAGTATGATACATTAATGAAACACATGGGGTTAATTTTTATAAACATGAATTTAAATTACTAGACCAAACCTGTAAGTTCCAAAGGGATTACATATAATAGGCACACCTTCACCTTCTTCCGACCAGATTGACCAGACTGGAGTGTACCAGCACTAACGTATGTAGTGTACTAGATGTAAGGAATCAACCAACATTTTTGGCTGTACTATAATCCTGAGTACACAAAGGTAGAAAAATAGTGTGATGAGATAGCAAACAGATTATAAAAAAAAAGATATACTCGATGGTAGCAATGTACTGTAATCAATTTGGATGTGCTTTATTTAACACTTGGTCATAATTTGAGAGTAGGTCAATTTCTTACCATCTTGTACACTATGTGCGTCGGTACTGGTGTGTTCCACACTGGTTTTCTGTCTGATGAAGGTGACCGTGTCATCATCGAAACATGACACAAAAATTTTCTACTGGTTGTGTTATAAGAACTTCTTTTCTATTGACATAACTGAAATGTAATAGGTTTGTTTTCTCCCCACTCTTCTGTCTCTGTCAGCCCTTATTTGAGCCTTATCTTCTGTACTACTTGATATAATGCTACCTGTGTTGCATAATTTGAAACACTTTGGAATTGCAGCATGTCTTGTATTGAAAAGGTTGATGTCACCTTGACATTGTCTTTGACCTTGAAATATCTTGCTCAAATAATTTAATTGACTCTCCTGTTGCAGAGGTGTAATAATCTCATGATAGTAAAACTAGGTCGCTTTGGCCTTTATCATGGAAATATCTTGTTTTAGATATTTTTTTCAAAAACAAATACAAAAGCATTTTGAGGATAACTGTGGATTGCTGTGTAATATGTCCCCTAGCTGAGAACCAGTTTGATGGACAAAACAGCTGATCTTAATGAATCAGATGCATTTTATTCCTAATTCTGGATCAACAGCTATTCTGAATTTTATTGAAAAGTGTTTTTGTAAAGTACATATTGACAGTTGAACTTTATTTCCTGAAAGGTTCTTTGTGCATGATATTATATTAAATGTTTAAATTATTGAAGTTGCACAACTAAAGTCTAATAAATAATTTTTTTTTTAACTTGCCAGGCTGTGACGGAGACTGTCCTTCTTACTGCAAGAGCAACTCGCCTTCCTGATGTAGCGTCATCACAAGCTTCAAATCCTCTTGCCTCGGTCTTGCTTAACAATGCCATGTTTGCGCCACAGCAAACTATGCCGAGCCAAGAACCGATGGACTTGTAACACAGCATCTTACATCAGGAACAAATGCTGTTGATGTCCTATCCAGGTCAACTCTCTCTTATAAACAATGCTGTGCCAGGCCTGTGGTGGACTGGAAACAGCCATCAACCAGCGTGGATAAATTCTTAAGAGATTTGGATTTAGTGTAACTTGGGCAATACATTTCAATAGCAGGCTCTTAGAGTCATTACGCATAGACAGCACTGTCACTTAGCCATCTTGGACCATTCTGTGATGAGCAAAGTCCTGGGTGTGCCAACGGAGGTTGAGAGACAATATGTATATGTTTGGTGAATTGGTGACTTGTTAAAGGGTGTTTGACCTTTATAACATACCTATATTGACCTTTAACTTACAATTGTGATATAAGTGTGTCAGTTTTAATCCGTCCTGTTGTGTTTAGTATTTCTATAATGTCTAAACATTGATACATGAATTTGTTGCTTGTAAAACTATGATGATGCAATCATTTATTAATATCTATTTTTTGCTAATTTGAAGATTGTTTTGTGTAATAGTTGTATACGATATAGAAAAATACATTTATTTTTGAAGTTATACATATCAGAAAGATCTGTTCTGATTTTTTTTTTAATTATTCATATGTAGGATCTAGTAGAAGTAATGTTTACTCCATGATGTATTTATATTCATTTGAATATTAAAAGGGCTTATTGAATTAAGTATTCAAATGAAGCTAAAACGCAAGACATTCAATAACTTTTCCTAGATTACATACAAGTCGTACATATCATACAGAAATTTTAAAGTCTAATTCTTACCTTTGCAATTTTATTGTCATATCAAATTGTTTAAAAAAAGACCAATGCTAGGTACCTACGTATTTCAAAACCGAGAAATTACACACCAAGTTTTTTTTAAAATTGATTTTGAAAGACGTACATTAAAACTGGGTGATAACTATGAATGAAATAACTAACTTGGCATCCATGATGATAAGTTTAGTTGATGAGAGCTCGATCACAATTTTTCTATGACAAATTAAACCAGAAAATTATTTAAACAGCATTAAACATTGTATTACATGTCTGAATGTAGATATATGCAACTCGTGTGTCTAGGTATACAGTAAAAAGTAACTCTTTATCAGCAATGACGTAATTGGGGAAAGGTATCAACTTGTTCATAAGTACATGTCATATGATGAAACAATGATAACTGCAATTACAAAGACACTTTCTACATAGCCTACAAAATACCAAAGATACAGGAACAAATTAAAGAGACTGCTGGAAACAAATTTTTTAAAAAAAATGGAAAACTAATTATGATGAATTTCTGTCACTGTAATCATTATCAGACAAGTTTGTATACATTAAGAGTGGATTCCAAATAAATGAACTCATTTTTTCCCACAGTAATGCAATGTAATAATGGGTGTACATTTTTAGTACCAAACAAATTTAGTTTTTCAGTTATTCATATTTTTCAAACATACATTTCTTTGAAAAAATATGCTGATGTTGACCCAGTGTAAATAACTTCAATTTGTTGATATTATTTTATATAGTAAAAAAACACTAAAACCTGCTGATTTACGAAATCATTTAAAGCTAGCAAGTTTGGGCAAGTAGTTATGATATCTCAAGGACATCTGCAATATTGTCTCCAACAGTTGCACTGTTTCAGGCGCTCAATTTCCAATACGAAATCTCATTTATTTCATCATAACTGCATTATAGTGCGTTGACAATTATTAGAATTAAGTTTTAAGATGAAATACAAATTACCATGTGATATTACAATTCTACTGAAAAATTGGTTATATTTATTTAACTCTGCTGTTTGCATAATATTAGATATCAGTCCAGATTTTCCATTGTAGATGATGTGCCGGTAGATATATACCATAACGACTCCATGTTCATAAATTCAGAACAGGTGGAACATATGGACTCCATGTTTCTTAATTTAGAATAGTTGGACCATATGGACTGCGGAATATATACATCTTTAGCTAAAAGATAATTTGTGATATTCTACTCCAGGCATAGTATAGCTTAAAAGGTTTTAGAATTTCTATACTCTGTTAAGAAAATTAACAAATTTGTTGGCAATGATTATTTTGTATTATGTATATTTCTGAATGATGAACATTTTCAAGGCAATGAGCAAACTTTTGGTATATATGAGGTAATATAAAGATTAAGGACCTTTAATTTCAGTCAATATAGCATTATGTCAGTCGCAGATAAAAATTTACATGTACAAAAAAAAAGTTGGTGTTGTTTCCATAAATTTTATCATTGCTTTTTCCTTTTATTTTATGTGCTTATGTATATAGATGCCTGATCGTGCAGCTGATTATTCCATCAATTTAAAGCTTTAAGTATTAGGGAGAAAGTGCAGCTCCCTTAATAAATTGTCCTAGGATGCATGATTCATATATAGCTCTTATTAAGAAAGTTACTTGGCTTGTATACAACTTATGATAATGGTGAAAGACCTGTTTGTTTTAACTTAAATGGCCATGGAACTAACTAAATGTTGTTGTAAAATATGTACAAATAAATTTGTCAGGTGTAAAAGTTTATTCATGTTTTGTCATGTTCAAAAAAAAAAAAATCACTTAGCAGGTAGGTACCATCGAAATAACTCTTCAGAGTATACTAATTATGTGTAAGATATACCTTCTATAAATACTTTTTGGTATCTTTGTGATATGTTTATAGTTTGTTTGGTAATCATAGCTCCGTGAATGTACATGGTCTTGTTAAGATCGAGTCTCATAGTAGAAGCTGGTGGCTGCCTCACTGAACATGATCATGTTAGAGATACACTACACACTACCCAAAGTAATTAGAATAAAGTCTTGTCCCAGGACACAACCATGACAGTGTACAGTGATCAAAGACCTCAGCTCTCACAGGTAGAAATCTGAAGCACATGTCTCAGCTCTCACAGGTAGAAATCTGAAGCACATATCTCTAATCTTCATCAGTGGTTGCAATATCTGATGTTCTATCAATGAATCATCTGTTGTGTTAGAAGGTATGACATCCAATGTAAATATATATTCATAAATCACTTGATTCGTTAGAATTCATTTAAACATTCAGTTTATTATACATAAAATGTACAATTGAGATAAGATGGTAAATAACTATTACGATTAAAGTTGTACATCAATATTTTCTGTCCATATTCTGCTGATGTCATGATGTAGTTCTTAGATTGCCTGAAAAAAAAAGTTAAAACAAATATATTTTTTGTATCATCATTTTATTACAGACATTTTCTATAAATCTTAACCATAACTGATGATTTAATTCTATCACTAAAACCTTAACAAGAATATAATATCAAAAAGATTTCTTTTAAACATCTCAGGAGAACTGTATTCAACAGTACAGTGAGACAAGAACATGTCAATTATATGTAAGAAAATTAAGGAATACGAATCTAGTCATAATCAGTTAATTAGATACAAGTCTGCTAATTAATATCAATGATATCAATTGAAGAATACAACTATATATTGGCATGTAATTTACAGTCTCTCACTGGTTAATACAAGGTACAACTTATTATGTTATAAGACTCTTTCATGTGTCAGGGTGTCGGATAAGGATTTTCCTCCCAAGGGGTCACATTAAAATGTCTTAAAACCTGAGGGTTTCACTACATTTTGTGACCTCGAGAATGAAATATCCCTTCCTTTACCTTCTTATACAAAAGAGTATTTTTCTCTCATTCTGAAATATTCGAAAAATATCAGACATTGACAATGTACTACCAAGGATGCCATATTATGCAAAAATAACTTATTTCTATCATAAAATTAATCGACAAGTTGATAAAGAAAATGAATTCTCAGTAACCTAGGTTTTGTAAACAAAGTTTGTACTTGAAAATCAAAACAAAATATAAATAGTCAATGCAAATGACTATTTTTACACTTGTGTATATGTTGTACACATATCAGTGGTGACGTCAATTGGGAATGAACACGTCACTTTTTATGCACATGCGACTTATTGCATGGGTGGGCCTGTTGTACCAAGAACAGTGTATTGCCTTGGATTGACGATTATTACACAAGATGAGATAAGAAAAAACAAAACCTATCCCACAGTCTACTGTCAATGCAAAATATTTCTAAAAATGGAGAACTGACGAATTGGTATAGATACCAGATCCACTAGGAGGTGGCCAAAATTCAGGAGCAGTGACCTGTGTATTTGTGAGGTGACGAGATAAAGTGACCTGAATATTTGTGAGGTGACGAGATAAAGTGACCTGTGTATTTGTGAGGTGACGAGATAAAGTGACCTGAATATTTGTGGGGTAACAAAATCAAGTGACTTGTATCTTTGTGGGGTGACGAGATCAAGAGACCTTAATAGGTATCAGGTGATGAGATCTTGATGGGCTTTTATCTCCAAGGTAATATACAATCACATAAATATTCTTCTAATTTGCAAAACACAAACATGCATAATGTTCCTAACTATTTTTACTATATGCATGTCTCCATGAAAGTGCACAATGTACACAAAACAATTTATACCTTCACTTTGTTACATGGATCTTCTCTTTTGTGGTCTATTGCCATTGAATGGTGTGGGGGTGACGTCTGTTATTGAAACTACTGAAATTCCCGCAGTAACCAATGCTTTCAGGCCAGCCTGAAAATTAAAGGGTTATATACAATCTGCCTACCATTTAGAACAAAGCTGATTTAGCAGAAACAAAAATCACACATGAGATGTAGCTCATATTAATATTAACTCTCCAGATTTTGATATTTTTGACTCAGGTCATTTAATTAGCACAAGGATAAGAAAGAAACCCTGACACATATACGTTAATCTAGAATGTGGTGGAAATGGAGAAATTTCATACAGCCTTTTGGTCAGAATTCAAAAGATAGAGTGGGTAAAAACATATGACATACATAAGATAACATGAATGAAATACAACAATGATGAGTATTGACTGACATTTCTTTTTCATGATAATATTATTTGAAAATTTTGATAAGTAAAAGTATACTTATCAACTCTATTTTGGGGATATTCCCCTTGTTTTCAGCCTATTTTCTTGATAGGGGATGTGTTTATATATATGGGGAAAACATACCATTAGGGGATTACTGCCCTTTTCCTGTGGTTTTTGTCTAGATTAATCGCTGTGATAATAATGTTACATAAATTGGAAATGTTTTTAAAAATGACTGTCATCTACAATTTACAGTAATGATTCATGAAAGCTGTTACATACCTCTCTTCCTAATCCAATACCGTTCAGAGCTACACGTACAGCATACATCCCTTCTCTCTTTGCCTCCTGTTCAGCAACAGATAAATGTTAACTTTACAGTCATCAGAGTGTCATGAAATTGAGTACGTGTCTGATCAATAACCAATCCTAGTGTAGCAATCTTAATTGACATTAAAATGTCAATTATAAATTTATTGTATTATCTTAGTACTGGTGTCCAATGATCTTACAAATAAATGTTGGGCTAAAAATAAAGCTGACAGAACAACAGTAAGGAAAAATTCAATGTCAGAACAGGATAAAATATCACTTTTCAGTAATAAAACCTTCATTAAATAGTGACCTGTTATAGTGTTAAATCTACCTTATCATGTGTTATTGTGGTGACAACTGACTGATACTGTGCTGGCCTGCTGTATATATGGCAACTCATGAGTGATAACTTACCTTAGCGATAGCCACTGTAGCAACCTGGGCAGCAACAGCTGTAGATTCTCTCTTGTTCTTAAAACCAACAGAGCCCTGCAGAACAAATCATACAGTCCACTTCAGCAAATGTTTTGCTGCCAGTTTTGGTTTCACTTGATTTTTGCAATATATTATCTGGGATATGGTACATGTTAATGTTACAATTCAAATACTAGTAACTGTTACTGAACAACTTGCCGGAATTTTCACTGATAGGACTGATTTGGTAATTTATCACTAACCTAATTTTAACCTCAAGTTCTTTTTTATCATTTATGATGAAAAGAATACAACATGTGTAACCATACTGCTGAAAAAAGCTTTGTTTATCTTTAAGTACACTTTTGAACTTTGACCTTAAACTAATGCTGGAAGTTGACTCGCAACAGAATTTTTTTCTTATTGTTATCAATAGTAATTTATCACAGTATGCTACTGACCAAATATCACCCTGTGTATCTGGGTTATTGAAAAGTCATTTACAGATTTTAACATCCTGGACCTCTGTGACCTTGAAAATGGGTCAAGGAAATTCATTATCAACCTTGATAGTCAATTACTTGAGCATCTAATTTATGAAATATCAAGTCACTACACCTTGTAAAACTCGCTAAGAAGTTAGCCAAAACTTAATATCAAAATTAGCATTCTCACTTTTTATCCTAATCAAAAACATAAGATGTATTTTGGAACAAGCTTATTTTAATACATCAGTAGCAATTGATTTTAGTATGCTACTGGCAAGATTTTATCACTGTGAGCCTCATGGTTATAGAAAAAATCCTATTTAAAAATCTTAACATAGTTGACCACTGTGACCTTTAAAAGTGGATCAAAGGTCATTCATGTCAACAACCTTGATAGCCACAGACCTTAGCATCCTACTTATGAAATATCAAGTCTCTAGATCATGTCGAAAATAAGATGAAATTTTTCAGTTTGTTACCAAAAACAGCACTTTTCATTTTTGACTGTGTCGGGAAACTGGAAGTTGAATTTTCAGACATTCAATAAAGGTAGACAGTTGTTGCAGGTGGTGCAGATGACCACAGAAAACATTGAACAACTTACCCCTGTAGCAGTCTTGACTGTTTTACCTATCACAAGAAATGAAAAATATAATCATAATGCAAAAGTTTTTTTTATCTTTTTTTATATTTACCGATATTTCATGATGAAATATTTCAACTTTAACAATATCTTATTCAATTCATGAACATTGATAATACATTTTCAATGTGTCCATGTTCCCATTATCAAGCAGATAAAATCAAATTAAACAATACCTCCCTATCCAGAACAGTGGATGATCTTGAGTCAGATATATTATATAAATATATTATGCCTGACATGAGAGTAAATATTTCTTACCTTCAGCAGAAGATAGTGTGATTCTGAAGTTATTAGCAGAAGCCTTGATATGGACCACTGGCAGATCTTTATACTTCGTCCCCTGTATCATCATATCAGGTGTGTCTTCTGTTGGAAACGCAGCACTGACAAAATAAACCACATTCAATGTCTTGAGAACATAATGAACACAAATTATTACAGGTATATTTTTCAGCTGATCTTATACCTACTAGAGTTCAGTGTATGATAGGAAGAAAACTGCCTCTAAATTGTAAATTGCCAGAAAGAAGGTATCATAACTACTAATTAAGCACATTTGTGTTTATAAGAACACAAGAATGGTGCATTAATTAAACCTATTTGCAAGGAACGGTTTCCATTTTGTTTTTGAGTTAGGTATTACATTGAAAGTATCTGAAGACAGGAGGACTGGTGGGAGGAGTGTGTATTTTTTCATTTTTTCTGAAACAGGGTTTTTTAGTTAATTGTTCTTTATCAGTTGTCAGACTGAAGTTCCATATGTACCAACTGATGTTACTTGTTGCCAAACTGGTTTTAAAAATATATAGGCAATTTGTATCACTACCATCAAGCTGATTTCTGGTGGAAACAAGATGGAAGTGTAAAGGTCATTAATTAGATGAAAATTTCTCCACTTTTTTTAATATTTCAGCCATTTTTACTTGTGGTTCATATAAGTACTGAAATATTTCAAAATTTCACAGCTGATTTAAACTGAAAAAGAACAGAGCACCATTCCAAAAGAACATCTGCTGGGTACTTACTCAGAACTCCAATATAAATCACTTCTATCTAAGGTTGGGTTTCCTGCATATTACCTCTAAGCGAATTTCTTACCAATTAAATTCTATACATGGGTGGTACCCTAAGACAAAACCTGAAGTCATGAGATGAGATAGATGTTTTACTGGAAAAGCCTTAACTAAGGTGACACAGTTAATAATATGAAGGAATGAAATTTTCAAAACAGAAAAAAAGGTAAAATAAAATTGAAATAAAAATTATAAAATTTAGCCAATACTCAGTATACAGGTTCAAGTAAAAGTGTTGAAAGCTTAAGACTGAATAATGAATAGAAATATAATTACTGTGGTTAAGCATAGAAGCTAGTGTGCTTATTTGGTCAAATATGGCCTCCCTCTTAAATTCACTTGAACTTAGATCAATATCATGCATTGTTGTATCATTTACTATTTCTCAAACAATTTCAAGTGCATGTACTACCAACTTGTGTAAAATCATAAAGTTTACAAAATAAAATCACATATGAGATTTTTCCTTATATATAACTTGTAATATTCAACAATTCATACTCAAAATTTTCCTCTGCTAAAGTTGTGAATTTTAAGTCTTTCAATTTGTCCGCTTTCTGTGCCTGAACATCTTGATGCTTTGCCTGCGATCTTTCAGACAGCCTTTTTGCTCTATCCCTGTAGTCCAAAGAGGTATGGAACGATTGTGTAGTAGCCACTGTAATCACAAAACGACCCCATTATCATAATAAACTGAATCAATTATGTGTCAACACCAGCATGATGCTTAAACAACAATTCAATCACAGCATGACTGTTGTGATTTAAATCAAAAGTCTGTAATTTAAGTAAAGGTCAAATACCTCAATTGTTTGTCTTTGCAGATGTTTTTTCTTAACAATGTGAATCAGATTTCAGGAAAAATCTGTCAATGTTAATAAATTACTAGAGATCCCATAGGGATCTTGGCACCCATCATTGTTTAATTGCTATTTGTTCTTTACAAGCTTCTTTTTTTTCCTCTGTTATTTACTTTGATTTAAGCATAAGTTAAAAGTTCTTCTTAAGAAAAAGCATCAATAATATGCCAAATCCAAGATGGTCACCTGCAGTGAGCCATTATTTTTCTAATTAAACCCAAAATCAAAAGGGTTCAACTAGGGACCGAGGAACCTACATACAAACATTGAGAAAGATCCATCCAGTATCAAGAAATAGGGATAAAAGACTTTCACAGTAAAAATCCAAGATGACCACTTTTCAGCGATTTTGTTTTCCTAATCAATCCAAAAATGAGATAATGCACAACTAAGACATGTATATCATGTACAACATATTGGCTTCTCTTCAAAAGATGTTAAATAAACTTATCATGTCCTTTGGATTATTTATTTAATTTCTAACCAAAGTATCTGCTTGTTTACCCAACTCCTAACAGTTTCATTTAAAAATTGATAAAGAAATAAGACAGATTTCAAAAGACCTTGCAAGGCAGCTGCTGGGTGTCTTGTCTTCAATGGAACAAACAGACAAGTATAGATCCGTCTGCTAGTGCATGAGAGCACATTTCTCAGCATTTTCTTTTATCTATGTACACCTGTAAGACAGCAAAACATCATTTTATTAAATGACAGTACTCTTCAATCTTGTTAACATATGGTCATTTTATTGTTTTTCTATTGAAATAAGGTCTTCTCTAAAGCTTGAAACTTGGTTTTCCCTGGAGAAATAAGATGCGATATACTGTAACGAACAAGTTTATTTACGAAAATTCATAAAATCATCACTGAAGACTGGAACTATATTTATGAGCTGAGCAATTATTTTGGTATACGCTATCAGACAAAATTCAGCACAACGTCAACATCAGGCAAACAAAAATTGAACAACAAAACTGTTGAAGTTTTAATTATCTGATTTTCAATCATTTTGGCTCGGGACAGAAAGACAAAAGTGGCTGGCCAGCATCCTCAAAAGTCTAGTTTACAACCATTTTCACTCTCTGCACCCTTGGATCGTGTCATGGCAAAGTTGAAGGTTCCACAAGCTATATCTTTGTGGAGAAGACAAAAAGACGAGCTTGATTCTTTGATGTATATCAAATGAATGTAGAGATCACATAACAATATGGTATTGTAATGGCTTTGAAGTTGGATGTCGCTCCTTCGTAATCTTCAAATGGAGCTTATCAGCCTGTGATTGGTCTTTTTTTCTCCTAGAACCAATCAAATTACTTTGCTTGTGCCTTCAATATTGCCATGACATGTTCATGGTATGCAGAGAGCCATTGTAATTGGAGTATCGAGGATGGCTCACCATTACTGTCTTTCGGGCCTAATCCAGAGTATCACCTTGCTCCCCTACTAGGAAATATTTTGATAGGCAGATGTTTAGCTATATATGCTGTTCATCTGTCTGGTTTATCCAGTAGGAGGCAGAAGAAACATATTACAGTATGTCATGGCATACCATGCTTGTTCTACTATACATACTACCACTTTAAAGTATAAAGCATTGGACGGGTGAGAGGGGGTCTTGTTGAGGAAGGAAACCAGAGAACCATGGGGAAACCAAAGTGTTCATTCAGGTTGCACCACATCTAGGTGAAAGGCGAGTGTTTATGAGAACACACTGCCCCATTCAGCCACGGGGGCGTGTTAATTTATTTGAAATCAAAATTATATATTACATGGTTTACTTAAAGCAATTGTATCTTTTTTAAGTGTTACGTTAATACATGTCCCTATGGTTCATTCAGACTTCCGTCAAACAGTTTAATAATCAAGTGTCCGTATATATATCTCTCAATTACATATACGTATTCCCGATCCTTGTCGAAACGGGTTACCAAAACTTGAATAGGTCTTGATCTGTTGATGTCTTGATCGAAAGTTAGCAATGGTGGCTTTATGGACATTTCTAATTTAACATCATTCAGAAATTGTTGCAAACAGCTCAATGTAACAATACAAACATTAGCAATTGCATTTGTATATGAGTTGCATACCCTGGAATAATTTGACCACCGGCAAATCCAAGTCGAATTTTCAGCAAGGTCTTCTATTACAAGCGTCAAATCACTCAGATGATACGATATTGACGAAAAAGATGCAATATCTATTACAAGCATGTTTGAGACCTAGATCGAAATAGACTATAAACAAAAAATGGATAATGACCGATAATGAACAGGCACCGCAAATGAATTAGCAATGTAAGTTTTCCGCTCTATGACCATTTTTTTCCACTTTTAACATACTATAGAAGATGTCAATAATAGTTATTTCAAATGACAGAATAACACCAACAGTGCGCTACTTCCGTCAAATCAAATGACTGAGATTTGGGCTTGCACTGAAGTTTGCGATGCAGAACTTCCTGAACAGCTGATCATGCAACACTTCTCTGCTTCTAAAATAATGTGCTTTTTAGAGTGGATGAAATGATAATGAATGACTTCAAGTGATAATGTTATGTACACCTTTATCACAGGAACATGACTTTCCATCAGTATGAATAATAATCCATAATACTGGTGCAAATATCAAAAATTAAAATATTCTGTTAATACTCGCAGGCCTTAAAAAATACCTGGAATCCTAGGTCTAACATTACATTGTTTAAAGCACAGACTTCTTACACTGCAGTGGGTCAGTATTAAAGAGGGTTGAAGGGGGCCTAAAAACCAGTGCACATCCATGACAAACTGGTTTTAAACAAAGATTAGCCGAATCAATGTACACGGAATATTGATACAATGTTACTGCCTAGTTTACAATTAATAATGTACAAAGGTACTCGTTGAAACATTGCACATAATTTTCTAAATGATTGTAATATTATATAAGAACTTATCTATTCAATAAATGGCACCAACCTGAAGAAAATGTTATAACTGCTATTTTAGTTATTTTTTTACTATTTTTTTTAAAATTTCATTTCCCAGGAACAAATTAGTAGGGGCATACATGTGCAATATTGTAATCCTGATAAATACTAGCTGCAATATACCGCTTGGCTAGTGAGAATTTCTCTTTAGCTTGATCAGTTGAGTGTCAGACTATTAAACCAGGGATCCCAGGTTTGAGTTCTAGTGGAGGCAATAAATAATAAACTCTGTTAGACTTGTTATGAGGTTACCTCTGATATAATCAGATTATGTTTGGGAGGATCAAAATATCTCAATGAAGCATCTCAATGTCCTATAGCCTTTACCCGTGGAATGATACACCGCATCAATTTATAACAGGAAGGAGTAAGGAAAAGTACCCTACCATCACCAGAATTTGAATAAGTGACTGATTGGTTTCTAGCTGTACTCTTTACTGCTCAAAACAATCTGTAATCTGGGCTAGTAAAATACTAAGCTACAGATAACCTAAGAATAAATAACCAAATTATATGAACTTAAAAAAAAAAAATTGGAGGGTGGGGGGAGTTTGATAGTGAGCAGCATATATATAACGCTTGATCCCTTCCCTTAGCCTCCACTCCCCATTCCCACTACCCTGGGAGATTTGCAGGAGGGGTTGGGGGTGTTTTTGCAGTAATATATGGTAACTCCAAAGGTGAGACATACAGTACTGTTTCACTTTTGAATGAAAGACACGACCCTGCAGGTCTCCCTGTCTTTATTTAATTACCTTGGTATCTTGAATTGTGGTGAGTCATGATATTCACTTTTGTTGACATATCTGTTTTATGATTTCTGACACTAGATAACACTCTGTTGCTGATGTAGAAGCAGATTCGAGATAAAAAATGACAACAGTATGTCCATGGCAGAACCTTATTCCAGACACAATTTTGCTGCACATCTTTGGCTTTCTTGAAGCAAGGTCTTTAATAAGGGCTAGTTGTACTTGCCATAGATGGCATAGAATTGCCAGAGATGAGAGTCTGTGGAAAGTCCTGGCTCAGATGGACTGGAATACCAAAGGTATTTAACATATCGTATGATTCACCAGATTTCAAGCTGGCAGTTACCCTTCAGGTTTGCCAATTGTTTTTTTTAGAAATTATGAATGGAAAGAAGTTTTAAGTTATGTGTAAAATTAGAATAGAAAAATGTAAATCTTGATTCCATCAAGATGGAGATTGTCAACGTTGACAACATATTGATTATGGTTGTGATTTTAAGGTGAAGATGGTTAAAAATACTGACAACTATCCAGGTTTTTTGTGAGAATAAGAAGGAAAATCATTGAATAATTATAAATAGGTCGTATCCCATGAAATGTTCAATTGGTTGTGTAGAAATACTTGTTTTCATGACGGTTGACAAAACCTCAAAATAAGATTCAGCGTTTATTTCCTCAGACTTCAGGATACAAAATAAAAGTGAATGAAATGTTTGAAAATATGTGATCAGTTCACTCTTTTTGATTTTTTCCTCGTAATTTGAAGCTTCATCATATGATATTATTCTCTTTCTACTGCTGAACATGTTTGTTCCAAATATACCTGTTGATCAACACATTACATGTATAAGCATCATGTTGTAAAACTGTACAGTACATTTATACTATAAGTACATGTTAAGTCTATGTTGTATTGCAGGTGGCCACAAAGACAGTGATCAGACCTGGTACATGGAATATAAACGTTTATTTTTCCATGCACCAACACAATTCAGTGAGAGAATTGAAGGACACACTGACGAGGTTTTAGATGTAGCATTTTCACATGATGGAAGATTATTTTGCACGACTTCTAAAGATACCAAGGTCAAGGTAAAATTTCTGGGTTTTTGATCTCATTCCTTGAACAGGTTACGTGATCCACTTCTTGTTGGAGCTGAATCTTGGTACAGCTTGATCATGTTCTAGTGACTGGGTCGAGATCTTGTTACAATACAACTGAGCCAAAACCTCATTACAGCTGGATCTATAAATCTTGTTCTATCTAGGTATAGGCCTTGTTACAGGTCTCGTCTGCTGAAAGGCCTAAAGGCCGTAATATATATAGTGGACATAAAAAACCTGGTAATTAAATAAATTGTTACAAGTAGGCCGAGATCTCATTACAGTTAGATCTATAGACCTTGTTACAGCTTGGTATAATCCAAATTACAGCTGGGTTCAGATTTCGAAACAGCTTGTAGATTTCTTAATACAGGATAAAGTTGGGTACTAATTATTGCTGGGTCCAGACGTTGTTATATCTAGTTCTAGACCTCATTACAGCTAGATCTAGAAATCTTGTCATAGCTTGGTATAATCCAAATTACGGCTGGGTTCAGTTTTTCATTCATCTAGATCTAGACCTTGCTACAGCTGGGCCTGGAGGTTCAGTTTTTCGTTCATCGAGATCTAGACCTTGCTACAGCTTGGCCTGGACACTAATTATAGCGGATCTATAAATATTGTTACAGCTTGGTATAGCCCTAATTACAGCTAGATTCAGATTTCAAAGCAGCTTGTAGATTTCCAAATACATGATACAGTCGGGTAATGATTTTGTTGTAACTGGTTCCACATCTCTTTACAGCTGGACTCAGCTGTATGTATGGAGACTAGAAAAATTAAGTTCCACTGAATCAATACTTCTTTAAGTAAAAAGTGACACATTTGATATGTATGATATCTCTTATTTTTATCATTTAGATCTGGGAGGTCGGAAATCCTACCCAGCTGCTACACTCAGCGGACCTAGGTCTGGCCTTGGATTGGAACATGACACAGTATGCGACCTTCAATAGTAACGACTCCTATTTGTTAGTATGTGGAGTTAAGTTCCAACTCCCAGCTGCTGGATCTCAATCTCTAGGCCTTGGAGTTGTATTTAGGATGAAAGGTTGGTATCGATGGTCACATACCAAGGGTGATGTTAAATATATATTCAATTACCTCAAACAAGTGCGAAATCTGATAATCTCATTCAAAAGGCTGTCTGAAGGACTTTAGAAATTTTAACAATGGTTTAACTGTATTTTTCCTACTTGTTTGTAATTTTGTCAATGAAAAGATTACAGAACTTTTACATTTGAGGATATTTAAGTCCTTGAAAGAAAGTTTGGGGCCTTATTGATTTTAACCTATTTTTTTTCCTTTTTTTCCCCCCTGCTTTCCACTGAAAAGATTTTTCTCCAAAACTATAATTTGGATCTTCGACAAACTAGAATGATTGATAATCTGACTTCTAGATGTAAGGTGCCATGCTGGCCGAGTGGTTCAGGCGTCTGACCATCTGTATCACTTGCCCTCCACCTCTGGGTCATGAGTTCAAGGCTTATGTGGGGCAGTCTCTAGGTACTGGGCAAGGGTCAGTGGTTTTTCTCTGGGAACTCCAGCTTTCCTCCACCATCTATACCTGGCATGGCCTTAAATGACCTTGACTGTAAATAGGACGTAAAGCAATGATAATGTAAACTAAACTAAATCTTTAAATGTGCAAACAGTTTCTGTTTGGTTTCTGATTTCGCAAGATGGCTACCATTTTTTGGTTACTGATTGGCTGTATAGTTAATGCTTTTTCACTCATAAATTCTGTTTTATTCAGCACATTGAGATGAGAATTGATAGAAGTTATAACTGTAGGACACTCTCTAAGATGTTTTACATGTAATAGAAAAATGACAGTGTCACCGAAATGGCTGCCAAATTAAGGTGTCTGATTGTTTGAAATTTAGGTATTGTCCAATTTTAGTGAAGTTTGGTATGTAGATGTAGTATGACATCTGCAACATGACAGTGATGTCTGTTTTCTGATTGGACAAAATGGCCAACAAGGGGGTTGTTTGCAATATTTATATTTTCATAGGTGTATGCCAGAGTTCTTTGCCAGTGTCAAAGTCATTGTTAAAATTTTTAAAGGTGTATGCCAGTCTGTTCTGCAGACTTCCCTACCATATATTGAAACACTTTAATAAACTCAATTCATGCCTGAAGGGTTAGTTTTTGGGACTTATAAAATGGGTTCTGTTACAGCTAATACTTGTTTTCTGTTTTTTATTTTATTGACAGTTTAAGATAGGATGAAATATCATGGCTTTTATTGTACATTTTAAAAGTCTTAACTTGAATTGTTAAAAGTCATCCTGGTATCGGATAGCTGCAAAATATTCTATGAAATATTTAAAATTCAAATGATAATTTCATTTTTATAAGTAGATAATAAAATTGTTTTAAACTTCTGATTCTTGTACTGGACAGATTTCCGCCTGATACAGGAGATGCCGATGGACCCACCCCACCTGTTTGCTGACTGGTATAATGACGATATTTGTGTTGGAGGATTTGTACCTACTGCGGCCAACAATGACTTTTTTTGTGTGAAGGCTTTTAAAGTTATTGATACTGTAAGTAGGAAATTGTGAAAAAATTTTTTAATGTTTTCTTAAATTGCTCAGTTGTTAAATGTGTGGAATTAGGAAAATCTTTGTCCAATTTTTTATATTGTCTGACATTTTTTTTGGATATTCAAAATTAAGTCATTTAACATTAAGTCGGTGTTTCCGTTTTTCCATTGAATGGCCATACACATGTATTGTTACTATTTCCTACACAGGTACCAGACAATATTCCACTGAGGTGTCCCTACATTGAAGGAACTGTTATCTATTCATTCTTTGGAGATCATCATCGCACTATGAATCTTCTTGTGGCCAATGTGCCTCACAAACAAACAAAATTACCAGTCACAAGTAGTCAGTGTAATTACTCAGTGAAAGACACCCCTCAAAACTCAGAAACTGAATCTGATTTGATAGAAGCATTTAATAATGATTTCCATTTAAGTCCATCAGTGGCTCCCAAAGACCATACTCAAGACTGTCCAAGTTATGCTAACATATCAAATAATGGAGACAGTTCAAGCAGCTTATATAAAGAGCAGAGCCAGTCTACGAAACCTTCCACGAAAGTCTGTGATAAATATGAAGAGAAACTTTCTGGTCTACAAGACTCTGTGTCCGTCTTGCAGGCCTTTGATAAATATATGATATTTGTAACAGGAGAACAGCACAATGCTATAGCCTTTCACAGGGTAGAAGAATTGCCTGATACACTAGAAGCAAAGGAGAGAGGTAAAAAATTACATGAAGAGTCATTGAAGAAGTTTACAAAGTTATCAACTGCTCCAGTTACTCAGCTGGCGACGCCAGAAAACCCTACCAAAAGCATCCATTTACCTGGTCATTACATTTCAGGCATGAAGCTCTCTAGGGACCACAGGTATATATGATACTGTCTTTAGTCAAATCAGTAATTTTCTTTTAAATATCAAAAACAATTTCCAAATTTCGTCTTATATTTAATAAAATGTTGAGTTTTTCAGTTTAATAAAAAAAAATGCTATTTCCAAAATGCTTTTCCGACCCATGGCAGTAGTTGTATTTCTAATGTCTAATGAAAATAAGACGAAGGGGTGTATGAATGTTGATATTTTGACACAACCCAGTACCTCAGTATTTATTTTATATGAAACACATTATTTGAAAGGAGGATAATTTTACACTTGATCACAAGAAAAATGATTTGCTTGATTTTTCCAGATACTTATTTTTTAATTGTCGATATGCTATTTATGATGTGGAGCTAGGATATCCTAAGCTTATGGAGGACATGGAGGTAAAAGCGATTGACCTTCAGACATTTCGTCTGGTGCCTGAACTAGCATTTGGTGGCCACAAGGGTTTCTCCGAGTTTCCAGCTTGGTACATATGCCTCGATTCCTGTCAGGATTATGTTGCTAGGTAAGTCTGTAGATTTCCCGGCTCAATTTGTATAATAGTCTTTTAAACTGAGATTTTATATCCTGTGATTTTGCTTAATGTTGGCATTTTCTACATCTACAAATGTACAGCTGTAGATCTGTCTTTATAAATTGGCAGTATTCTGTTAATATTGTACATCTGTTATACAATAGTATCAATATTGAATTTTTCAAGAGCATGAATATGCAAGTTTTAGCAAATAAATTTTCTGTGCCCTTTTAGTGCACATTTGTAGGTTGAAAATGATTTTGTCCAAAAATCTCTTTGTTTAATTTGTCTAAAATGATTCAATGTATACATGTATATAGACATCAACATTCTATGGCATGACAACTCCCATTGTGAGAATGTCACAAATTAATTTCTACTTTTCTTCATTTGATAATAATTATAACAAGTTGAATGAAATAAACAATTACGAAAATATTATCAATGCAAACGGGGTACCGGTATACCTATTTTAACACTGTCCTTAAAGAGATATTCTGTACAAGTTGGCAAATTTCTGACTGTTTTGTACATTTTCTGAACTCTTTCTAGTGACTTTTTTGTCAATATCAAAATTTCCTATGGTCAGTTTGGGTCGGCAAAATTGGAAGAAATGCCCCCCTGCCAAAATAACATTTGCCTAAATACAAATGTATGTCACATTCGGAAATCCAGAACTCAGTCACTGATAGGGTAATACATTTAATGCGGAGTATTAATAAAAGTAAATACACAGGTCTTTACACATTTATACCTGCTGTTGGTATCAGAATTCTGTTGCTTTGTTGGACAATATTTCATCTATTTTAAAATGTACGCAATATTTCACACTGTTCAGGTCATAAAAGGCAGACCTGTTGTGGCTCAATCATGGCAAAACTATTGTTAGTAAATCATGCTTCTTGTAGATCCGTGTAAAATTTCCAGAAATTAAATTTTGTATGTTAAATTTCTGTAAAAACATAGAAGAACCTTTAATGTTTTTTTATATAAAACATATATGAAATCTGAACTTGTGCAGAATATCCCATTAAGTTATACCTGTCATGTATTTTGTTGAGTTTGTTTACAATGAATGATAAATTTACTTCATAATACATTTGTAATGTGTTTAGTAAGAAAAAAATCAGTTTATACCAAATTAAAAGCTAATATTATGTAAAATGGACATGTATCTGGTATATCTTTATAATGACATTTATGTGTAAAAAGACTTGAAAAACATAAATGACAGATACTGGAAAAATACAATTAAAACAATACAAAGAGACAAATTCAAATTATATACCTTTAATTGATTTAGATATAATCTCAATTCACAATATTCCCCTGTAAATATGGAACATTAATAGCCACAGCTCTGAATTGAAGGTGGCTGATCCTAATGGCTGTTTCTGATCAGAGTCACCTTGATGCTTAGGTTCTCAGCTGCAGGGTTAGCAGAGTTATTTCCCCTTGCTCAATCTATAGCTAATACTTGATTGTTTTAAAGGAGATTATCTTTAAACCTTGCATTAATAATCTCAATTAAACAGCTGTCAGGCTACTAATACACTAAGATAATGGGTAAAGCCATGCCAGACTACAATATCCCATCTACAATTTATCATGTTCTGATGTCAATAAACTCTAGGCTTCATGAGCTTGTGTGTTCTATTCCTAAAATAGAAGATATATTTGAATGAATTCATGATCATACTAGACTTTCACTTTTGTATACAGTATGTGTTATGCAAAATGTACTGGTGTATTCTCAAATCAAGCTCTCATCCTGATCAGTTTATGTGACAAATTTATGACTTGTTTATTCCCCCAGTTTGAAAGGTTAGAGGCATATTGTTTTTGTGCCGTCTGTTTGTTTGTCGGTTTTCAACTTTAACCTTTTCCATAAATTTTGCACCATAAGAGGTAGAGCTTTCATATTTGGCATGTGTGTTCCTTCTGACAAGACCTTTTTGGTATTTAATTATTTATCATATGACCTTGACCATGACCTTTCACCTACAGAATTAATGTCCTACTCGATAATTTTGTTGCAGTGGGGACATATTGATTCATTAACACATCTTGTTACTAATATTGTGTGAGCTTTGTTTGCGGTAAAAAAAATAGGAAATTGTTACACTAGAGTATAGGAGGTATCTATACCTCAATGTATATATTTTTACAGCGGAAGTGAACAGTTCTTGGGATACCTATGGGACCGTCGTTATCACACTTGTCTAGCCACACTTAGGCATTGTGAAGGGGTCGTCAATGGTGTGGCATTTAACCCTGTGGACCCAGAGTGCCTAGTTACCGTGGCTGATGATCACATCATCAACATCTGGCGATCCAGAAACAGAAAGAAACAGATTGGAGAACATTCTTAGCTCAAGGCTCAAGTTGTAACTAGAACAAAATCAACACATGGTCTATTTATTGTTGGTATTTTGATGATAAGTTTCCAGCTGGCTGCTTTTTAAATCCTTCAAAATGGGCAATGTTGTACAAATGTCATGTCTAGCTTGAGTGGATTTCTTTACTGGTAGAAGTTTATTGTCCTGGTAACTCTATAGGTATGAAATATATTCTATTGTGATTTTATATATAGTATAAGTCAGAAAATAAACTTCTAACATGCGGTAGGATATTGATTTGTTCCCAGACAGTAGAAATTGGTATGTGTAATTTATTTCAGAAGGAGCTTGTGAATATTTGTGTACAGTACATGTATTGCACATGTGAAGTCAGAGATTAAAATGTTACATTTGTTTTGTTTGATATACAAAGTTCAATATTACTGTTTTAACATACAGATGTTGTTTGGTGATAAAATCTTTTCCTACACTTTTGATAGCTATAGAAAAGAAGTCCTTATGACACAACCGGTAGAAGATTAGAGTGTGACATTTTGATGACCACACAGGCACCTTCATCAGACCAATGTGGAGCATACTAGCACTGACATCCTTTCACTGATTGTGTTATAAGAACTTTTGTTTCATTGACATTACCAACCAGTAGAAAATGTTCTGAAATATTTGATAGCTGCATGAAGGTGCATGCATGTAGTTCCATACATATTTATCTTATGTTATATATTTTCTCATTCACTTGAGTTTCTTTTAATTTACTAAACACGAATAGAAAAATGCTGCAGTCGATGGATGGAATTGTCTTCATAATCAAGTTTTATAATATATTTCTTGACATTCTACATTTACAGACTAACAGCTCTGTTATCAATAATTATGTCTGTGATTAATTGATATAATTACTTAAAAGTCTTTCAATACGCATCAGTGTTCTTTATTAATAAATCAATTATTGATCAATAAAGAAATCATAAAAAATTGTTTTTCTCTCATCATGTGTAAATTTTTTAACAACACTTTATTGTGTCAAAATGGCAGAAGGCCTTTCATCGATTCTGGCCGGATTTGTGCTGGAGGATTTAAGAGTGGTTTTTCATTATACTTATGTATCTGTATATGATACAAAGCTGCCTAGACTGAAGTTGTTTTGTTACCAGTCCTTTACTGTTAGAGCAGGGGGCGAGGGATAGATGGATTTACTAACATGTGTTAAGTTACGTTTGTGTCCATCATTCCACCAGTCCATCCGTCTATTCATCTGTCAGTTCATCCATCTTATACCTTTGGTTAAGTTTTATGATAACTTACCATTCACTGAATAGTTGTTTTAGGATGCTTATACTTCACAAAATGGTTCTTGAGGGCAAGGGTAGAGATGGGGGGATGTAGAGGAGGGGAGGGGGAAGGTTCTTCATTAAAAGCATGTTTTGAATATGAATCCTTTCTGGTCAGACTCCGGTCAGACTCTTCATGCAAAGTTTTCCAATGGTTCACCATTCACTTTTGTAACTTTTTAAGGGGGTGAACTCTTTGCATGAATTTTTTTCTAGGATCAAATGTGGATACTGTAGATTCAAATTCTGTATCAAATATTTTGCCCCTATCTTCTAAATGACTATATAGTGTAATAGTTTAGAGATGTCAGTAGGGGACATGTCTCACTTTAGCAGTACTCAGTGTACTTGTGTTTATAAGAATTAAACTTTCTGTGTCATAAATATCCAGAGGAGATGATATAGACCACGAGATATGAATAACACTGTGTGCTTTAAAATAAAAAATGGTAAGACTTAATAACCCTATCTACAGCTAGGGAAAGAATTGATGGGAAAAGTGTTAAAAACTTTGGCAGTAGGAGACAAAATTTGATTCCACAAAATTATAATTTTATTATAAAATTATAAGTGTATTAATTTTAGACATATTTAGCGGGTGGGTATAAGGGAGGCAGAGTACAAAGGCTTTAATCCTGGTTGGTAGATCAGTGAAGTAAGGGACTTTACATGTAATAGGAATAATTAAACAGGTGTTGATGGAGTGAATCTATCATATTTCCCCGAAGGTGTTGTGGGGTGCACTTATAGATGGCTAGAGGAGGAGCTGGCTGGGGGGGGGGACAAAGGGATGAGGGAGCTTAAGGTCAGCATGTTCCAGAGAAGGGAGGTGGGGGAGGCATGTGGACTGTGGTATCCAGAGAAGAAAGTGGAAAAGGCTTGAGAACTGTGGTACCCAGAGAAGGGAGGGAGAGGCTTGTGGACTGTGGTATCCAGAGAATGGAGGGAGAGGCTTGAGGACTGTGGTACCCAGAGAAGGGAGGGAGAGGCTTGTGGACTGTGGTATCCAGAGAAGGGAGGGAGAGGCTTGAGGACTGTGGTATACAGAGAAGGGAGGGAGAGGCTTGTGGACTGTGGTATCCAGAGAAGGGAGGGGGAGGCTAGAGGACTATGGTATACAGAGAAGGGAGGGGAAGGCTTGAGGACTGTGGTATCCAGAGAAGGGAGGTAGAGGCTTGTGGACTGTGGTATACAGAGAAAGGAGGGAGAGGCTTGAGGACTGTGGTATCCAGAGAAGGGATTAATGAAGCTTGAGGACTGTAGTAGCCAAAGAAGGGAAAATGTATTTTCAGAATCTGCAAATATGGTAGCACTCCTCAAACAATTTTTGAAAAGTTCATTGTGAGTCGTCTGTTTTTAGCTTGTTACTCTATAATGCATACGATATTGTTATATTTGTACTTCAAATGTGTCTATATAACTACCTGGTAACAAATCTGAGGTTTTACAAACAAATCTGCGGGAATATTCCACACAACAAGGGACTTCAAAGTTTACATAAAAAAACTCGATTTTGTGTATAAAGTATGTGTTCGCTTTCACGGAGAAGAGTTTAAGTAGAAAAAACAAACAAACAAATTTACAGGTATTTATTGTATATTTCTAATCACTTACGTGCAACTTCTTTAATAAGTGGGGTTCCGGGAATTTGATCTACATTGGAAACGTTAATCTGGAATTCCTGTTTTTTTGGTTTTTTTTTTTTTTTTTAATTTTATTTGTCCTGGCTCCGTTTAAAAACAACTTTGGATGATCTTTTTTATATCCTTAGTTGAAATCGGGATCCCAGTTTTAATAGGATGAGGCATTGCTTTAAATAAAAAATCCATTTTTGTCTCTAAATGTTTATTTCAACTTCAGTTATCTAAAACAAACTGCGTTCTCTATACGAAATTTAAGCCAAGGAAAAATATGTGGTGTTTGGAGGAAAGTATCTCTGTTAGAAATAGGGGGTATCAAGAAAGATGAATTTTTTATGGCACCGGAACTATGCTATGCAAAAGAACGGTTTCACTTGATCTGGAACATTTAGGTAATTCTGAACTAATTTTCCAACCTGTTTTCGTAGTTTTCATATACTGTTATGTTAGACATGGGAAATAGGAAGAAATAGGAAGAAAATCAATGAAAATTGCATTGAAAACAAATCCTGCACTAGGAAAAGTCAGTAAAATACAAGGTAATTGCACAATCAGTGATATATTTTGTTGAGATAGTCTTTGAAATTTTATATTTAATTTAATCTGTCATTTCTATTTATCTTGGATGAAATAGCTATTCGAAATATTTCAAGCAATGGAAACTTTAAAATGTGACAATGAACATCGAAGAATAAGTTTGAATGCCTTTCTAAAGAGATCTCCTTTGTCTGGTCTACATAAGTTTCCTAACGTTATGTTATTAATTTATTCATTGCTTTGCTCTATTTAATCTACTTCTATTATAAACACGTGCAATTCATATATGCGTACTTGTCTAGATGTATTTTGACGTATCTTATCATACGAAGTGTCTTCAGTGTGAAATTAAACCAGTGTATTACAAATGTTCAACTAAAAATCAACGTTTTTTGACAAGCAATCGTGTATACACGATAAAAATGTCTTTATCTGTAAAATAGAATAATCTAGTTGTCCTATGTCGCACAATTTGTCTCTATCATTGTGTCCAAGTTCTGCGACCAGCTATTCTGGTGAAGTGAAAGAACATACGTCTACGCGTCTGTAGCTATCTGGCTACTTTCCAGCTGTATTTTCACCTTTGGTTTCATGTTCATCATCCTCACAGCTCTGGCTGCGAAGAGAACCCCGCCTGCTGCTGCCTGAAACGTCAATAAACAGTATAAAAATCGCTTCATAATCACCCACACGTCAGAACTTCGTCAATGGCAACAGTAGACCATAAAGTATTTGCTTGCGCCAAATTAATCTGACCAATTGATTTCTGTTGTATCTGTCTGTTGTTCACTTGAAAATTAAGGATGATAAGCAGGGACACTGGAAGCTTCTATCGGGGACAACAAGAGTGATTGATATAAGTTGGAAAAAATTGTTTCGCAATTGGTGTAAAACAGATAAAGTATATTTAGAGTCTTATGACCTTCAATGGTTATTCTAAACGAGTTTTACGTCCGCTTTTACGGTCTTTCTGCAGACGAGAAAAGAAGATAAACAGAAATGGTCAAACAACACGTGTTAGTTGATAATAGGAGAAAGGGTTGGGATAGATAGTTAGTCAACTATCCATTGCTCCTGTCACCTAATTGTTCACAAGGAGCGAATTGAACGTAAATGAAAATTTTTAAAAATAATTTCTATTTATAGGTTCAACTGAAAACCATACCTCAGAATATTTTATGATTGAAAAAGTATTAAAAATAAAATCGAGGTTTGTACTATAAAAACAGAATACAAACCTCGATTTTTTACTACAATTTTAAAATGTGAAATATTCTGAAAAAAAAAACCCTTGTCAGTTGAACATTGAATTAGCCCCCCTGTGAGCTAATTCTGTATTTGAAGTCTGCTCCGTTGCTAATATTGCCCTAACTTAGCTCTCAACACGGGTACCAGTCACGTGACATTGGAGTCTAGTATACACAATCAGATATCATAACATCCTTTCTAACACTCTATTGAGCTTTTATTAGATCAAAATTAGACTACGGTTCCATTGTGTATGGATCTGCTAGATCTATATATCTCAAATTATTAGACACTGTTCATCGTCAAGGTCTCCGGCTCGCTCTCGGAGCTTTTAAGACTAAACCTACAGCAAGCCTCTATGTAGAGGCTAACGAACTATCATTATATAGCCGTCGAAATGAATTGGCTTTGCAATACACCATTCAGCTAAAGTAAACTCCTTCAAATCCTGCTTGTTTCACTCGTATTTGATTCAAAATATAAAACTTCAAAACCAACCAAAAAACATTTCATCATTCGGTATTCGAATTTCCGCTCTTTTACAAAACACAAATATTGATATTCACCAAATTCAGTCATTTGGAACGATAGAAATTCCACCCTAGCTCTTGAATTCACCTTAAGTTGACTTTTCACCTTCATGAAATGGAATGACTAAATCAGACACTAACAGTTTCACCGTTCGTTCATCCTTCTCGAAATTGCAGTTAAAATATAAAACATTTCTGCATTTATATACTGATGGTTAAAAAGACAATAATTTTGCTGCGGCCAGGCAATGAAAAAGCAGGTCATGCCGCAATTGTATGTTTTACTGGTTGATGGGCCGTTAAGAATGCAATGATAATAATAATAATGCATCCTTACTATCACATTTTTTTCTTACCTTTAGCTTTCGCCGAGCGTTAAACTCCCGGATTTTCTCCTGGGTCTCAATAAGGTGATCTCCTTTAGCAGCGATACCAGTCACCCAGGGGTGTCGGAGAGCTACGTCTACTGACAATCTCTTCCTTGGATCTTTTTGTAGTAATCGTTTAATAAAATCCTTTAAAGCAGAAAGGTACAATTATTGGCATTTATTTAAGTCAGTGTGCTCTAAAATGCCTGTATAAAACGTACGCAGGTGAAAAAACACTTTGCAATTTAAAATAATATACAGTTAAGCCAAACAAAGAATTCATGAAACAGTATCATACAAGGGTTTTGTTCTTAAAGGAAAAAACATAAATGTTAAAATTCCTACTGATGAGGAGGTACCATCGCGGCTACATTATTATTCATGTTTTCGTTCGTAAATGTATTATGCGTCGTTAAATAGAGATGAATGTTTGCAAGTTATTTTTGTTTATTTTTATGTAAATCAATATTGGAATGAAATGATGTTTATATCAATATCTATAGTCCGGTTCATGAATCGGTGGGTTTATGGTACATTCTTATAGGATTCGGTTTTTTTTTATTGAATGTGTAAAATAGCACTCAAAGTTAACAGAAACGACAAGAGAAGGTAACAGTTAAACAAAAGAGAAACATGAAAAATCAGATTAAATCTTGATGGAACATTTCCTTTTATTCAAATGAAGATTATTTTTATTCAATACCAACCTTTGCATTCTCACTAATCTTTGACCAGATTGCCGGATCAAATTTGTAATCCACTTTGAGAATTTTCTTGTAAATCTCGCTAACGTCATGAGTTGGGCTTTCAAATGGTTCATAACCGCATAGTCTAGAATACAAAATAACACTCAAAACTAAAGGTAAAAATAATCGTATCGTTTGCTAGGTATATGGTATATTTATACATTGTTCTACATATTACAGACAGTTATGAAATGATACATTGTACGTCATGTTATACATTGTATATGTCATTTTCAGGATCTGGCATGATTTTCCATTCAACTTTACATGAAAGCAATTAAAAATAAAAGAATGGTTTTGTAAATCTCGCTTTAAACGGTAAAAAGATCAGTTTATCAGCTTAAATTGTCAATTGCAAATATTGAATTAAGTACTATTTCTCTTCAATTCTAACGATTGTCTTGGATTTTGGATGATATATATTACAATTAAACTGGTTTTTTTTAAATTAAAATTTGGCTTAATCTTGCATAATATCTAACACAGATATAGAACATAAAACATGGAATGATCCAATCAGCACACTTTTACACAAGTACCATCGATAAATACAGGATGTTACACTTCCATTCATATATGTCATATATACATTTACAGTAAAACTCACTTGTGTCGAACACGCATGAGTCGAATACATCGGATGAGTCGAACGTTTCGTAAGGTCCCGATTTTTTCTCCTCTTTATCTTAGTAAATTAAATACGGATGAATCGAACACTGTTGAATCGAATACTGTGTGCAATGTATATGTTAAATTTGTTAAGAAATCAGGAGATGGGAACTATCAAATATACAGAAATGAAAGAGGGCATGTCTCTCCTGAACAGAAGTTTATTTTTGACGCATTCTTAGGAAAGGTAGGACCAATACTTACAGAATGTAAGCAATGACTCCACAGCTCCACATGTCCACGGCTGTCGGCTTATTATAGCTGATTCCAGTTAAAACCTCTGGAGCTGAAAACATGGTAAATTTTGATAATACATAGTCTCGTTTAAATCCCATCGTGGACGTCAATTTATGATAGTTAAACAATTTCACGTTTCATTATATACTAATACATACTAATGTAAATGACGATGTTTAATACTTACGGACATATCCTGGGGACTCACAAACTGAGTTACTCCTTACATCACCAGCTATAATATGGGACAGTGCAAAGTCAGCTGTAAACATGGAAAACAAAGTCGAAATATTATTGTAATTCAGACACCATGGGTAAGTTGTGATAATACTTCATACATTTAAACAATATTTCTTACATTAGGGAGCTCAACAAGTGTTGTAGGCATCTTAACACTTTCAAAGCAAAAGTTAATGTGATGCCAACACAAAATAAATTGCATCAGATGCACGCAATTGAAACCAAGTGGAAAAGTCTCACCAAGTAGTTACATTTTTGTATAATTTGTTTATAAATGTATGAAAATGAAATGTTTGGTCTTTAACTCTGGACGTTAAATATTTCCATGTTTTTGCATATAATCTATTTGTTGTACAAACCTAATTTTAATTTTGAATGGTCTTTGTTGCTTTCATACAGAAGATTTTCAGGCTGCAAATAACATGAAAAATAATTACATCACGACAATTACTATTAATAAGTTAATACATCACTAAGGGGTGGAGAAGAAATGTTAAAAGTCCAAGCCTATCGACTCCTTTATGTACTACTGGAATGTAGAGCTACCTGGCCACAGATGATTTTTTCATGAGCGGATTTGATTTCAAGAAGCTAGACAGGCACTATTGACCAAGATGTGTGGATATTTCAGGTTTGAACCAAACTGCAGTTAGACATGTATCCTAAAAGCCAGGGAGGACGCTTTATCTCCTTCTGCTGTCAATAGAGTCTGATGCATTACGAAACAGTACATAACAATAAGCTACAACCACATTTGTATTGTATTACAAAGTAAACAGAAATCAAAGCGAAACAGATTGTATTGATACATTTGCATTTTCTATCATTATGGGCATATACCTACCTTGACATCATAATGGACAACCCCATTGTCGTGCATGCACTGTAATGGTGAAACAATAAACGTTATTTCTTGAATGAGTCAGTACAACGGATAATCATTTATATTCTTTAACATTGAAACAAATACTAGTTGTGTTTTGAAATTTAGTTCTACCTATTTCAACTTTCCTCATTAGCCTCAAAGCTAGGTTTCAACAATTACGACCAGTAGCGTCACTGCCGAGTCCTAGAAGGACGGAATAGCTGAAAGATGCAATTTCTTCTAGTATTTGGCAATACCAAATCAAATTAAAAATTTGAATTCTTTGATTGCTTTTTAACAATATGTATTGGCGTAATTTTACATCAGTTGCACCCTATCTTTCGAAATCATGCATGGATGATTTTCATGATCTTTTGCTTAAACTTAAGAAATTGTACGACGTAGCTTACCTTTAGCGCTCTCAGTATATCTCTCATTGCTTCTGCTGCATCCTTTTCCGAGAAAGATCCACGAGCGACGATTCTGATTTTAAGGATATTTTTTCAAGTAAGGTACACGCTTTACTAATGAGCTCAACATAATCAAGGTATGACATTGTCGATTCTTTGTTATTTTTCAACGTACAAATACATGTATTTATAAACTAACCCTTTATGAATCACATATCAGTGTCTTCATACTCCAGCTTCCTTATTTGTAGTTATTATCAAAACATATTTGTTTACAGTTTCGGAAAGTATATCTATTCTTATTCTTTGTATTAATTGTTATACTCACCTGTCAAACAATTCTCCCCCGGTGACCAGCTCCATCATCAGGTAAATGTGAGTCTTTGTCTCATATAGTTCTGTTATGTGTATCTAGAGAAGAATGATGATATAAATATATAATGTACATTAATCTATGTCGTTAACAGCACAATGAAAGCCACTTCTTTATTTTCTTAAATTATTTAGACATTAATAGAAGTAATATGATGTTGAACCAGCAGAACATTTGTATTTATTCTCTTACAATATCGTTATGTGTTGGTTTACTTTCAACATTGTTTTCTGCTTATGGAAGTTACTTACAACACTGGGATAATACCATTACTTGGATAATACTGCTGCTTTTTATGAATGTTAATTGATTACTACATCACAATGACATAGCCTGTTGGATAATTACTTACCACATTGGGATGTCGGATATGCAGAAAAATTCCAACCTCGGCTTGTACTACTTTCCGATCCTTCTGTAAGTAACATCACAACCATTCATTTTACTAATTTCTTATGAAAATGTCTAATTTCATATAATATTTGTTAAAGTCACAAGAAAGAATTCAGAGACATATAACAACAATTTCGATTAAACCAGCTACATTGTAGATGCGATTGGATATCTATTTATATCAGATATGTATTATATTTATTTATTACATATATACATTCCTGGTTAACTGGTACTCTTTGTTAATTTCAGTCTTTGCTGGTTCGATAGAATAAGACACCGAATATCAGTTTTCACTCAGAAAATTAAACATTCTTATAGATACGTTAGTTACTGCGGATATCTACAATTCTCATGTAAAGTAGATTTCCTTAACTCCTTACAGAAATGGCAACAATGTGAATTATAAAGGTTGCGATGGGCGAAGATTAGAGATAACTCGAAACTCAGACGATAATGATATTGAAGACACGATTTATAAGCCTTTCAAGCAATTTTTATGACAATTTTCTTTCTTCTTTTAATATAATGAATCGCATTTTGAGTTATTTGTTTTGGAGTTACAGAAACACACTATATCTAACAAACCGATACTTTATCTGCGTAACATGATTATTGACATTTTATAACCCTTTTTGTTTAAATGTTACGTCGTTACCAGGTCACAATGTTATATCTATCTATCATAGTTCGGAGGACAAGTATTTAAGGGTATGTATATTATACAGAAATAATTTGAAATGAACTCTTATTTATGTGTCATTGTTATTGGCTATTGTGAATACACATATAAAGCACCCATTCAACTTATCCTGATTAAAATGTTATCTAGCACGATCATCACTCATATACAATGTAAGCCGTTCGACTCCAGGTATGTAGGGACCTTGATTCGGGGATAGGTTTACTTTGGAAGTTACTGTTTGATTTAAAGGAAAGCTTTATTGTTCTAACGGCAACTGAAGATCTTAAGATTAATATCTTAAGTAGGTCTTTAATGCTAAAAAAAATAACTTATTTTCTGAGACGATGACTAAAACTTAATGAATTTTAACGATAATTTGAAGTGGATATAAAGGCAGAGCTGTAAAATGATCAAATCGTCGTTTCAATTGATATAAAAATATTCTAATTAAGTGATATATATAGATATTTTGTGTAACTTGGATTTTCTACACGAGTGATTTCTAACCTTTCTGTAGGAGATATGGTAACGTCTAGTTACACCCAAAGTACTCCTTTTGTGGGTATGACAGTATTATTTGTATCGGTAAATTGTTACTTTGTTAATGACCCTTTTTATTTAAACGGGTAACAATACAGTGAAAGATTATGTATTTTGTGACACACATTTCTACATACACTGGGTCTGATACATAGTTTAGTATATTGGTGTCTATATAGTACAATTGTTACTATAGTGATTTACTAAAATCATTATATCTATAATACCTGTTTTGGAATTTTCTTGACTGCGTACGCCTTCTTAGTCCCATTGTGTTCACATCGATAGACCACTGCACTTGTTCCCCTAGGGAAGTAAATAGATAAAGTCGAAACTTTCTAATTAAATGACATAACTAGTAAATGATATTTTTCTATCATATTATATTTGTATCTTTTATTGCTTAGTGTAAATAAAGAGTTTACGTCAGAAGTGGCTTAATCTATAACTGTACATGAATAAGTGGTAGTTGAACTTCAATGTGAATATATATACTAATATAATGACATGAACGTATAAAAACTTCAATCGAACGTAATGATACACTGTTTAATATGAAACAATGGTCAATATCATCTCTCGTTGTTTACAATTGTGACCATCGCTATTAACAGACAACAAACACATCTTTAAGTATTACAGACACTTAAATGAATCATGGTTGTTCTAAAAGATATAATATTCATGTCCTTGTTTTAGTGATCGTACCTTCCTAATTCTGTGCCGAGTGTGTAGAGATCTTCAAACTTGGTGTCCCGAATGCTTTCTGCAATCCAGTACTCCTCGTGATGTGTTTCTTCCTCCATGTTGTCAGATGTGACCAATATATTTGTTGTCTTGATTCTCGGTCTGATTCTGTTGTCATCACGTGATAAAAATATTTCCTAAGTTATTGCAGTAAAGAAGTGTTCCAATTTTTTAAAAAGACATAAATATATAAATATTTTTACTTAGATAACAAATTACAAAATGTTTGTTTGTTCTTCGGGTTTGATGTCCTATAACTATAAAATGTTCCAGTCTCGTTTATATCTCGGTGATTAACGCGGTTATCAAATGAGATATAATTCATTACATGCCAAAACAAATGAAACAACGGCATAACTACATACAATTTACTCTAAATAATGATATATAGCTTGTAGAATGAAAGTTTGATAAAATATATACAGTACCTTCTCTTTAACACATAATTGTTGGTGCGAAAGAGTTCCTGTTAGTCAGACACCGCACGTATTCGCCATTAAATCACGGTCATTCATACAATATTTATGAGATCCACGATAGATCTAATTAACCCACACAAGTAGTAAGCATAAGGTATACGCTGTTTAACGATTGGATCCGATTGACGCATACAGGCACAGTATACGGGTTTTGTGCACTGTGAAGACGAACGGATAAGATTGTTTAAGTTTTATACATAATTAGTTATCTCTATATATAGTTCCGAGTCTTTGTTTCAAGTTTAAATACCAACGTCATATGATCAGAGGTCAGAAAATAGGTGTCATAAAAGGGCGACATTAGAATAACACCATGAACTGAAGGACTGTGGTACGCTTGATAGAGAAGTTATTTATTATAAAACACAAAACAAAGATATGTCAAAGTCCTATATTGTAAGTTTGTTTTGGGTACAAAATGTTATGGATTTCAACCGTTATCTTTTTATATTGTAAATATATATTACTACACGTTTTCAGTTTGTCATGTTCTTTTGGTATTTGTTTGGCATGAAGTAAATATTCCTATGAAATAGTTTTCCATATAACACTTGTCATGGAGTCTGGTTTAGGAAATGAAATAATGTCACATATTTATGAAATGCATTGTGACAACTATGAATCTTGTGTCGAGATGGCTTAAGTTTGACGCGGACGTGATAAAAGGGATTTTAAATTCGTCTGCTATCTCCACAAAGGCTTGCTGAAATTTTAAATACTTAGACTGGTTTCATAAATTATATATCAAATCGTTATAAATCCTATGTTTTCAGTTTGTGTGTAACATCAATTTATCCTGAAACATTAATTTATTTCTTCATTAAATTCTTCAATGTGGATGGCCTTAAAACGAATTGTAAACAATATCATTTACTAAACCAATGGTTGAAACTAACCAATACCTTAAACATGAATAACATACCACTATCTAACACTATCTATGTAAGGTACCAATACACGTTTTTTGGGGGACGGAATTGAGTGTTATATTTCTACAGCAATGAACCACCAAGTAAAAACATGAGGAAAGCAATTGAAATTAAAAAGGGCTAACATTGGTACAATCATGATGAAATTGGATATTGGGGCATTACATTGAAAAAAGAAGAAAAAATCAATCTGGTGTGAGATTTTAGATGTTGCCATTTACCCGCAGCAAAATTATGATGCTTGGGTACCAGGTAATGTTTTGGAAAAGTTCCGAGTTAAATTTTGCTGTCATGTATTTAATGTTCAATTTTTGACAATAGGTGAAATTTATTTCAGTGTTGGTTGGTGATATATTCAGTAAACAAAACATTACTATTTTCAGCGAAATAGTTTATTAGGAAATGTAAAGCATACATACCAGTTCACAAAAGAATGGAGTATCAATGCTCTTTGGATATATCTTAATTTGAGCAGATAAAAATCACAATTTCAATATAATTATTATTTTTTCAAGTTTTATGGAACTCCAAAGAGCATTTGATCAAAACAGGTCACAAAGGTCTTGTCTAATCAAAATAGTGGTCTTATCCATCGCTCATTAAGTAGATATTTCTTTACCTTCCATGTTTCAGTAAAGGAAAAGCATTATCCAGATGCTGGCAGGTGAACTAATGTAATAGATCTATTGTTTGTGGTCAGAGTTTTTATTACTCTCATACACTTTATTTTGCACACACGATTTTCTTCGAAATGTTAACAAGTACAACTGAATTTATCTGGTATTTTATGGCCTATGCATATTACAAGGAGGTCGAAATCTAAGATGGCCGCCATGGTGTCGTTGGTCAAAATCTGAAATGGGATTAAGCTCAAACGTTCCTAAAATGATCGTGAGATAGTCCTGACCAGGTGTTTTTTTTTATCCAAATAGCAAAATCCGAAATTACCTTTTCAAACTTCCGACATGGCAGCTACAGTCGCCATTATGTTACATAATTTTTAGATATTGCATTTGAAGTCATTCGAATACTTACTAAAAGTATAACCGTAAGTGTGGTGCGGCTTGTAACGTTTTAAGTTCGTCCGTGTACCGATGCCATAAAATTTTTTAAAAACTTTCAAGCCGAAAGCTGACAAGTAGATTTAACATGAAGCTTACAACATACACTCAACAGTTACACAAGTACAGCTCCACAGTTTTTTTATGCTATGGGAAAGTTTAGATATCCATATCTGAGCTTGGAGCCAAATCTACAATAATGGCCGCCATACAATACATGATTCACAAGAGGAATACAATATCGTAGCAGGAATATCAGTGATAAATACTGTACAAATATGCTTAAAGGTAAAATAAGATTTTGAAACAACTTAAGATTGGCAAATCACGTGCTTTTAAGTATGATATATAAGCTACGGTGTTTCTAATCCAACATTTTCACCTTGCACCACTCGTCATTTTTTATCAAAAATTTTCAAACTATATTTTTACGAGTATGCTGAGAATTGGTTTGAGATATGCTACAACTTAAACACCATTTACAGGTTTTCCGAAAAATGTAGAAATACACTGACTTTGTTTAGTGCAATGGAAAGCCGTACACCTCCAACTCACACATGTTCAGTACCCTTTCATCCCTAGAGATTCTCACGAACTGGCCTTTCACTGGTGTCTCGCAGTAAAACGTTTTCATCTGGTTCATAAAGCCCGGTCCAGGATAGTACATACACAAATGTCGTGGTCCATTCGCTGTTTCAGCTACAGTGATGTTCAGACTAATAATAAGTTATAATGGAAGTAAAATTTTGCAGTTACGTTTTTTTATTTTTATATAGTGTTAATTATTAGTTTCATTGCTCTTTCCAAGCAGTGACGTCACGATAAAATATTTTTGATACAAAAGCACGCAACCTTAATAGCAAAATAATTTCGTTTTTCTATAACTTGTTACAGATATAATTTTTCAATTGGCTGCAAGAGCAAAAATGTATTGATAATTCTCGTCTTCGTCAAATAGATTGCAAATAAACTAATGGATTTATTTAGTGAATTAGACATTCGGATTTTTTTTTAAAACAAAAAAACATTAATCTTGCAATATTCTAATTACTAATAATAAGTTCAATAGTTCTGTGACTAATAAAGATTATATTATCAGACGGCAGACTCTTGCACATCATCTTCTTATTTCGATCTTTTCCTACAACGAATGATTTCAATTTCCCCATAGTGAATTATCCATTTCTTGATAGCAATTTCTCTGCATCTCCAATTTATAGTATTTACATGTCACAAATGATTCGATATTCAGAGGCCTGTTCCCATTATAACGATTTTTTTGCAAGAAATCTGACAAATTCGTAGCACAAGGGTTCAAAAGATGCAGTTTGATGAAAACTATGAGGAATTTCTTTGTGTGATATAAAGCTGGAAGTATTTGATGCATGTTGTATACCTTTTTCTCATTTGAAAAAGTGTCATTACTTACTTGGATTGACCAAGACTTACATTGCGGGTTTCATTGATGAAGTAGAAGACGCTTATTATTCTAGAACACCTGGTCGTATTTTTCCTGGTACTTTTTCCGTGTAAATCTTTCTGTTGTTCGTATTTTGCCCTAGTTTTATGCAATTTGTGTTTGAATTATGATTATGTTACTATATTGGTATTTTCCTGTTGTTTTTGCACCCGATATATTGTTGTATCACCTTGCATATTAAGTGAACTCATGTATGACAAGTCATCAATATCACGCGTATATCTGGATCGTGTGAAAGTGATTACAAAATCGGTAGATTGCACGTGTACTCCCCGGAAGTACACGTAACGTTCCTTGTTCTCCATTAGAACATAGTATACATTTTTGACAGGGTTTGAAGTCAACATGTGTTATGTTCAACCAGACTACTAAACTGTTGCCTGAGGACGAATGACGAAGTAAACATAACACATGTTGACCGAAACACCAGTCGACAAATGTTTTGTTATATTTTACCGCTGATATCTAAGAAAACGAATCATTAAAGATAAATGTATTCAGCAAATCTGTCCATGATGAGAAACGACATGTAAACATCGGGCCGGAAGCTGATGACGTCTTCAATGGGAAGAGGGAAGGAGCATTACTGCTTAATCGCGGAAATCGTTGGAACCAGCTACAATGCTGCTCAAAGAGGATACGACTTTTTTCAGCTTAAAATGAATCATAGAACCGTATCTAATATATACAGTATACGGCGGTAAGGTGCACAACCTTAAACAATAAACATATCTCATGTGCATTAATCAACATGTAATTGATTTTATCGTTGTATATGATTTGTTATTTAATATTGAACATACCATAAAGCTGGCATGCATGAATGAATGCCCATTTCTCCATTCTCAGACTATCTATGAGAAAGAAACAAAATCTAGAAGCACTCGTTTTATGCTACTCGTCGTATTTTTAGAATTTCCGTGTAAATGGTTTTAGTCAAATATTGTCTTACTCCAAAATTGATTCTGAGTTCTGATTCATTTCTCTTTCTCTCTAATTTTTAATCTATGGATTCAGAGGTAATGTGTTTACATTTTAAAATGTTGTTACACTCCTGCCTTAAAATACTACATGAAATTAAACACTTTTCCTACCACAACACTGATCTCTGGATAAGTAGGAGACATACAACACCAGATATAGTGCATCCAGGTCGACCTGCCAGAAGGGGAAATTATCTGCATCAGAACGTGTATGGGAGCAGGACTTGCGACTAATGTCAGGGTCATTTTGGTAAGGATGCCGCACTGCGTCCAGTGCAAGAGCTGGACCATAGTATTTCTCCAATCCATAATTTGACGACTGGATTGCCGTTTTCCCTGCAGCTACATTTCCCATTGGTCCTGTGTTCAAATATTGAAAATTGACTGAACAAAACGTAAATAGAAAAGTGAAGTTCGTTAAAGATATTCGCGACTATTGGATAATTGATAACCATAACCTTATACAATCGACGTATTATCTAGTTACTTATAGCCGCCCAAGTTTTCTTCTTTGTGTGCTTGTTCCCTGTAATATTCTCATTATGACGTCAAAACGATTCAATATGGATTGTAAGAGTTTTCAGCTAATAAACTTCAAAGACAATAGTGTCCAACCACTACACTTCATTGACAATAGTGTCCAGTCATTGCACATCATTGACAGGAGTGTCCAGCCATTCCACAGCATCAACAAAAGTGCCCAATCTTTGCAATACATTTACAAACTTTCCCAGCCACATCATTGACAATAGTGCCCAGACACTACACTACATTGACAATAGTGCCAAGCCAATAAACTTCATTTACAAGAGTGTCCATCCACTATACTTCATCCACAAGAGTTTAGCCACTACATTTCATTAACAATATTGTCCAGCCACTCAATTACATTGACATTAGTTTTTTTGCCAATACACTTCATTGCCAATTTTGTCCAGTCACTACACTTCATTGACATTAGTCTCCAGTCAGTCACTAAACTTCATTGACAATAGTGTCCAGCCACTCCACACCGAGCCCCCCCCCCCCTCTTTTTATCACGAAAAGCAACCTCTATAAATTTGGCTTTATCCTGTTACACATATTCTGACGCCTGTAAAAGTAGTTCAGCAACATTTCGATATTTTGCTTTTAATCTACATTCTAAAATCGTTCAAAACGTAATTATCAGAAAAAAAATAATGCTAGATTTTTTTCTCAGAGGGGTACATAGGACAACATACCTGCAATTTCGTAGTAACTAGTTCCATAAATTTGTCTTATTTCTATCATATCGTGAATCTTTTCGGGATACCCATGGCAGGTGCCACTATTGAAGAAGATGGAGACACAGTCCTCATCCTTTAGACATGCAAACAAACACCAACGGACTGAAGTATTTGTGATTGTCCATGTAATGCCGTAAATTGGTACCATTTGGCTGTACCGGTCGTCTCTACGATAAAAGGTGTTTCTGATTTCTGAAAAAAAAACGCCAGAAAGACAGTGAAATTAAGTTCATCTAAGGCTCAATAATGGGGTTTTATGGTCGCCATAGTGATCTCATTGACAAATATTCTATTTCTTTGTGTGATATAAAGTTTGGCTGTTAGTTCCGTTGTTGTATACCCTGTTCTCATTTGAGAATGTGACATTACTTATGTGGATTTACCAAGGTTTACATGTCAGGTGTCGTCGATGAAGCAGAAGACGCTTAATCTTCCGGAATACATGGTCTTATTCTCGTTTTATGGAATTTAAGTTTGAATTAAGATTATGTTGCCATATTGGTATTTTTTTAACGATTCCAAATTAAGAGGTTGTAAATTAGAAAGATTTTTTCAATTATAATTTTAATCTTTCGTTACAAATACTGTGTCGAGTCAAACTGTTTTTCAAAAAATATCCGAACATGATGTTTTGATTTCTTTTGTAAGGCTTCTGAAAAACACGAAATGTATTTAATTTTTAGTCAGGTGACAAAATACATCCTAAAGAAAAGATACCATTTGAAATTAATGTAAATGTGGCTTCATCCTATTTGTTTTGATTAACTCTAAATTTTGATTGTCAACAACTACGGCCATTTAAATGCGCAGCGAATACATATGTAATGAGTATTTGTTGGTGGATGGCCGTTGTATGTACCTGTTGCCAAGCAAACAAACATCGATATTTCACAAACACCTTATCATTGTTTTTTCTATCTTTATATCGTTTAGGTTCCCAGTTTGAAGGTTCTTCTATAAGTATATATACATTATATAATACATTTATCCTCTGTTTGTTGTTTCATTCTCATTATACACCCCGCAGCCTTTGCCATACTTTACATATTTCATTAGTAAAGTTTGTGAGGTACAGGCTTTCGAAAAATTTTTTTACATTCTATCTTATGCCGTGGAGATATTTCGACTTATCGGAATTTCGACTCAAACAAAGTGTATAAATAAGGTTTCCTGATGTTGTGTTAAGACTGAACGAAGTAGGACTACGATAGCAATTAAACAGCATAGTTTAATCTGTTATTTGAAATGGCAGTAAATATACAAATTAATTTATTTTTACTCTCTCCTTTTATTGTTTATACATCTTAACGACAAAACGTGTAATAACAACTCAATAATATACATTTGTACTCGCATCATTCCGTCCAGCACACTTGTACAATACCCTTATATATTTTACGGAATGACAATATCACGAAATTAAAATTTGCTTTTGATACACTACAAGAAACGATGTATGAAGCTACATATCATAACAATTTGACTTTATTATGAACAACATATGAAAAACGCGTCACTAGAAAGTTTTTACCTGTTACAGAAAACATTGTACAAGCACTAGACTTAACAAACCACGCACAGATATAGCCTTCTATCAATGAGAAATATTTTCAGCACTTCATTGTCCAAACACTAGATCTGACAAAGTGCCCGGTAAAAGTCCTTAAGAGAACAAGCTCACGATTAATTTCTCTCAGAAATGAGGGTATTAGATTTCGTCAAAAAGTTCGTACTGGGTTGACTGTTTCGTTTTTTGATCCTTTCTGAAGATACACGCACCCACGCTAAATGGCTACATGTTTTGTGTAAACGCGTTTTTTTTTAAACGGACAGGTAGGTCACTGCCACAGGATGGCGACACTAATTAAGAAGCAAACCTATTAGATTAGTCGCCAGAAACCAAGAGTGGTGTGTCCCATGGACCGATACACCGTAATTAGCCATGTGTCACGCACCGGTGACTTTCTACTCTGTGACTTGAACAATTTCGTCACAAGACGTGCCGAGGTTTTGACAAAAATTGTTTTCAAAACAACGTATGACTTTTCCCTTGCTATAAAATTAAAATAAAGACTGAAAACTCGCTTCGAGTCAACCGAAATTTCGACTCAAAGAAATTCGATTCATCCGAACTAAAATTACAAAGATATTGAAGGAAAGAAATCGGGACTTGAAAATTATTTCGACTCAAACGGAATTTCGACTCAAGCGATTTCGAGACAACGAGTTTCAACTGTATTGATCGATGATTACACTGTCGATTACACTATACGATACAATCCAGATAGTAATCCACTAAACGAAATGGCTGTAGCATAATGATGAAAACAGTAAGGTAACATTCTGTGAGGGTAAGCCATCAAAACCACATTGACTATAGTGAAAACTTATTCCTTTTAATTACTTTTTCATCCTAAGATCGATTTTAATATCTTTCAGCAACCATCTGAATTTTCAAAGCATCTCCACTAAAACAGATAGATGTCGACTATATTACACGTTTCATGAAGATCTCCCATATCTATCATGGGGTGTGTTGATATACTTACTGGAAAACCCTACTAAATTGGCACATTTAAAAAATAGAAAGACACAGATTAAGTTACATTTTATTTTGAAATACTATCGTTTGGTTGTAGTGAATATGTTCCTGTGGAAAAACTGTTAAGGAATTGAATGCATGTACATGGTAAGACCTTTCATTAACTTCATTCTATCATCTTCATCAGATGACCAGTTAAAGGTAAGTACACTAAAATGTAAACTAAACGGATGTAATAAACAGGTCGTTTCGTATTTTAGAACTCATAAACGATGACAAATGTAACGGGTATCTGTCTATTCCACTTCATCAACAATCTCGAAAAAATATTCCATCGTTATTGTAATGCACTTTGCGCAATTTAACGCCAGGCTTTTAAAACAACGTGACGTTGTTGGAATGTATAAATTGCTACAATGTATGTTCATTCTTATGTTGCGATGCTGGTAGGGATAGTGTCTTCCGCCCCCTGTTAGTAAGAACGGTTTGATCTGGAAACTACTCTTTTCTCTTCGCCAACTGTTAATAGCCATTTTATCCTTAGCGCTGCATCACTTTTGTCCTTTAGTTCAACGTTCATTCCCGTGAGGAAATATTTGGATTTAAGTTCATGACAAAGACATATTCGAGTTTCTTTATAAATTGTAGACCCAACTGCCTGCTCAACGCTTTTAATTAAAGAAGTGGCTTGCCCATTTTCAATATTGGTACCCGCGGTCAGTACAGCAGCAACAGAAGAATTTTCACGAACAAATGACAACTTCCTAAAAACTCCTTTCGCACTAACATGACCGTCTATAAATATCAGTATTGATGGGACATGAAAAAAAACCGTTAAGATTACACTGATGAATAGTGGATTGATGCACAGGACTACATTTTGGAGGATGAAAGAATCTGACATCCACACATGCAGAGTGAGGGGTGACAATGGGATCAAACGCATGTAAGGGTTTGAGGAGTGGAAAGCAATGAGATGTTTTGTGAGGTTCAAAGAGAATGGGGGAGAGAGAGGCGTAGAGTGTGAAGAAATTAAGAATCAAGTTTGGAAAAAGATAAGACATTTGAGTGTTTGGAATAAAGATATATTGATATAATGAGATGAACCTGGGAGATACAGGACCGCCAGAATTTATGACGAAGTGTATAAGTTCATTATTCTGTGCTGTAAAACCATGAACAATGTAATTAAAAAAACAAAACGGAATAATTTTTTTTTACTTACCTGATCCGAAACAATCCATGAAAATAAGAAGAAATCCGCTGATTTGTACAATGGTTTTGACGTGTTGTCGCTTCATTCTATCAGGTAATGGTTCCACATGGAATACCTCTTCGGACGGAAAGTTATATCTTTATAAGCGAATGATAAGGAATTCTTGTTTCGTTGTTTCTATTTTCTGATAAACTTTGGCTACTGACAGTTATCTCAACACAACACTTGATCTTTGTGTCAATATTAACATTTCATAAATATACCCTTGATACATAGATAGGTAACATTTTTTTTTTTACATATTGTGTATCGATCTCTCAACGGGAGATGCTATCTTTGATGAAGCGAAAATGTCTCCTTTGGTCCCGTTTTCTCTAAATTATTATGTAGTCAATTAATAATTGAATAAAGCCATGTTGAGGTTTATGGGGTATAAACACTAACTGCCTTTTCATGTATAATGACAATGTCGTACGCCAACTGGAAAGTTCGTTAGAAATAACCTCTGATTATCTTGGTAGATATACAGACTTCAAGGTCAGTGGAAATATAAATAGGATTTATTACACCGTGTCTTAAATATTTTAATGTAACGACACATTAAGAAAAATATGCTCAAACGGAAAAAAACAAACAAGACAAGAACAACGAAACAATGTTAGTTTAAGATGTTAAGCGAGTTCCAATTGGACGTTATACGGTGTTGTCACTGTCCAAGCTTGCCTCACACCAACAGTAAACATTAAAAAATATCTGGATCGTTTTCTGATTTTAGTATATGTGTTAGGACATTCGCATGAATGCTACAATAAATGTATGGATGAGTGACGACTACCACAAAAATAACGAGTCTTCGATTCAACTAAAACGCCTTGATGTGGTTTAATGTGATTTTAAGCTATTTTAATTGGAAATTTGTTTCCCTAAAGTTACAGGAGTTGCGTCCCTTTAAACCAACCCGATCATTGGTGTTGTAAGGATCATATATGTATGTAGGATAGAGATATTCCATCCCGGAGTCACAAAATATGATGAAACCCGATACTCTATAGATACACGCATAATGAATAAGTCTTTCTCTCTCATATCAACTCTAAACGTTTGCAAAATATATATATAATAATAATAAATTATTTTCTTATTTTTTAAAAATCCATCCCCAAATTTTCATAAAAACAAACTTGATATTCCTAACGATCATCTAGCCATATTTTGCGAATTCTTATCCTTTTCTCGGTATTTGCAGAATAACTATCATTCGCTGATGGAAAATTATTCTGTATGTGATTACGCTGTATATATAGTAAAGATAGGTTAAGATCCATGACAAAACAATTGTTTCGTTATGTACGCCAAAAGTTTTCTACCAGAAACAGATTTATATGGATTGTTATTCTCATCTTTTAATCTTCACTGAATTTTGGAACTTTGTCGATATGTTGATGTCAGATGTCAGCTTACAGATCAATGTAAACCAGCAATGCTGTAAGAGTTGTGCCCCTTGAACGCAGATTACCTTGCAAGCGAAAACCTATGTAAGATACAATTTTCTTATATGGCAATTTACATGGGCAAACTCTATCCAACATGATGAGATATTTATTTATTTAAGAAATACGGACACCTCCACTGCCGCTACCGCACTTTTAGCCTTAGATGAGTGTTGTGAGAAAGTATGTGTTTTAGCCGAGTCATACCTCCCTGCTTAACGTTTAGCATAATAATCGTGTTAAGACTGTCCTTCCGTTGTTAGTGTGATGTGATGGGACGTCATGTTGGGTACCTTCGGCAGTATACTTCAGTGTACTAACACTATAAAATCGGTACATGCACACGCCACGCCGACGTTTAATTATCTAAGTATTTAAATATCAAACCAAACCAATGATCGCCGATATCTTTACAGCTATAAGAGGTAAATTTGTGACATCACCAACTCCATGATATTACAGAGGAGTGCATCAGGAATCCTAAGAGGATCTAATGTATAAGGAAGAGAACATATCCTTTGTTTCTTGATAAAATGCAGTTCTAAACATTTGTATTTGTCACAAAGTTTCCATCTCATGAGGTGAAATAGAAATGCCACCAAAAAGTGATTATTCTATTCATGACGTGTTTTTCACACCTTCCTCTGATGCCATGTTGAATTTGCCACTCTGGCGATACCTGCAATGTGTCCTCTCATATCATTACACCACCGGATGCGAAGTTTTTGCATCAAAGTCACAGATCATCATATAATTTAACAAGCGAAATTACTACTAACTCATAGGGCTATTTCTATCCGAGTTGTCGTTCCTGAAGTTCACAATGCATTCTGTGATAATTGATATTCTCGCTGCAAATAAGGTGGTTTGATAGGTAAAATATCAGTGAAAAAATCAAAACTTGATATTTGTACTAACATCACTTATATTTTCACCGTAATATCATATATTACACTGCTAAAAATGTAACAGATAAAATATCTTTTATTTATCATGACAGAGTTGAACCTTCTTAATGTAAACAATGCCTCTCAGATTTCTCTACCTGGGCTCCCTGTAAACCTGACTGTCAGCTTTTCTTTGTTTCGTTCAGTTCAGTTTACATATCTTTGTATCAGCTCAAGTCATATGCCGGCAGATTTCAGTAACTGACACTAGACATTAGAGTGTTAAGAAAGGATATGAAGGAGACACTTGATAATTTTCGCATAAAATCACCTATCTTCTATTGCTGCTAAGACGTCTCCAGCTGTACAGTGGCATTTTAATCGACTCTTTCGCTCAAGGCAAATAAAATCAACTTTTAATGAGATGTAAAACGTGTTTTTCTCTGATTGTTCATGGAGACTGTGTGTTTTGTCAATTTTTTTCGTTTATTATACACACAAACTATTGAAAATAACAACTAAAATACTTTTTAATTTTCTCTGTTTGACAAGCTGCTTTATTCATTCTTCAACAAATTTCAACACGAAAGATAAACAATGAGAACAAGTGCATCACCACAGAATGAAGTCAAAACTGAAATTTCATATATATTTGATTTTTGAAACTTTCAGTTAAATACAACGATCAATTACTCTTCATCATATTTCTGTCCTTCTGTACAAATATCTTCACCTGTGTTTATTGTCCTATGTTCAGTCTCTCACTCTGCACACATCCGAAAACAACCAACAACAAATCACATAAATCCACGTTCAATATATCGTTATCTACAAATCAACCTCATTATACCATTCAGACGTTTTCGTTTAAGTACCATAATTATGGGTAACTACATGAAATGGAATAAAATAAACTTCGAAATAAAACCAATGTAGATTATATTATCCATTGATGTATTTATATGTATACACTGACGTGTACGTCCTTCATAGTTTGTTGCTGAATTTCTCGTATAGGCTCTGTAAGATTGTATGAACTCTCCAGTATTTTAAATGATGTCAATGTTTGTAAAACTCCTGTTCAGCATCTCAAATTACGTTTAAAACTACTTTTTTTTTTACATACGAAAGAGTCTTACAATGTTATAAATAAAACACAACTTTACACAATAAAGCTGGATTTTTTCCGTACATCAAATGGCGTCTTCCGCAACTTTGATTTGAAAATATTTGTAATCAAAAACAATCATTTAATCTTTGTGAACTGTCATGAGATAGCTAATCATTATATAGTTAACGAAGTAGACATCTACATTAATTAAATCGATACCTATATTTATCTGAAATGATATTGTTTACATATCAACATGTTAAGCATATCCACTTTTGTTTTCCAGTATGAAGTCTTAGAAACTACCATTTTGCGTTATGTTTTGAATCAGAAGTGTTGAATATTATCAACTGAACATTTGGAGATCGCCATGCAAATTTGTAAAGTCACAGATGATTTTCATTTTCTGCTTCATATAAAATAGGGTAATACAATATTACTTTTATTGCACAGAACAGACATTATCGCCTATCGATGATTCCAATATCAATTGCTCGTCATTGGAATTTTACGATCAATACAGATCTCTCTCAAACGTTTCTGTCAAATCTGTGATTCCGTTTATATTAGATTGAAACAGTCATTAACTACAAGTGGTAATATGTAAATATATATGAATTTAAATAGGCATTAAAGATGAATGAAATTGGCATGAAGTATTGCACAAAACCCGTTCCATTTTCACCATTTGGCAGTGTAAACACATGGCATTTTTAAATAAAACATTACACATATAACACATGCTAGACCCTCACAATGGTTCACCGCGACGCTGCCACGAACCTATTCTTAACAGACAAAAATAACAAAATGTGCACTGGTTGGTACATCATAAACAAAGAATTGATCAGAAAGATTAAATGTCTAGTACCATCCATTTAGCATACAATAACAATGAAAGTAGTCACGCTAATGCCCACAGACTACCGGAATCAGTAAATATTGAGCGATTAATGACGGGGTCAACAGTGACGTCATATAACAATGACTTGTCATATAAGATAATATAAATAGAGAATACATGATCAATGTCTTAAAATATCAGCTGAATTTTGGCGAGAGTGGAGATAGACAAAAAGTGCCAAGCATCTGGCGAGCCATTAAGTCTTACTGTCCCAGGCCAAAATGAATTATTTATTAAGACACTGAACATGTATTCTATTTATCCTGCAACTTTGATTGAAAATCAGACAATCAAAACTTCAGCAGTTATATCGTTCAATCTTTGTTTACCTGTCGTTGACGTTAAGCTGAATTTTGCCTGATGACGTACGCCAAAATAATTGCTCTGCGCTGAAATGAACTTCACCGGATAAGACAGAGATTTTTTCAATTTTCGTAAATAAACTTATTCATTACAGCATATAAAATCATTGATTCCAACAGTTATTCATACTATTAAACGTAATTCTAAAGCAAATTCAGAAAGTAATTCTGTCGAATTCTGTCGAATTAATGCACGTTGTTTTCAGTCACTGCCGAATACAGCAAAATATATGTTGCAGGTGTACCCTGACAATGACAGTGCCAGTTGCAGGATGAATATCATCATACTGTTAAGGTTGTTCCCCAATGACTTCGATCCAAAATCATTTTTAACGATTTCGTTACTTTCTTGAATATATCAAAGGAAATTAAGTTCGAAAATAACATTTATATCATATTAATGACACACTTGTGCATGAAGCACGTCACAATAACGTGTTCAATTAATGACGTCACCAGGCAGTGACGGTGCGTGTTGTCCCTAAGCCCGTCGCCTGCGTCTTATGTCCGTTAGGTAGAGATGGTCGTTTTGTGCTGCCATTTGATCGTCTTGGCCTTGCCTGCATCTCAGGTTGTGGTCTCGGTCTGTACGGCTGAACCGGTGTTATTGTTTTCTCGTGTGGAATGGAAACTTTCTTCACCACAACAACAACAGTCACAATCGTGAATGCTATCAACAGAAGGGAACCAAATACGATTCCAACGAGTAGCTCCATATTCATTTCCAAAACTGAAATAGATATGTTTGATTGATTTTAGAAATTACTTACGAAAGAAAAAGCAAAATAATCGTCAGAAATTAAAAAAGAAAAAGTAGGTTAATAAACATTGCAATATTGTAACTTACGTTGGCCTTTTTCATTGCGTGCAGTTGTGGAGCTGACAGCGGCGATGAAAGCTGTTGTGGTTGTAGGGGTGGTGGTAGTGACAGTCGTTGTGGTAATGGGTGTCGTTGTTGGTATTGAAATAGATCGGAAGCGTAACAGAAAGCCACGTCTGTTGACGGAGCCATCACTTTCGAGTGTTACAGTCGCTGTTGATTCCGTGGAGTTAAGACTGTACGATGTAACTTTGGGGTACTCAGAGCATATCATCCTTATATTGTTATTATCGCATTTGTTAGCGCCTGCAAGAAATACGACATTAACGTATTTATCCCGATAGCTGGTCGGAATTACATACATGCATACATAGTGAATTGTGAACATTGTACACATTTTGAAATACCTATATACGTAAAGTTTTAGCACGTATGATAAAATGGTTGAACTAGTCGCACGAGATTTTAAAGGTAGTTGTATGTTATCTACCGTTAATTTTATATACTGCATACAGATGATTTAGTTATTTAATTTCAGGGAGAGTTAAAATACAGCTGTGTTACCCACCATCGTATATTAAGTATTTGTCATAATCACAGGATGATGGATCGTCGTCCTCCACATCACTAACAATAACGTCTATTTCCAGGTACCCGTCCGGACTGATTAGTGCCCAACGACAATCACTGTTACTGTAAACAGAGCAGACGATTTGTGAGGAATTCTTTAAAATGTTATACTTAAAAATGATATACATATATAACGGATTCAATTCCGGTTCCTGTCTGTCTACACTATGTATAGAGTTTACGTACAGCATATTTCAACATATTAATCTTTCATCAACTTACTGCGCATTATCAGAAGAGGCGACTAATGTGAATACCCAATGCAGAACAAGGGTAATGCGCGCGTATTCTGCTTAACAGCAACGTAACAAACCAACATTGATCTATTCGTGTTCTTCGGATTACTATCACTTCCCTATCCTCACTTTCTCCGCTAGTATCCCTTAACACTCGCCTGCTTTGTATAGCCTTATTCATCGTGATAATTTAGGGACTAGTGCATTTCTCCATCTATTTCTCAACGTTTTTTTTTTCTTTCGATTTCAGTTTAACTTAGACGCCTCCAAGGTTTGAATATTCAGGTTTCACCGACGAAACCGAAATGGACGAAACAGCTGTATGGCGTAATTAAATTAATAATTTGGTTCTTATTGATGAAAAAAAAAGATAAAATCAATTTCATTGTCCAACATAGGCAATGTAGATCTTTGTCGTTGGGTTTGTAACTACATTTAAGTGCATTTGGTAATTTTGCTGCAAGTGTTTCCCGATACATATCAGCAAATACTGTGATATCAAAATTCCGGAATGACACAAACACACTGTAACAAGATACGCTGTTTGGGACATTCACAAAATGACAAATAGTTTTTTCCATCTACCACTTTCCCCTATTTATTTCCATAAATAACATCTAATATGTGAAGCTAAATGTTAAACTGTGTCCACAGGTGTCTTATATTCCCCTGGCAATTTCCTGCCGATTGACTGTATGACAGAGCAAGCCAATATGTTAAAGATGATTAAAACTCTCGGTTACAGCATTTATCCGTCTACAATAGGCAGTGCTATCATATGTACATACATTACCGACACGCCCTGTATTGTTATGCATTTTCAGATCATATTGCATGCTCACATTTGTAAGTACATGTATTTCAGACCTTGGTAGCTGTTACTGTATATGGTAATAATTGTTTGTCTCTCGAACTGATAGGCACGACCACACATATCGGATTTTACTAGATAATACATTACAGACAACATATATTCCATTACATTTGTGTACTGCTTTTTCGCATCTATTTTAATTTATTTAAATATAAATAATTCTATAGAGAACGAAATAGCTGCATTGCGATTATATGTTTGGTAATCATCTGCATATGAAGCAATATATAAACTGGTCCAAAGTTTGGAGCTTCGTTGTCTCATTTACTGGATGGATGTCATGCTTTTACATCTGCGATTTTGTCCAGATATATATAGGTGTTCGTTTTGATATATAATACTGTTAGTTTGAGTGACAAATATGTAAAGGGCGGATACGAGCTACGAGTGGAAAAAGTAGGGTAAACATTCTTTAACCATATATCATTTAGTATTTGTATTTTTCAATTGGTTTACTAGCAAGGGGCGACCCTAGTAAGATCCAAATAGCATGTCCCAAATGCCAGATAATATAAGTGTCACTCAGCCCGCTACTGTCTTCACCATGATGACCCTCAAGCCTGGAGAGTGTTGATAATGTTAAGATACACAGTATTGAGAACAATCGCTGTCTATTCAGAAATATTTACCTAGGGTACTTGTCAGGGAAATTAGGACTGGTCAGCATCTGATATGAGCTCGTGGCTGTGATGGACTGTGTGGCTGTACATCCCGTTCCTGCTGTAACATATATGAAGTCCTAGTGAGATCAGAGCGTCAAGGCTTTTGTCCCGGTACAAGCTATCTGATAATATTAGCACGACAAACACGAACATTGTAACTCATACGTCATACACGCTGAGAAAAGCTTTAGAGGAATTACGATAGATAAAGAATCTAGACCAAATTATGAGTGAGTGTACTGAGGACTATCTGATCACACATCTGAATACTTCGGAAAGTGGCTTTGTAAAGTGTTAATTCTAGTTTGCTTTGGAGGTGTGATTTTTCCAAGCATTCACAATGCTGACAATTTAGGGGCAAAAATCATCCGCCTATATGCATTTTCCTGTTGCTAAGGCAACAAATCATCATCCTACTACGTCAGAACATTCGCTATACTAAAACATTTTCATGATTTTTTTTCTCTTTCTAAACGCAGTGTCTTTAATTTCAATTGACCAACAACTTAACTATGTTGCTACACTGAAGTTAACTACAGTCGGTAACTACCATATTATGTTCCCATGATATTCATCATCCTAAGTATTTCACAATGTTCGCTACACCCGAGAATGAAAGAGCAAGCGACAACCAAATGTGTTCCTGTAAGGTATATAGATAGGGCAATTGTCGTTTTAAAGGGGTTCCAGTTCCTGTACGATATATAGATAGGACAATGGCCGTTTTAAAGGGGTTCCAGTTCCTGTACGATATATAGATAGGACAATGGCCGTTTTAAAGGGGTTCCAGTTCCTGTACGATATATAGATAGGACGATGGACGTTTAACGGGGTTCCAGTTCATGAACGATATATAGATAGGACGATGGACGTTTTAAAGGGGTTCCTGTACAATATAAAGATAGGTCAATGGTCGTTTTAAAGGGGTTCCAGTTCCTGCATAATATATAGATAGGACAATGGCCGTTTTAAAGGGGTTCCTGTACAATATATAGATAGGTCAATGACCGTTTTAAAGGGGTTCCTGTTCCCTATACGATATATAGATAGGACAATGGCCGTTTTAAAGGGGTTCCTGTACAATATATAGATAGGTCAATGGCCGTTTTAAATGGGTTCCTGTTCCCTATACGATATATAGATAGGACAATAGCCGTTTTAAAGGGGTTCCAGTTCCTGTACGATATATAGATAGGGCAATGGCCGTTTTAAAGGGGTCCCTGTTCCCTATACGATATATAGATAGGGCAATGGCCGTTTTAAAGGGGTTCCTGTACAATATATAGATAGGTCAATGACCGTTTTAAAGGGGTTCCTGTTCCCTATACGATATATAGATAGGACAATGGCCGTTTTAAAGGGGTTCCAGTTCCTGTACGATATATAGATAGGACAACGGCCGTTTTAAAGGGGTTCCTGTTCCCTATACGATATATAGATAGGGCAGTGGCCGTTTTAAAGGGGTTCCTGTACAATATATAGATAGGTCAATGACCGTTTTAAAGGGGTTCCTGTTCCCTATACGATATATAGATAGGAAAATGGCCGTTTTAAAGGGGTTCCAGTTCCTGTACGATATATAGATAGGGCAATGACCGTTTTAAAGGGGTTCCTGTTCCCTATACGATATATAGATAGGGCAATGGCCGTTTTAAAGGGGTTCCTGTACAATATATAGATAGGTCAATGACCGTTTTAAAGGGGTTCCTGTTCCCTATACGATATATAGATAGGACAACGGCCGTTTTAAAGGGGTTCCTGTACAATATATAGATAGGACAACGGCCGTTTTAAAGGGGTTCCTGTTCCCTATACGATATATAGATAGGGCAGTGGCCGTTTTAAAGGGGTTCCTGTACAATATATAGATAGGTCAATGACCGTTTTAAAGGGGTTCCTGTTCCCTATACGATATATAGATAGGACAATGGCCGTTTTAAAGGAGTTCCAGTTCCTGTACGATATATAGATAGGGCAATGGCCGTTTTAAAGGGGTTCCTGTACAATATATAGATAGGTCAATGACCGTTTTAAAGGGGTTCCTGTTCCCTATACGATATATAGATAGGACAATGGCCGTTTTAAAGGGGTTCCTGTACAATATATAGATAGGACAACGGCCGTTTTAAAGGGGTTCCTGTTCTCTATACGATATATAGATAGGGCAGTGGCCGTTTTAAAGGGGTTCCTGTATCTGTACGATATATAGATAGGACAACGGCCGTTTTAAAGGGGTTCCAGTTCCTGTACGATATATAGATAGGGCAGTGGCCGTTTTAAAGGGGTTCCTGTTCCCTATACGATATATAGATAGGGTAGTGGCCGTTTTAAAGGGGTTCCTGTATCTGTACAATATATAGATAGGACAACGGCCGTTTTAAAGGGGTTCCTGTTCCCTATACGATATATAGATAGGGCAGTGGCCGTTTTAAAGGGGTTCCTGTATCTGTACGATATATAGATAGGACAACGGCCGTTTTAAAGGGGTTCCAGTTCCTGTACGATATATAGATAGGGCAGTGGCCGTTTTAAAGGGGTTCCTGTTCCCTATACGATATATAGATAGGGCAGTGGCCGTTTTAAAGGGGTTCCTGTATCTGTACGATATATAGATAGGGCAACGGCCGTTTTAAAGGGGTTCCTGTATCTGTACGATATATAGATAGAAAAATGGACGTTTAGAGGGGTTCCTGTACCTGTTCATTAGTTGACAATATTGATGTCACCTTAAAGAAAATGTAAAGGTCACTTACAACATTTCATTTAAGGTTTTTATTGGATTGTGAAATATCATATGACGACGAAAAAAAAATCGCGAGATAACAACACCATTTTGTTATTTTTATATTAGAAATGATTTATGATACATATGAGGCAAGGTCTCGTCTCCCTTGATATGTATTGAGGAAAACACGTCCTTGTTATAGAATAGAATTGATTTTTTTTGTTTGTTTTGTTTGTGAGGAGGTGAGGCAATTAAAATTTTGTATAATATGTAGCTTTTAACATAATTGTCCTGGACTTTTAAGGTACTCTGTATATCAAGTGCGTAACTCTGAATCATACATTTGTTCTGATTTTAGCTTTTAGTTAACATGTATTTGACTCATCCAAACTTCTATTTTATTTTTTAAAATGTTATATATGGATAATCAGTTACTACTAATGTACACGAAAGTGCTGATGACATGAAAAAACCGATATGTCTGTATACTGAGAAATATATCAAAACTTATTTATAAACGTATATTAACCCAGGTTCATTTGTCGTCTCCCATCCTGTCATTTGCACACCGTAGCGACTGACATGGATGATATATGAGATAACGAATTTGATTTCCACCTGCCTCGTTGAAGATGCTTCACTTTAATTAACTCTTTGATATTAAAATCACAACGAGGACCCATATTTAACGCTCCACTTGAATAAATTCATGATGTAATTCACGGTTTTAAATTGAGCTCGGTAAGTGTATTAAACATCTTAAATGAAGCGTTATCTAATCGGGATTAGAATTTTTATTGAGTAACATTCACAAAAATGTGGATGTGATTTTAACATTTCAGCACCAATTTCGACAAGCAATGATTGACTATAAGTGAAATAAAAACTAATACATTGATATCTGTTGTAAAATATTTTATCAAAGTCACCGACATCGTTATTTTGGAGACTGTCGTTATTGTAGAACCCTGGAAACATTTTACATGGCAAGCTTGGATGATGAAACAGAAATCATACCTTATCGGATCATTAAAATTCTGTATACCGAATATCCCGTAACTTAGAGAAAATCCCCTTAATTTGTTCATCAACAAAAAAAAAAAAAAAAAAAAATTATAGGGCTAATTAAAGATTTTAATTTGCTGAATTTTCCTTTAATTTTCTTAATAAAAAATAATTCATTAATTTCCTGTCATGAATGCGCGTCTAAGAAACTTTAATCCGAAAAATGAACATGTTTGATGTAAATTAAGACTTAATGAATTGTATTTGTATTGTATGGCCGGGATTTTTTTTAGCAGTGTATTCGTCAGTATATGTTTATCTGTTTTTGTTTACATGGAGCTAGTGTCTTCTACTATTCGGGGCATCCCTATTTATCCTCGAGTCTGGTACATAACTCATTAGTAACGTTCGTATACAGAAATGTGTCTCGTCCATCAGGTTGCGCTATGTTTCCTGTTGTTGCTGTGTCTAATTTTGTTCCGATTTTTAAATGCATTAATTGCATTTCTTTATCTTTTATTTTGTCGGTATTTTGCTCAATAATTTGATTCAACGATCAATGTATTGAATGAAAATTCATTTGCCATAAGCCTTTCAGTTTTTAAATTATTTAAATTGATGTTTTAAGACCTGATCAGTAAGGGCGGTAACATGTGGAATATTTATTATGAAACAGTTTGGAAACAGGGAATATAAATTATGAGACAGGTCAAAAAGATAGGGAAAATATATCATGACACAGGGCAGTAAGACAGTGAAATTATATCATTAGACAGTGTGGCACCATGGAATATAAATTATGAAACAGGTCAGAAAGATAGGGTATATATCATGACACAGGGCAGTAAGACAGTGAAATTATATCATTAGACAGTGTGGTAACATGGAATATAAATTATGAAACAGGTAAAAAAGATAGGGAAAATATATCATGACACAGGGCAGTAAGACAGTGAAATTATATCATTAGACAGTGTGGTAACATGGAATATAAATTATGAGACAGGTCAGAAAGATAGGGTATATATCATGACACAGGGCAGTAAGACAGTGAAATTATATCATTAGAGAGTGTGGTAACATGGAATATAAATTATGAGACAGGTCAGAAAGATAGGGTATATATCATGACACAGGGCAGTAAGACAGTGAAATTATATCATTAGACAGTGTGGTAACATGGAATATAAATTATGAGACAGGTCAAAAAGATAGGGAAAATATATCATGACACAGGGCAGTAAGACAGTGAAATTATATCATTAGACAGTGTGGTAACATGGAATATAAATTATGAGACAGGTCAGAAAGATAGGGTATATATCATGACACAGGGCAGTAAGACAGTGAAATTATATCATTAGACAGTGTGGTAATATGGGATATAAATTATAAGACAGGTCAGAAAGATAGGGTATATATCATGACACAGGGCAGTAAGACAGTGAAATTATATCATTAGACAGTGTGGTAACATGGAATATAAATTATGAGACAGGTCAAAAAGATAGGGTATATATCATGACACAGGGCAGTAAGACAGTGAAATTATATCATTAGACAGTGTGGTAACATGGAATATAAATTATGAGACAGGTCAAAAAGATAGGGTATATATCATGACACAGGGCAGTAAGACAGTGAAATTATATCATTAGACAGTGTGGTAACATGGAATATAAATTATGAGACAGGTCAGAAAGACAGTGAAATTATATCATTAGACAGTGTGGTAACATGGAATATAAATTATGAGACAGGTCAGAAAGATAGGGTATATATCATGACACAGGGCGGTAGGACAGGATGTTCAACAAGTAACAGTGGTATGATAAGGACAGTAAAGCAGGGTTGAACGATCCTTCCTTCGGTGTAATGATAAATTATATTTAAGAAAAAACATGTATTAAAGTGTCAGTACAGACGTATTGTATACACAACGAATACCTGAATTTCAAATTTACGTATACAAAAAATATTGTTTTTAAGAAATGTAGACAGCATCATGTTTTCATAAACACATACTTAACATCCATGTTATCTGATGTGGGCCTGCACATGTTGCATTAAGACATGTTGTTATCATAGGTTTGAAAAAAAGTTAAAAGCTAATAAGTTACTGAAAGCTATGTTTTTATATTCTTGTTATCGTAGGCAGTATCCATAGTTGGTAATGTTATAAACATTTGTTAGAGTAAAGTTTTCATCTCCTCTAGTAACCGCCTCCAATGGTATACATCTCCTCTGGTATCCGCCTCCTCTTGTATCCACCTCCCCTAGTATTTACCTCCCCTAGCATGTCCCCAATTATCCATCTCACCTTGTATACATCTCCCTTTGTATCTATCTCCCCTAGTATCCATCTCCTCCTAGTATCTATTTTCCTCTAATATCTATCTCTCCGTAGTATTTATCTCAACTAGTATCCATCTCCCCTGGTATCTGTCTCCCCTTGTATCCTTCTCCCCTAATATGTCTCCCCTAATATATGTCTCCCAAAGTATCCATTTCCCCTAGTATATGTCTCCCAAAGTATCGGTCTCCCCTAGTATCCATCTCCCCTAATATGTCTCCCCAAATATATGTCTCCCAAAGTATCCATCTCCCCTAGTATATGTCTCCCAAAGTATCGGTCTCCCCTAGTATCCATCTCCCCTAATATGTCTCCCCAAATATATGTCTCCCAAAGTATCCATCTCCCCTAGTATATGTCTCCCAAAGTATCGGTCTCCCCTAGTATCCATCTCCCCTAATATGTCTCCCCTAATATATATCTCCCAAAGTATCCATATCCCCTAGTATATGTCTCCCAAAGTATCGGTCTCCCCTAGTATCCATCTCCCCTAATATGTCTCCCCTAATATATGTCTCCCAAAGTATCGATCTCCCCTAGTATATGTCTCCCAAAGTATCGGTCTCCCCTAGTATCCATCTCCCCTAATATGTCTCCCCTAGTATCCATCTCCCCTAATATGTCTCCCCTAATATATGTCTCCCCCTAGTATCCATCTCCCCTAGTATATGCCTCCCAAAGTATCGGTCTCCCCTAGTATCCATCTCCCCTAATATATGTCTTCCCCTAGTATCCATCTCCCCTAGTATATGTCTCCCAAAGTATCGGTCTCCCCTAGTATCCATCTCCCCTAATATGTCTCCCCTAGTATATGTCTCTCTTAAGATATATCTTCCAAAGTATCTATCTCCACTGTTATCCATATCTTTACCTCGATAATTGTAAGAGTAATAACACGATAATACCAATTCAAAGACCAGAAATTCGGGGATTACTGCGCCTATTCCTTATTCTAAAACACGTAGCTGACACCAAAAAAGGCCAAGAGGAATGGGATGTCAGAAAGGAGAGGATCAAAACAGTCACCTGGTGTACTTTGAATATGGAGACAAAATAAATATTTACAAATAGTTTAAAAGGCAAAGGAGAAGACAAATGTAAGTAACACATGCCATTGACTCACAATAGGTAAGGTAATATGTATTGACTCACAATAAGTAAAGCAATATTTATTGACTCACAATGAGTAAGGTAATATTTATTGACTCACAATGAGTAAGGTAATCTGTATTGACTCACAATAAGTGAGGTAATATGTATTGACTCACAATGAGGAAGGTAATACGTATTGACTCACAATGAGTAAGGTAATACGTATTGACTCACAATGAGTAAGGTAATACGTATTGACTCACAATGAGGAAGGTAATACGTTTTGACTCATTATGAGTAAGTTAATATGTATTGACTCACAATGAGTAAGGTAATATGTATTGACTCACAATGAGGAAGGTAATACGTATTGACTCACAATGAGGAAGGTAATACGTATTGACTCACAATGAGAAAGGTAATACGTATTGACTCAAAATGAGGAAGGTAATACGTATTGACTCACAATGAGTAAGGTAATACATATTGACTCACAATGAGTAAGGAAATATGTATGACTCACAATTAGTAAGGTTATATGTATTTACTCACAATTGTCTTTAGTAGCTATGACGTCAATTTGAAAGCCCGCCTTCTGGATGGAATTATCAGAGACCATTTCCACGCGTGCGTAACGCTGAGTGGTAGAATATGGTGTTGGAGCGGACGGAGTTCCACAAACACCATTAGCCAATGCCGTGTCTGTGTTGGCGTTACCTAGGAAATAAAGTAAAAGTTAAAAATATTGTTGTCATTTGAATTGGAAGTGACCATGGAAACCTACTTCATAACTGTTAGAACAAGTTCCGTCGGTGAAATACATCTACTTCTGGATTTTTTGTTAGAACTTGTGTGTTTTTTTCCACATGTATTATTATTTCATACCACTCCTTTTATTATCGTTTTTCTACAGATCTGTATATTCATTATTGCCATTTAGAATAGGTATTGTGTGTTAGAAACATGCCGTTTAGAAATGTGATTGAATAAGACTCGAGAAATTGTAACACATTCAAAAAGACCTTGTACATTTCTTTTATGAGAGTTTTTTTAACGGAAAGAACCTAATGATGTCTGTTTTTCCCTTTATGCTGTAATCAATACCTCATCTACAGAGAGCAAAAAAATCACACCTAGACACATAATATTCTCCCGCTTTCAAATATCAATTAACGCGAAAATATCCTGCTTGCAAAAACTGAAACGGCGGATATAAAGTAATTTTTGAATTAGCTCAAAATAGAGGTTATTAGTCCCTGATTACAGAGAATATTCTGTGTACAGGTGTAAAAACATGGTGTAATGTTATTTTAATGTATCATTTTCAACAATTGATTCCAAAGGGATCTTGGCTCCCACCATCGTCTAATCTTTCTTTTCTCTCGTCTCCTCTGTTTTATTTTCCGTGCTATGAACTTTGAAAATTCCCGCGTTTAGTTGCCGAATCCAAGATGGTAATCAATCAACCATTTTGTTTTTATTCATTTTTCTTCATTTCAGATCTCGAAAAAATAGAGATAACAATTTTTCTGTCGAAATCCAAGATAGTCGCCTGTTGGTCATTTTACTTTTCAGATAATTAAAAACTTGTACACAACTATGGTCCAAGGGGAGCCTTTATATAAATTTGAAAACAGGTTTATCTCAAGCTTCTCACGAAAGAGAGGAACACACATCCATTGCCTAAATCGAAGATGGCCGCCTGTATGTCATTTTGTTTCCCCTAGAACTCCCTATATCAACATGGCACTTATAACAGAAAGGGGAGCGCTCATGTGAAATTTGAAAAATATCTAGCCTGTACTTTGAATGAACTAAGGTTGACAAATACTGAAATCCAAGATAACCAGCTGGCAGTCATTTTGTTCTTCTGATCGGCACCAAAATCTAACGAATGCAACAAGTGACAATGTTGATATGAAATATGAGGAAGATCCATCCCATACATCTTTGATTAGAAATAGGTCTGACAAACTTTCATTTCTTGTGATCGTAACCACTAGAGTATCGAGGATGAGTGCCGAGTAGAACAGCTACATACTAATAATAACCAGCTGGTCACCGTAGGATTTTTGGATACTTGCTCAGCAATTAAGAAGACAGAAAATTCAACAATTTTCATACAAAAAACATCGAAGAATTTTATATCACGATACTTAAATACGTTAACTTATTAAAGAGCTTTTACGTAATAAAAATACATGTGAATGACAGATATAACATCGCATGTTTACGGAGTTCTTAATGTCACAGCTAATGCACTGTTTTGATATTTATCTATGCAATGTATCATGAACATTGATTTGCTATACGATACAAAATAATGAAATTGTATACTGTCTTGTCCTCATTTATATCTAGTAAAGTTGCCATCTTGTTTGTACGTCCTGATGTTCACGCTTTGGGGTCTGTTTTCTAGCAGAAACATACCGGACTGAATAGAAAGTGAATACTCTTTGATTAACGGTCAGTGTTGAAGCAGTGTAACAACTAATTCGCCTGATGTTAGTATAATATGACCGGGTAAGATGTACTGCTGGGCTTTTCGCCAGTAAAGTTCAGTATGCTATCACTATTAATTCAGCTATCACACTGAGGCTTACAAAAAACGCAGCCTCTCACTAACACATGCACTCTTCATATGAACTCGCCTCGCATTCATAGCAGTAAATGACTATATTGTTGATAGGACGTAAAATTATATAGCTCATAAACTAATATCTTTGAGTGAGCACGCTAAGGCACGTTGCATATTAATACGTGTGGATATGAGAGGTAGCGCTTTCCAATCATGCTTATTTTTTTCTATATTTTCTATATAAGATCAATGGTCATTGATTATGAGGAAATTATTAGTTTCGTTTCACAATTATTAGCATTGTATTCCTAGCCTTGACCAACAGCATGAGAGCTGACACTAAAACGAGTTAAGAGTACATACTCATCTAATGATAATAAGGCGTTAACACGGTTAACGCTGTAAACAACACAAATTGACATGTATAGGATAATGTCACATTGTATGACATTGCAAAACACTGTCACACATTTTGTTAAATGATTATTATCGACCAGCGAACATTCATAAAGGTTGATTAAAGAAAGTTGAACGTTTAAAAAATAACAATATTCTAATTTCTTTCTAGCACGCCATGTAAACTGAGTGTCGCCATTTTCCTATGTACAGCAGAACGGGAAAACTGTAGTTGGGAACAATGATAAATTGCCCTTACCATCGTAAATATATATCTTATCGCCTGGACATGATGTGTCGTAAGTCATAAACATCAGTAATTGCAGGTCAGCCGCTCCAGCGTCTATTAGCCAGAAACAGTCCATGTTTCTAAAAATCAACATTTTTTTTAGAATATATGAACTGTGACGTACTTTCGTCAATAAATAATATACAAGGAAAAACGAAACGCTACCAGGTGAAATTTGAACAACTGAAAGTCATGAAATGATATCAATTAGTTAATGTTAAAATGAAATTGCAAATAAGGCGATCATTAACGTAATTCATATAATTTTAGTAAGAGATAAAAAAAATCAAATAATGAATATAAAAAATAAATAAAGGAAACGAGAACACAATTATACATACGAACTGGAGAAAAATCTCAATGGACAATTACTACTAATCAAAAAACCTTGTTAAAGAGACATATCCATTAATCCTTTAAACATCACTATGAAGATGTTAGAAAATTTGCCCTTGTAATACAAATGCATATCTGCAACGACTTTTATTCACATTAAATGACATTCCTTGGGGGAAAATATCACCCATAAATAGATATCGGGAAAATTGTAGTGATATGTTTAGGTAATGACGATAACGATGACTTACGCGCTGTATGTTCCTGTGCCGCCATTGTAGCCAGGCGATGAAAATACAGTGAGGTCTAATGTCGAAGGCAACACATTGGGATCCGTAACACTGCAGGTTTGAGATGACACTGAAAGAACCAATTAGATCACATGGAAATTGACAATATAGATAAAAAAACATAAAATTTTATAAATATTACAACCATTGCGAATGGGGAATGCTTTATCACTGGGCCACACGGCCGCCCGATATAAATAGATGTTTTATTCAAGAATATTTTCAAAATTTTACTGACAACAGGGATTGGGCAACAGACATAGCCTATGGAAGCTCTTTCCTTGGTATTATAAACAAATAAATAAACATATTAGTAAGAAGATGAATGAATACGGTGATAAATACTTAATACTATCAATCCATGATTTGGACAAGATTAACCTGGACATCCAACTTGAATGGAATGCAGCACAGGCAATTATATATTTAAGAACATTGTTTAGGAAAAAAATACAGTTAAATGTGACAAGAAAGGAATTATTGATCACAGGAATGTTGATATCTTTTGAATGGTTCATTAAAAAATACCTTCACCGAAAAAGAGAGGTTAATTGAAATATTTGAATTGAAAGAATTGGACAATGCTGTTGAATCCTGGTTAATGTAGCATGGTGACGTAATATCAAAACTGATACCATAAAGGCCATAAGGCGTATATTGACAAAATGAACCTAAAAAGAGTCATTATCAATGTAAAAATTGATAAAACAAATGTTACTGCTGCTTGTGCGTTTAAAATTTGTAAATAATTAATGAAACATCTGTGAATTTACACCAAAATTAATTCTGTATATTTTTCTATATTTTACATAAATAATTTATCTGCTCTTTGGACTTTAAATTTACTCCGGTCATACCCAGAATTAAATACGATTTTATTTCACCCATCGGATAAAACATGTTTATTATGAATATAAAAAAAACCGGTCCAAAGAGGAAACGAACGGAAACATGAAAACAACGTCAATAGGCACATTAAATCATTGCTATTCATTACGTGGAAAAAAGGTTAACGAAGAGTCTAGTTTGTAGAAATTTTATACGTCCTGAAATTTGATCAGTCAATATGTATCAGCAACGTGCTATCATTTTGTTTCATTAAGTTGCAGATATATGCACACAGCCTTCTAATGACCTAGTAACGACATACAAACCCTACCATTAGCATTGAATAGACATAAAATAGAGTTGACGTTTCTGTCAAAGCTAATTGAGTAAAGTTGATAAAAACTACACGAGAATCACAACAATGTTACATATCTGGTGTCGAATTTGGCTTATTTGTGAAGTAACATGACCCCGTGTCAGAGGAGAATATACACAGTAACAAAGCTCTGATGTATGGCCTGCATCGAGCCTAAGACTATGCAGATATTTATGGGTCTTATTTTTCGATTCTATAATGTATTATGAATGCTGTAATCCAATACAGCACTCCAAAATATTGCGCGCACTGCTATTTTGTGCTACTAATTAATTTTCAATGAAGTATTTTTCATTCACTACTTTTGTGTCCTTTTTTTCAATATTTGAAAAAAAAACGGAATTATCAGCATTAAAATATATATCTGATCAAATTTGTATTGTATAAATTATTCTTGAACATAAATGCTCTAAGCGCTTTTCATCGTTTAGCAATTTAAATACAATGTTTGGAGATAATAAATATGAATTTGACTTACCAAATGTGATTAAACTGCTGGCAATCACGGCAAATATGTGTGCCCTATAGTCGGCAAAGGTTGGCATGATTTGGTAAATCTGTAATAAAGAAAAAAAATGGATGATTTCTTTCTTTAAAAAAATATCTTGTTGGAGGAATATTAGTAATGATAAAAATGGGATGATATATTTAATGTTCAATGATTAGGTATTAAATTATAGTTCATATCGATGCGACTGTAAAATAAAGAAAATTGATAACCGGCCTTTGTAATCAATTTTATTAATAACATTTCGCAGTTTTTAAGTACTTATTACAAAAAAAAAGGTTTCACAATTAAAACGATGTGTATTATTCTACGATGCTGATATATTTGTTTTAAATGAATAAAATGGTTATGCTTTTGATTAAGACTATGAATAAAACATTTCCTAGTTCCAAAACATAAATTGCATGCAAGAACTTAGAGAGAATCATTTAAACAAGATAGCCCTTTATCTTAAAGCTTTCTATATTTCTCATTCGGACTTAACAAATTTACTTACAAATGGATGTTTGTAAACCAAATCTGTACATTCAGTTTTATCAGTCCTAAAAGGCATGAGACGTTGAAGTGATCATTTCCCAAAAATGATTACAACGTACCTGTGTATACTATATAATCCTAACAGCAGCAGGTCAGTGTGTAAACATGTACCTGTGTCGACAGGTGTGATATACGTGTACACGGTGATTTCCTTTTAAATGAGTCCCTGATCATACACTCTGCACATTAAAGGGCTACCCAGAGCCTGACGCCTCGATAAACACACTAGTCACTATATACACATCGACAGCGTAATCGCCTCACAAAACTTATCACTTGTTTCACATATGCTTTAATTGTCCGCCGGTATTCTGACACCGTGGTTTCAAACATTTACCCTCAATCAGAGGCCTCAAAATCACCCAATTTGTCCATAAGTGTGCATTGTATTCAGAACATATATTATTTAAATTTGTATAGCAATCCTTAGTCCGCGATTTTGTGGTTCAAATGTAAGCAGATCGGTCCAGATGGGGTCAACAATTTTCACTGGCTGGTTTAGTTGGGGCAGGAAACTGGGTTATAGGTAGGGGATCCATCATCTTCTCAAAACACCCATTCACGATTGTACTAAATGACTTGAATTTACTTAAGTTATAAATATGAATGAAACAACAGTCCCCGTGGGGAGAAATCTAAGGTGGTCTGGGTTTAAGTTTATCTAACAAAAATCTACAGGGGACACTTACTGCATTGTTAGTCTTTTGCACACAACAGGACCTATCTTGAAACTATTTAGGCCAATAGGAAACAGATTTCTTAAAGTTAATTTCCAGACGGCTTTATTTTAAAATGTGAAAGAATGAATATCGATTCAGTTTACAATAGACACATTAAAAAAACATGACAGACGGAAGCGGATTTTTCGCACTGATAGCATCTATACCTAAATCTTAATTGTCTTTCTTTCTAAATACAATAGGTGGCACTCTAGCAGTCTTTCCGGTTTTATTGGTCTGTGCATTTTCAGAGACATAATATAAACGGCTGCACGGACATATACTTAAATCACTATCCCTACTGATGATTAGTGTTAAGCAGTGTATTACAAGTACCTTAATACGGTTAAATTGGCTCTTTAAGTGATGAGTTTTAGATAAGGGAACACCCACAAAATGACGGGATTGGTCGGTAAGAGACATACAATATACGCTATACAGCACTTCGTTGACACTAACAATACATATCTTAGCATTTCAACATTTTTAGACCTAGATGACACGTTACAGACACAACAAAAGATAAAATTATGGACTGCTTTGCTTCATTCAGCCTGTGAAGTGTGTTTTTCAATGTGTTTGGGAACGAAATTGTTTTTTTTTCTCTTTTACAATGAACAGTTCTCGCTAGAAGATGTAAACAGAAAGCCACTTTTTTCCATCTGTGACACATAGTTTTTGTCGTAATATTTTAAACAAAATGCCACATAAAAATTATAATGTCAAAAGTATTCTGATATGTGGGTATTTACGAAAAATGTTTTGCACATGCGAAAACACTAGGATAAACGCTACTTGTATTTAATATATTAACACTTAACATCTTCTCTACAATATATTGCCTATTGACACGTATACTGGTAAGTACACTCCCATTACCGACGTCTCGGGATATATATTTTCAATTACCGTGGGAAATGCACTTTTATCATGTCATATTTACAAACTAAATGAGTCCTAAAATAGTTACTGATATATAGAGGTAACATCGCATAGTTAGGGAAAGACAATATATAATTATCGGTTTTTGACACATGCCTTCAATTATCCATAATTGGCCGTATCAGTTTGAAAAATATGTCAGCTCAGTCTGCAGAGAGTTGGCCAAGGTAACCGCAAGTGTGGTGATTTGAGTTTCTCAGGAAACGGAGAGAATGACAGGACTGTACTGACGTGGTTGTATTTTTGGGCAAGATACTTTACTCTAATTCCTTTGATCGCATGTGAGGGGCCTCCTGCATGTTGTTCAGTAAGGTATCAACTGGCTGCTCACGATATACCCAACAAACAAAATACATTTACTTGTAGTGGTTTTCTGCATCGTGAATCACCAGGTACTATAGATACGTCATATTCTTGATATCAATATGAAAGATTTAGTGAAAAAACAAAGTATCGAATCCATAACAAGTGAAATCTTGATTTTTTTTTTTTGTTTTTTGGTTTTTTTTTTTTTTTTTTGTGGACATTGCTGAGATTTAACTTTTTTCTTTTTTTAAAGAACATAATTGATACATATAATACATTTTTATAATGTTATACTTACAATCACCCAAACAGTCTAAAATAGGTTCATGCTGTTAAAAACTTGTAGAAATATACGGCTTTAAAAAGATAACCTCATCAGAAAGTGTTCGAATTTTTCAAAAAAGACCCAATCTTCCGAAACATGTGGGCCAAGCAAATTATACCATTGAACAAGGAGTAAGTGGATACCGTTAAGGCAATCCGTAGAACATTTGTGGTTACACGATGTTAAACAATTTGTTAAACGAGTGACATTTATTACCACAAAACCAACCAAGTAAATAGCAAAACAGGCAACACTATCAAATGGGATCAAATTTCCTATAAATGTGCCATTCGTCGTGTACAACGTACTACTTTGTCAGATACAGTGTGCGTTTATTTTACCGAAGAAACCATTCTTACTCTGACAAATACACATGCATGTATATCAACACAAGTCAGTATAGTATCGGTTATAGCCAATATTGGGTAATGTTAGCAGTCTGATGTAAAGAGCTGTTTTAACGTAGTGTTAATTTCAATTTCAAAGTAAACAGATTAATGCTGTTGTTTGGTCAGTTTTTAACTCATCAGTAATACTAGGCTTCCGTAACAGGTGAAAATAAAAATGGCGAGTAAGGAAAATGAATATTGGTGCATACAGACCATAATTCAATATAACAACATTTAATCGAATACTTTCACGGAGATAAAACATAGATTACATTAAAACATTATATGGACACTGAATAACTATGGACTTGTTTGTTTGATTGTTTCATTGTGCATTTCAGCGGTGAATGCATTTTGTGTTCTTAAAGAAGGGGGATGGTTCTTAGTAGTAGTTATCAACATACAAATCCTTATATGTATGTACTTTTCGTGTTGTTCATAATAAAGCTGGCCACTAGGATTGCTGTTACACTTTTCAAACTACATGATAATGATAAAAATGAAACTAGATTTACGAAACCCGATTAATTAATTTAATATCTAACTTTACGTACCAACATCTAAATACAATATTTAATTCCAACCTCCTAGAGAGGAAAATGTATCAAATTTATCATAATCTTTCATTTGTGATTGATATCATAGCATATAAAACCGCTCAGCTACCAAGGGGAAGTCCTATTACATTATTACAGGGGATACAGCTTGTTTCAACTCGTGTGTTATACAGAACGGTCAGATTATTATCTTGCGTTCAAGATACACCAATAGGACTTCTTGTTTCAAACAGGTAAACTAGAGTGTTTATATTTATTACACTCTACTTTACCATTTTGCTTCTATAGTCACAAATTTTAGTCATCGAATTTCTTTAACAAATTGATAAACACAATTCTGGCCTGACCACATAAAATGTATTGAAGTTCCTTTTAGATAGAAGTCGAGAATTAAATGGGATTCTTTGATCTTTTTAAATGGGTAGAAATCTGTGGTCAATGCTTGTACATAAATGAGGCGGTTCGATGATTAAAGATATATGAAAATCAATAAAGGCAGAAAGAGAGGAGGAAAGAAGAAGAAAGAAGTGAATTTCAACAATTAAAACAATAAATAAGAAACTAATAATTTTAAGTCGGGCAAAAACAATCACCTTTATGATCAATTTGGGTACTGCAAAGGTATTGCTGGCGATTACAAAAAATCGAGATGTACATTTATTTCAGTGTGAACTCGTATCTTTTTCATCAATATTCATTACTTGTCTAAATACCGATTGATTGTCATATTTAAAAAAAACAATACCTACACTAACGTATTTTTTTATTTTCGAGTAGATGTTGCTAATCAGCCAAATTAGGCATAAAAGTAATTATCTATTGGGCGAAAATGTTTATGTACAGAAAGTTGGAGTAATCACATCATACAGCTGATAAAACCGAAGTACCAAAGTAATTGTATGGTAAACATTGATATAATTTTATTTGTTGATAACAGTAACATAAAATGAATTAACGACTAGTCTAAAAATAATCGCTACCGAATCAAATTTACGACACTAGACATCGAAGAAGTAAATTTGACACCATGGCAAGCAACACTTATTTATCTTACCAAAAACATTTTCTACCTAAATGATTCGTAAAAATTCTCCCTTAGATGAAATAATTTACTTTCCCATTTCACAAAAGAGTCTTTATACAGTATATGTTAAATATTATAACGACTGAAAAAGGTCTTTCTATTTATACCGACAGTTCTCCTCAAAGAGTTACAGAATGAATGAATCTATTAAGAGCTGTTCGCAGCGTGTGTCGGCTTTCATTGAGGAGGACTTAAGTGATTCAATCTGTCTGACATTTGTTTGAAATAAATTGAATATAATTTTCCATATTATTTATGATAGTTATTTTTGGAAATGTATGGAGACCTCAGGGAGTGCGCTTATCTTTGAGTTTAAAAAGGATCATACTAAATGATTTTGATTTTTGATATTCAAATTTATTTTAAATCAGACAACTCGAAAATAGTTATTTTTTATCACTCTCTCAATAGATTACCTTTATTTGACGAAACATCGCATTACTTGCTCTATTTATCTCAGATAAGCTCCATCTCCAGAAAAACGGACAAGCTTAATTGACTTAGATTCATCAATAAAACATTGCCCCCAGTGATATTTAAAATGTTTTCCAACGAAAATGATCACTGTTTTTGATGAGATAATGTGTAAATACGAATACACAATAAAAACAAACTTAATTAAAGACCTTTTTTTAGAAATAAGTAAAGAAAATTGTCAAACAGTCACCAAATTTGTCTGTTATTACATTTGTATGTATTTATATGCAAAAGTATTGAAGTATTATTTTTACCATTATCGCCCCCACGTATATGGATTTTAGATCAACTATGTAATTTTGTTGAAATATTGCCCAGCATTAGCCGTTTTGC